AAGAAATGCCTGCTTCTCTTTTATATTAATTCTAGCAAACTCAAGACAACGCTAACTCCTACACTGAACTAGACTAGACTAGACTTCCATCACTCAGAAATTTAACGTACCTGTGGTTATGTCCTAGCTTTGATTCTCCTCGCAGTTGTAGCTCAGCTTGTTGTTATGAATATCTTTTCATGAGGCACTCCAGTCCTGCTCTACTGATATCCCAGTGTTACAAATTTAGCCATCATGGCTAAATCATCATGATGTACCATCGGCGACCTTTTGATTGCTTGTGTTTCCAAAGATCAGCTGGTGTCTTGGAAAAGCTAAGTCTTGAGAGAAAAAAATACTTCGAAAACTTTAAAGAAAACCTTGCATTTCATAAGAACGCCGATTTTTTACTTGAGCTGTTCTAGCTATACTCTGTATCACCCGTTTAAGAGAACTTTTGTTAGAGGTATACAATCTGCTTTGACTGTCACTTACTTCCATTACGACTGAAGACTGGACTGGATTACACTTAAGTGGACGAGACTGGACGGCACTCTACTTCACTTGATTGGACTGTCTTCGGCTGCGCTCGACTTCCCCCGACTCCACCACACTGCGGTACCCTGGATTGAAAAGGAAAGCACCATACAGTACAGCAGTTCACTGCCCTTCACCTGACTGATCTGCAGAGAATTTAGTGTTAACAACTGGGTTGAAAACGTAAATTAGCCACCGTAAAGAATAAAAAAGCTGATGTTTCGAGCGTTAGCCCTTCGTCAGAGCGATTGACTATATATCCTATAGATTATATCCTTTCTTTTATACCCTTTCTTGCGAACTAGAGACAACTTTAACGCCAATACTATACTATATTATGTAAAACTTTTGCAAGCGGAAGACAATCCTCTTCGACTAGCTTTTAATCCATTATTCAGAAATTTAACGTACCTCCAAGCTTTGGATTCTCCTCACAGCGGTTGCTCAGCTTGTTGTCATTATCCACTCTAGTCCTGCTCTAATGATATCCCAGTGTTACAAATCCAGCCATGAATCATTAGCGACCCTGTGATTGCTTGTATCTTGAGAAAACTAAGTCTTGTAAGAAAAAAATACTTGCAAACTTTTAAGACAATGTGGTACTGAATTTTAATATTCTGCAAAAAGGATTGTTAATACAGTGGCCATACGATATAATCGTAATTTATTTATCGACTTATTTATATATCAATTTATTTACGTTTTTATTCAACTCCCTCTTTATTCATCATTTCTTTAGTTCTTTAAGAATTAACCAATTTTATTAGTTATTAATATACATTTTATTTTCTCAATTTATCTTTTATTGATCAATTGTTTTTTTTTTATTTCAAATTATTGGGTTTACTCTTATTGAATTATCAAGTGAACAAACATATCTTAAACATATCAATATGCCAAAATTATAATAATTCTTTACTTACCGTCTCAATGATGCACAGCCCCTGAAAATGGGCTCCTGTTGAGCCGCAGATATAGGAAATTCAAAGTAAAAACTTTGAAAAGTTTTGGTCAGTCCCCGAAAATGGACAGAGTGAAGTTTTGAAATCTTTAACCTGAAAGCCGCAAGAACAGTTCGCGCTCGACAATGGATGACTTTGGCAAGACAACTACCAAACCCTCCGAAAATGGGCGAACGCACAGTCAACACCAAGGTGACTTTGCTTCCAGCGCTTTTTCATTGGCAGATTGGAAAGTCATTGAAACAATCCAGTTCACGATTCGAGCAAATGCCCCGAAATTGGCAATTCAAGCCTCCGAAAATAGGCCAACATAAAGCTCCTGCAGTTGAAATTGCGTTAGTAGGATTTAAAACTAGTTTCTTAATAGAGAAAAGACACCGAGACGCTCGTATTTTAATTCAATTTTTGGGACAAATTTACACAGGGCGCCCTGAAAAATAAATCATATAAATTTGTGTATCCCAAAAATAAAGAAAAGAACACAGAGAATTGGGTTAGGCATTTTATTTTCTTATACCATATTATATCAATAACGGTACGGTACTTTCATTTTTATATCAACTTGCTAACAACTTTCAGTCGCTTCCCATTGCCTTTGTATTCCGAACTGAAAATTCGAACAAGTTCCGAAAGGCCGAACGAACAGCTGAAGGGAAATTCGAACCGAAAGTGAAGCCGAACTCCGAAAGCAACACGACCTCAATTTTCATTAATACTTGCGTAATCTTTTTTGTAAAAGGCCAATTCTCAATTCTAATTTGCTGTCATGGCTGAATTTCTTAAATTCGATTTCCATTAATGACGTTAAAATCTAGTTGAACCTTCGAGCCAAACTTTTTTTTATATTAAATAGTCTTACTCGATCACAGTGTTGAAGATCCCTTCAATCAGGTGAAACTGAAAATGCAATTGGCCACAGTCGAAGTAACTATGGGGGAAGACGTGCGCTTAAGTCAATGAGTAGCTGATTAACACCGAAAGACCTGTTGAGGAAGAGCCGAAGTTTAAACGAAGCCGATATTGTGACAAACCGAAGAAGAAACGATCCAAACCGAAGATATGCCGAGCAGTATTCGATTGAATGAAAAATTTGAAAAAATTGGTGGGAAGACCTAGCCCAACCTCAAGGGAACCTGCTAACTAAGCTGGCTAAAGTTTTTACTGTAACTACTTTGAGCTGAATCAGAAGTACGACAACTTCTAGTAGAATTTGGATTTTATGGTTTAACCAACCCACAAAGAATCTTACTAACCGGCCGGACATCAGCGTCTTCTAACTGATCTGTTCCCAGTATGCAACAGAGAGGAAGAGAAGAAAAAACCCAATGGAGCGTTGGCTCTTTTTTTCACCACGCTTTCCCATCCATATGCGAGTTATACTGGTAACGAGAGTCCGCACTTGTCTTGAGATGATGGCTGGGACGAGCTGGAAGGAATGGCGCGGGCTGGACCGGACCGTACTGGACTACATGGAACTGGACGCTGAGTTTTGGACTAAATGCACAATGAACTGGACTTCACAGAAATGCAGTGACTGGAATGGACTGAGTGGTGTTTGGACTGGAGTGTCGTATTAGCCTAAATGAGAAAGATATTGTGGATATTGCTACTGAGGGAATATAAAATAATTGGCATGCTATCGCATTCCATTTCGTGAGATGTTTGATTATACATGGGAACAGGGAGAGTAAGATTTTTGGGGTAGGTGGAGGTTTCGTTCGATTCTCGTATTTCATGTACGTGACATGTTGTCGTCTCGCCTTATTTTAGACATTTATACCTTATTTTAGATGGTTTTAGATAGTTTGCGAGTGGCTGTAGATGTTTTTGAGGTGGTTGTAAATGGTTGTAGGTGGTTTTTTAGGTCGTTCCATGTTTTAGTACTTAAGCAATATTCAAAACTTATGCCTCTATAAACAAGCTTTAGGCCCCCGTCCACACGTATCCGGATAAATTTGAAAACGGATAGATATACGGTACGGGTTCCGTCTACACGTAAACGGCGTTTTCACACACCGAAAACGGAGAAACTTGAAAACGTTCTCTAGAGTGGATAAATTTGAAAACGCTGGCTAAGCGTCTCCATGTGGACGACTCATCCGGATAAATTTGAAAACGATTTGAAATAGATGACGTAACAAGAAAATGAAAGTAAAATAAAATTTGAATTTCTCGTCATTCTGGCACCATCACCATTGATTTTGATTTTATCAGTGATGGGGTCAAAGTCACTGTTTTGCTTCAGGAAATCAGAGATACGTATTTTAAACACGGTTTCAACAATAGTTACTTTGGCCCCTTCAAACTTAGCATTTAGTGGTTCAATTTTGCACATTTTGTTCAGCTCATCACGGCATTGTTTGACGTTTACGTGTGGACACCAAAAACGATTCACAAACGGCAACGTGTGGACGCGGATAAATTTGGAAACGGATAAATATTTATCCTTTTTCAAATTTATCCGGATACGTGTGGACGGGGCCTTTGATATACTCACTATCAAAATTAATATGCATTATTTAAGACACTGAGTTTCGCTTCAAACTTGTAACCAATTAAAATTTAAGAGCACGCACCACGCTCTCGCCACATTGTTAACGCGGAATCTCAGCAAAGAAGATAAAATATTAGAAATGGTCCTCCGCAAGACAACAGTTTCAAAGAAGAATTTCAATGAAGCCGATTTTGCGAAAGAAAAATACGCAATGTAATTTCTACTGCCAAGTAACTGACAGCTTCTGGGCAGAAATACGTGCGACTGAAAATAATTGAAGGATTTATTAAAACGAAGCTTCGACCCAGAACCCCTCTTGAATTTGTAAGTAAATAGTTTTACTTATTTGTATAAGCGTCGATAAACACTTACCTGCTTCCGTCCGTTGCCAGAAATGATACGTGATGTTAAGTTTGACAAAATGAGAAACGAAAGAGGGCTTCCAAAGGAGAAAACGCTGTGTCAGAGCTAAAACTGTGACAAGAAAGTCACTGAGGTAGAATTTCTCTAAGCTTGTGATAATTTCAAAAAGTGCGCTGTTTAAAACTTATGCGTGCACTTGGGTTATTGCGCTCTTCCCTGAGTGGCTCGTCTAACTGCACGGGTTTTTAGCGCGCACGATTTTTCCAATTAGCACCATTCATTAGAGGCACGTTTTGTTATGGTAAACGCAAACGGCAAATTAATATCTGGGTTATCCCATGTTTTCACCCACGATAAAATACAGAAGGGCCTCGCAATGAGTACAAAAAGAAACTGATAGGGATGTAACAAAATATCAATTTTTGTCGTAGTCATTCGTCGTGGGTTATTGAGCTCTTCCCTGAATGGCTCGTCTAACTGCACGGGTTTTTAGCGCGCACGATTTTTCTAATTAGCATCATTCATTAGAGGCACATTTTGATGTGGCAAAACGTAAACGGCAAATAACATATCGTGATCATGACTTGCTAACGGGAACACATCATGACTTTACATGAAGTATCGATTGAGCCATTGGCCCCAGGCTTCACGCTGCCAATGATTCTCGAGCATGAGGATCGCTTTGCGAGAATTGCATCAGCTTAGGTGTTTCTTGATAATATCAACGTATCCAAGGTATTCTTCTTCTGATTCCTTTCCCAAAATGGTTCTGGATCTAGATCTTTACAGGGCTGACAAAGGAGGTAACCCGGAAAAAATTCGTGAAAATCAGAGCAAGCGATATAAGGACACCACCTTGGTAGATCAAGTAGTTGAAGCGGATGCAAAATGGAGGAAATGTATGTTATGACACCGTGTATTCATTATTCATGTAAGACTGCAATTTACGAACAGAAACTTTAAATTATAATTTTATTTTTAAATAGTACGATTCTCTGCTGATAATTGGAATAAACTCAAGAATGTATGCAGTAAGCAGATCGGCGAAAAGATGAAGGTAAATTAAACTTGAAGCAACATCCCCCTCTGCAATACAAATTCAGCTTTTTTATCAGTATCTATGTACACGTGTAAGGTCCGTATTTTGTTTGCCTACGTGACAGTTTTGTTCTCTAACCTCTTTAATACCTCACCTACTTAACTCAATGCACTGCTTCTTTGTAAAATTGTGGTTGCTTATAAATTCAGGACCTCGAGCTTGAGGGTCCTAGCCATACTTTTTCAGGCGGATGCAAAACAATTTTCTGACCATAAACTAACATCTAAATATGTTCTTCTCTGCAGCAAAAAACAAACAACACCAAAGAGACTAAGACACTTCCTGTTGATATCGTTGTTGGGATGATTACACCATTCACCCTTTTGTTACCAATTTACCTCCCTTAAGCAACATCGTATTTGTTACAGTAGACTTTCTTTTCTTGAGCACAACCTTGAACAAAGGAGAGGGAGTTGCACAACAGAACAATTTTATGTGATCAGGAGAAAATAATGTTTTCACTTCCATGATATTGTCTTGCATACCATTTTTAATGCTTATTAAAGAAATAGAGAGAGAGCAATACTCCAATGTCCCTGTTTTGCACTTTTCCTAGAGTGTATATTCAATCACTTTTGTTTGGATAGGGATCTTAAAGTTTTTAATTTTGTAAAAAGTTATTAAAAATAATTTCTCCACCTTAAGCTAAATTAATGCTTCTGATATGTGATGATGAAAATGATGATTGTTTTTAGCGAAAAGAACCTGTTGGTGACAGTGATGCACTACCTCAAAATATAGTGGATGCATTGGAAGTAATTACTCCAGACATGTTAGAGGTAAACTTTCATTTTTAGGTCTTCACTTTAGGTAAAGATAATTTCCTAAGTCTTGGTGTGATCCCTGACTAAAAGTGTTCAGAAAGGTTCCTGAGAAATAAATCCACATCATCTTTGAAGGTAATGAACCTATCATAGGCTAAGATTCATTTTTACCCAAGAATGGAATGGAAGGTGTGGTGGATTTTTTTTGCTTTGTACAGTAGAAGCCAACAATTCCTAGTTCATTCAAATCCCCTGCTGACCTAAACAAAATCTGAATTCCCCTCAAGTTGACCCAATTTTCCAGTCATTTGTATCAGCTGACTTGACCTCAGTTAACTTGAACACCCTGTTAACTCAAACCAATTTTACTTTCTGCTGGCCCAAATTTATCCTGATAACTCAAATATTAAGCAAAAAGGTTGGTTGATAAATGTCAATGCGTTACAACATAGTTGATTGACACATCTCAATCTTTAATCCTAATACATTTAGGTAAACTTCCCAAACTGAACATTCATATAAAAAAGCTCTCATATAACTAACTAGATACATAAAAATGACTGTTGATTGTACAAGAATGATAAAAACATGATTCCTGGATTAATCCCAGGATTAACAGGATAATTTACCAATCAACTCTGGCAACTCTAACTTCTGCTTACTCAACCTAATTTTCATTTCTAGAAGGATTTTGAGTTGGTAAGATTCATACTAATTTTTACTATGTCTGTTTAGGAAGCCACATGAGAAAGCTTAACATTAATATTTGAAAATTTCACCATCAATTTTGTTTTCTTCAACAGGCTTTAACAGTTACCCAGATCAAGGGTGTACGAACACTCATTGATGAAAATATGGCCAAATGTAATGAAGAAGTTGGGAAGGTGGAACAACTAAGGAATGAGAAGTTATTTGAAGTTGGCAATCTTTTGCATGAGTCAGTTCCTATTAGTAATGATGAGGTATGTGAATTTAATATTTTCAATGTTTGGACATTGATCTGCTTTGGATTTTTGGTGCTGAGCTGGAAACCAGAGTGTATTAGTGAGAATGTCTGTCAAGAATGTAGACATTGGATAGTTTGGTGGCTATGTACAGAGCAAAGTTGACAAACATTTTCTTACCAGGGAGACTACAGACATTAGGCAGTGAACAGGGTGTTGAATTTTCTTTATCTCCAATACTTCTATTGTATAGTTAAAACATTGCTTTCAATTGACTTGACAGAAGACAGTACCTTGGAGAAGCTACATTGCCTTTTGTTTGACTCTTTTGATTCCAGTGGATACTAAACTGAATAAATGAAAAGAGAAAAAGAGGACTTAGGTTCTGAAAGTCCCCCGACATTGCAGGATCGTTACCTCCCTGACTTTGAAAGTCACAATTTAATGCATGTTTTTTGTCTTGGGTTGATAACATTTTGATATTAAAGGGCAGAAAAATGTTCATACATTCAACAATTGTTGCTAAAGTAAATGAAGCTTGAAAGAGCACAGGCAAAATCATTGAGCATAAGTTAGCTATGATATGTTGGCTTTTTGACTTAAAAAAGGCTGAAAGGATTCTGTATGTTTTTATTTGTTTTGCTGTTTGACAGCAATACTTCTCTGTCAATAACTTCACTTAGAACTTTCTTTTTCTTGAAAAGTTTTTACTCTATTTTGATATTTAGTTATTTTTTTCTTGTTTCAGGATGACAACAAGGTTGAAAGAACTTGGGGTGACAGTTCTATCAGGAAGAAATACTCTCATGTGGATCTGGCTTATATGGTAGATGGAGTTGACACTGAGAGAGGTGCATCTGTGGCAGGCAGCAGAGGCTATTTTCTCAAGGTTGACATTATCCCCCATAAGGATATATTTTTCTTTAAAGTTAAACATTCCTTACATTGTTATAAGTGCACATCACTTTATCAAATATTTTTCTTATTGAATTCTGCAAAACATTAACTTTGTGACATGTTATAGAAATGTACTGAAAGTATGAGATAATAACAGGTTTTCACCACAGATATTAATTTTAAAGGAAGTCATTTTTTATACCTCTTTTGATGTAAATGTATATCCATTAAGCTGCACTCGCATTCCACAGGATTACCAGTGTAAACTTGTGCAGTGTGCTACTGAATTTATCTCCCTTTCTCTCCCTTTAAAATTCAGCATTAATGTTATCCTTCTTCACTATATACAGTGCATGAACAGTGTATTGTTGTTTTGTCTGTATGTTTAGCTCTGCTTAGAGTGTATTTTATTTCCAGTAAGTATAATAGCATTTAGAACGTGTTTTCATCCTTACCTTTAAACATCCAAACTGAATCTATCTTTTAATGTTTTTCAGGGGCCTCTTGTATTCTTAGAGCAAGCTCTCATTCAGTTGGCAACACGGATGTTGTACAAGAAAGGTTTTGTTCCTCTCTACACACCTTTTTTCATGAGGAAGGAAGCTATGCAAGAAGTTGCACAATTAAGTCAGTTTGATGAAGAGCTGTATAAGGTCTGTAATGCAATTTACTTTTTATGTACAATTTTTCCTAGAAAAACAATGTTTTTTGGAATGAACTTTGAATACTTCAAATGAATATTCATCCTGTCACCCAAGAGGACTAAGGAGGATTGTTGTTTGATCTCTCTTTATCTAAGATGACTTCTTAACTAATCATGTGTAGAGAAACAAACTTACACTTCCCAGTTTATGGTAATTTAATTTGCTTGGTATTAGGACCAAACCTTATAACACAATGTACTGTTGCACTTCTACAGTATTATGGTGAGTTTATCTATTTAAAGGTGTAGGGATAGCCTGCAGTGCAGGCTTAATTTTGGCCAGCTAGAGCTCAGTATTTTCTTAGCAACAATTATTGCAGCCATCCTTGATTTTAACAGCAGCAGAATGCTGGGGAGAGAAAGAAATTTGTACCAAGGGGGTAAGTGACAAGTAAAAATAAGGAGCAGGGTAGAGGTGGGAAAGTGAATATTATCTTTTCACCTATCCCTGCTCCTGCCCTCTCCCCCGACAGCTGCCTCTTTCTCCAAATCAAACATGGCTGGTCAAATAAACGATTGATTACTTTTTAGCATTAACTTGCCCTAATTAAACTAGGCTAGCCTAGGCTAACTTGCCCTAATAATACAAGGCTAGTTTAGGGACTGATATTTTGTTTGTAGGTTATTGGTAAGGGTGCAGATGAAACAGGTTATGAAGAAAGATACCTTATTGCTACAAGTGAACAGCCAATTGCTGCATTTCATCGAGGTGAATGGATGGCTGCAAATGAACTTCCCAAGAAATATGCTGGATTCTCGTCATGCTTCAGACAAGAAGCAGGGGCTCATGGAAGGGACACTCGTGGCATCTTTAGGGTACATCAGTTTGAAAAGGTACATTTGATCCAGATAATAAATCATGATGATCTACAATTGAGGATTAAGAGTGCTCTTTTACTTAAAATCTTGTGAAACGCAAGTTTGGCTTTCAGCTCGAGGCCTTTAAAAACCACAATGTAAAAGTGTGAGGCAGAATAATTTTTGCAAGAGGATATGTATTACTAAAAACTTTGTGATTGAATTAAACGCTGTATTTACTTCAAAGAACAGAACATTGTGAAGGCAACAGGTCCTCCTCTCTCATAGCAATGAGTTATTTCAGTTTGTTTTTTGATGTAATGTATTTTTTTGTTAGGTGGAGCAATTTGTTATCTGTTCTCCTCATGATGGTATTTCTTGGCAACTTTTTGATGAGATGATTGCAAGTGCTGAGGAATTTAATCAAGCTTTAGGAATTCCTTACAGAATTGTAAATATTGTTTCTGGTAGGTAACACTTGTAGTTTCTGTGTTTAATCAAGTTGTTCCCAATCTGATCGGTTAATTTTCACAACTGTAGGTGAACTCAACAATGCAGCCGCCATGAAGTACGATCTGGAAGCTTGGTTTCCAGGTAGCGGTGCTTTCCGTGAATTAGTTTCTTGCTCAAACTGCACGGATTACCAAGCAAGAAGATTGCAAGTTCGTTTTGGACAAACCAAGAAAATGGGAGCGCAGGTAAACAATCAGCATACGGTCAGAATTGTTGTGTGTGACTTTGAGTATTCCTGAACACTTCCAAGTGCTCAAATGCGCCGTTGAAGGAACAGTTATGGACCCCAGATAACTTTCATACTTAAATTATTTTGAGAGGTCCAATTAGACGAAAGAAATCTGCTTGCAAACAGGAATCCGTGGGAGTCCAGTTTTGCTGGCGGATTTGAACCGAGACGTATTTACCCATTACAGGAACTGACCAGAGTCCAAATCATGCACATTCTTTCTTTGTCCTCACAGTCCTGTTGCTGAAAATCTTGCAGGATACGCGTTACTATTATGGTGGTAGTTGACATCAAAATAAAGTAACAAATTTTGCCCCTAAAACCCCTTTGACTTGACCTCACTGTAATTTTCAGACAAATTGGAACCACCTTACTATTTGTTTGGGGATTTACCTGGGTGGACCTTTCTACAAATATGAACATTCAAGGTTCCGTCAACGTGTATCCGATTTTGTTTGAGAGCGTTTTTTTCCTCCGTTAAAAAAAAATACCCTTGCTCATACGTTGCGTTTTTGAATGATTTTTAATAATCCACAGGAAAACGCAACAGTGACTAGAATTCTCTCTTCACTCTTCTTGGATGACTATTTGGTAGACAAAGTTCTCGCTCCGCGCACTCCTACTTCCTGGTCAAACCCTAAATCGTCGAAGCCTTGCTTGTTGAAATCGAGTTCATTGTTTCGTGCCTCCTGTTATGAACACGGGAAATGGACGAAACCTGATTATGTCACTGCGTCTTCTTGCATCATCGACTTACACATTTAACATAGCAAAACGCAACTTAAAACATACAATGCATAATGCTTGTAAGAAGCTATACTAGGAGTGAAACAAACTCAATGCTTCTGTCTGCCTGGTGGACTTTTCTAGTGCGCGGCATAGACTGTATCTAACACTGTCTAGTAATCCTGTTCAGAAACCTTAGTGCAGCAAAATAGTGTTTTTAAAAATCTCCGCACCTGAGAACGTTTTTGAAAAAAGATGCCTTTGCAGTGACCGTTTTCCCTAGATACGAGTGAACAAAATACCAAACCGGAGGAAAAAGTCTCCGTTTTCAAACAAGAACGTGTGCGTGTGAACGGGGCCAGAGTGAACAAGTTAATCGTGGTTGTTTTTTCCCCTCTGTTTTACGGGTCAAACCCAGTCTCCATAGGAGCTACTCGGCGGGAGGGTTTTAGGGCTACAGGGTTATCCTTTTGTAGCAATTACAAAATGGTTTACAAGCCTTATATGTAGACTATTTTTTTTCTCTAGACGGAATACGTTCATATGCTCAACGCTACGATGTGCGCTGTGTCGAGAACCATTTGTGCGCTATTAGAGAATTATCAAACAGAAGAAGGAATCGCTCTCCCCCCTGTTCTGAAGCCTTTACTTCCCGAAGGCTTGGAATTTATTAAATTCGTCAAACCAGCTCCAATTGACGAGAAACCAGAGGCGAAGAAACAGAAGAAAAAGACGAAAAATAAAGCTGGCAGCCAGAGTGAGGGATGTTTAGAGGCTAAAATGGAAAACATGGGCGTTGGCAAAGAGTGAACACTGAATTCTCAAGAAATCAATTGGCTTTGCTTAGTGAATGGCCTTGTTGCACGATGGCAATTGGCTTAATATCTAACTAAGTAGTTTGTGTAGGTGGCACAAGCAAAAATTTATGTTCCCCCCTTAACTCTGCTTCTTTAAACAAACCTTTTAACTTGACTTCAATGTAAGAGTAACGATGTTACACTCACTTCATGAGATAGTGGTTCTCTGCGGTCATCACAATTTTTTCCACCAGTAAATTCACACAAGAAAACAAACAAGCGACAGCCGGTAGGTAAGTCTGTGGACACTTTACCAATCACAGCCGTGATAGTTGCGATAACTTTTTTAACAGTTGACATCAAGCGTCTTCTTCCGTCAGCTGAGTGTAAGATCCTCACTCTCTATAGAATGAGTAAACGTAAAAATATTGTTACTTAAATTACGGCATTAGCGAAAGGTACGGTTAACTAGACTGCAGAAAAAAAGTTGATTGTAAGCTGTATTTTGTTTGTGTTTAGTTAAATTAATTAAACATCCGGTGGAAAAGCGGGACATCGTGTTCACCCGTTTAATAAGTGCAAGATGTTAGGTTTGTTTTTCTAACTGAGACCATTAGTCAGATATTAAGAAACCCAACCAAAAATTTCCTCTTAAGGTTTACAACAATGTAAGCCCAAACTTCGAGTAGGTATGCCCTCGCTAAACTCGAAGACAGCTAAGCTCAGACAAACGTGGCGATTCGTAAAGTCAGATTTGTGTTTGAAGTCTATTTTTCTTTCATCTCGAAAAATGGTATTTAAAGCAACGGTGCCAATTATAACTTGTGAAAAAATTTCATTTATATTACGATTTGCGCGTTGAACTTGAAAATCGATCGAGAGAACTTGAGTATAGGTCTGAGGAGTGTTCGGTCTTAGATTGCTTCTTTTTTACTAACTTACCTATAATTGCTTACTTACGTACCTGCGAACTTAATAACGTGATTAATATTGGCATTTTAAAAGCCACTGACTACAAAAATGATCACCAATCGAAGGTGACTACAACAATTACGTTATACTTGTTGGGAGGCTTGGCTGTCACTGTTTTGAAACGGGTCTAATGTTCCTTCTCCCAGTAACTTTGAAAGTTGAAATCTATTGGCGTCAAAGTACAAGATACTTTGGCACCGAAGAGAACTTTGCATTGCAACCACTGTGCTGACAAATCTGAGCGAGCAGTGCAAATAGCGAAATGATTATGGCCGATTATCAGTTGCATTAAGACCAAGAATGATACATATCAATTCCCTAACAAATGCTATTCTAGATTTAATTGGAAAAATCATTTGGGATAACTCTGAGGATCGTTTCTGATCCCAGAATCATTCTTAAAACTGCACGTTATAAGTCGAGTGCCCCTTTTCTTGCCAAGTGCTTTTTTAAATGGTAAGCGCTCCTATCAGTCGATGCACATGCCGCTCAGAAGGCGAACTTCACAACTTGTCTCGGTGTACGCGTGGAGACACTCTCTCATTTGTTTAGTTATTGACGAAATTATGTTCATACAGCACAATCGGTCCTCGTTGATCGAACATCAGTTATTCGCCACTATTAATTTATTTCATTCACCTCTCCTATTTTGTTTCATTATTCATACTTCTAGGTTCAGTTTGCTGTTTGCTACTACGGTATGCTCAAGCGATTAAAGGGGGTAAATTTCTAAGGAAACTGTGGCGCTGCGTCGGTGGGAGAGTATCACAGGGTAATTAAGTATTATCAACTGAGTTAATAGTGTAAATTGTCCACCGTAAAGAGTTTTATAGCTGACGTTTCGAGCGTTAGCCCTTCATCAGAGCGAATGGTGTTGAGAAAGCACGGCGACTTACGGAATGTCTAGGTGCGGATATATAGTTAACTAGGAAACCTAAAAAAATTTTTTGGAATCACTTGGCATTTAATGAACCATGTGGTAGTCTAAGGAAGTTTCATAGAACCTTTGGTAATATTCTTTAAAAATTCTGACTTCCGGCGTTAAGGTCATTTACTCGTGACGGAGCCCGACCGCCGGGCATTCATTCATTGCATCCTTAATATGGTCCAATCTAATCAGAAATAGTTAAAAATTTCACGTTACTTTTAGTTTGAAATGAAAGAGAAAATTCTAATGAAATGAAGGAGAAAATTCTAATCTTAACTCGATTTTTTCCATTTCTTGGGTTCGTTACACGTTGTTTGGTCGCACCACTTTCCGGAACCCATGTCCGACATAATTTCACGTGTGATGACTCGTGTCGGCAGTACTAGACTTCATTACGCAAGAAAGATGCTAGCCAATGGTGGCCAGCATTCTATTGAACATAGCCATAGGCCAATCACAACAGACGTTTGATCAACATTCAATAGTGTCACGTTTGTCTGCACGTTGTTTAGGGGAGGTGTAATAGTCTCGATGGTGGTCTGAATTTTCCGCTTTTCTCCTTGCATTGTCTAGTTTGTGTGGTAGCTGTCGATGTCATGTAGGTGCTGTCGTCACAGAAGTATTTCCAAAACGAAAGCATCGCAGTTTCATCTTCATTGCTCGTCGAAAATCGTAAGCAATGACTTCGAATATAAACTCTCTTCATTGGTTTAGAAAGGGACTCAGGTTGCACGATAATCCGTCCCTGCGGCAGGCAATAGAGGGTAGTTCCACTTTCAGAGCAGTATTTTTCCTCGATGTGGACTCCTTGGATGAGATCAACCTATCGAAAAACAAGTGGCGATTCCTTTTAGAATGCCTACACGACCTCGATAAAAGTCTGAGAAGACTGAACTCGCGTCTCTTTATCGTTCGAGGTCAGCCGATCGATGTCTTTCCGAAGCTAATTAGACAGTGGAATATTACTAGAGTAACGTATGAATATGACAGTGAACCATTCCCACGGAGAAGGGACGATTCGATAAAGCGCTTATTGGAATCAGAAGGAGTTGAAGTGTTGACGTCAGTCTCTCATACGCTGTACGACATTGACGAGTAAGTGTTCATTTAATTTGTTTATTTCATTTTAATGCGATCTTAACCTTGAGGCTCTTCGGTAGCGTTATATTTCTTTTCTTCTGGGTGGAAGACAAGGAACTATGACCAGTCATGTGTCACACGCGCTTGAGTCGTTTGAGCCTTGTTACATAAGAGTCTAGGTTTGTGGACCTTAGCTTTAGTTATGCAATTATCACTCAAACAATCAGGACGAAGAGAAATGCCACAAAGCCAAAATATATAGTTAGAAAATACAAGGAACATTACGTAGTTTATTAATCCTTGGGATGCTGCTGAACAAGTTTCTTTTTGCAAAGAAGCACCTAGTCAAAGGGCTGATCAGAGGTACTTGTGGTGGGGTAAAAGGCTGATCAGAGGCACAGGTGGTGGGGTCAGGGGCTGATTAAAGGTACAGGTAGGGGAGAGAGTTAGTGCCCCACAGGTGGGATGGTATTTGTACGCGCAACAGTTCTCTTTCACAGGAGGATGCTGATGACAACCTGTTCTGGTCCTCAAGGGGAGCTCAAGTTAGATCAACAGAAATTAACTATGTGATTGACCCCCTCCCCTTCTGCCCCCGCTTCTCCCACTATACATCCTCCCTGCTTAAGAAGTAAGAGACTAGCTAGTATGAAATGGTTCTCACATTTCACATTATGTATGATAGCTGAATACTAAATTGTTTAGAAGGCCACAAATTGAAGTGTAAATCAAGTCTTGCATGTCTAGGAGCAGCAATCAGCAGGATGTTTGCATGTGGTAGAATTTAACATCATCATATGGGCCTGTACAAAACAGGGACAGGCTGTGACTCTTGTGTAATGAATAGGAAATGTGCTTAGTGTCAAGTTGTGTGAAATTTGAATACCAGTTGTTAGGAGAAGGGTTGCATTATAGGGCAGAGAGATTGATGAGTGTTCATGTCTTTATAGAGCTTAATTGTAAGCCACTTCTGCTCTCCCCTGCATGAAATGTATCACATTTCTATTCTTCATTATAGAGTCATCAAGTCAAATCATGGGAATGTTCCAGTTACTTTCAAGCAGTTTGAATGCCTAGTAAGTAAGTTGAAAAGTCCAAGCAACTGTGTACCAGTTGTCGATGAGCAGTTGTTAAAAAACTGTAAGACACCTGTGGAGGATAATGACGAAAACAACTATGGTGTACCAGAATATGATGCCCTTGATTTTGTTGAGGAAGAAGCTGAACCTGGACAGTTTGCAGGAGGAGAGACAGAAGCTTTGAGAAGACTTGCTGTTCTTGAAAAAGAGGTTGGTAAAGATTTATTTTGGCTGAATGTTTTCTTGAAGGAGATATTTGTTGTAGAAACAGTGCATTTCCTCTCACTGGCCTTTAAAGTTAATACTAAATTCTGACACTTGGCAGGCCTTAGGAATCCAGAGATTAACTTCTACTTAGGAAAATGTTCCTTAAATTTCATTTTAAACTCTAGGAGAAATTCTGCCCATTTAAATCTTAGGTTAGCAACCTGTTCTTTTACCTGTGGGGTGACCAAGTTTCATTCCTCTTTTCAATCCCTTGCAAAGAAGCAGTCATGACTTTCACATCCATTTTTTGTCATGTGCATGTGACTACTACAATTTTGTTTGTTTGCATTGTGAACAGGTAGCAGAACCAAAATTGGGCAAACCACAGCAAGAGTCCAATTCTCCATTTCCCAAGTCCTCAAAGTTGAGTCCATACTTGAGATTTGGTTGTCTGTCAGTGAGACAACTTTTTCACAGAATGAACCAAGTCTACAGAGAGGTTTGTAATTGATTTTTGGTAACATTGTTTTGCAAAAGTTGTGGTGATCTTCGAATATCATTGATAAATGTTTTGTGATGTTTATAGATAATCAGTGAGCTCTGCAGCAATTACACCCATCTAGTGCTTATAACTACAAATCACTTGCTCTTGACATGTTGTTGCTTTTGAATTGTGGCCATATTTTAGTTTTCTCTTATGCTGAACATGTATCAACAGATGCAATATGAGAGTCACTCTATCACTGGTAGAGACCTATGAAGGTCTATCTAATACCCCATTCACACCAGCAAAACATGTTAAGTGAAACTAGGTATAATAAAAATCAGACCCAAAGAGCTGAAAAAGTGAATTTTTCATTAGTTGTTATTAATCACATACTATTATTTTCAATGTGCTACATTTGAAGTCAACAAAGATAGGTTTGTGCAGCTTCTATGAAGAAAACAACTCAATTGCATTTGACAGAACAGTTTTAAAACATGTTTAAGCTTTGGTGTGAATGGGGTAGATGATTATCAGGATGATGTGTTGTGTATTTGCAAGTTTTGAAGGATTCTTTTCTAATGGTCTTTAATTACGTTGCAGGCTAATGGAAAACCAGCCCCAATGTCAGTTCATCTACCATTATTGTGGCGAGAGTTTTATTTTGTTGTGGCCAGTAAGCATCCTAATTTTGACAAAATGAAGAACAATTCTCTTTGTTTACAGTTTCCTTGGGAGAAGCAAGCTTGCAAACTGGAAAAGTTCCAACAGGTGAATTACATCATGAGCATGTGTTTTACAAGGGTCATCAATCAGATGTTGTGGGACTCTCTGCGTTCCATTTTCATGTGGGGAAAACAGGACTATGTGAAAGATTGATGGTGTGAAAATGTGCAGAGATACAATTTTTTTGAAAAAGTTGTTTTTATATTGATGGTTATTATTTTTTTTATTGATAACCTATCAAAAGATCTCATTCAATAATTTGATAACAAGATCTTTAATCTTTTTTATACTCCAGGGCAGGACTGGATTTCCATGGATAGATGCAATGATGCGTCAAATGCTATTGGAGGGATGGATTCCTCACTTAGCCCGTCAAGCTGTGGGATGTTTTTTAACCAGAGGAGCTCTCTGGATATGCTGGGAAGAAGGATTTAAAGTATGTGTTAATGAAAATTACACTGTTGACTCTAACAATGAGCTTTTGTAGGAACCAAATGACCTTCCCCTGGTTGGTTCCCACTCTTGGGTTTAAACTCTAGACTGAACATATTTAAGAGGCACAAACTGAATATTTTGTCTTAGGAGCTATTCAATGTACAACATGGCATATGTCACATTCATTATGTTGAATTCCCTTTTCCCCCCCCAGATATTTGAGAAGTATATGCTTGATGCTGAGTGGAGTATAAATGCTGGTAGCTGGATGTGGTTGTCATGCAGTGCATTCTTTGCCAAACATCCTCAGTGGACATGCCCAGTTGGTTTAGGAAAACATTTGGATCCACAGGGCAACTATGTGAGGTACTGACTCCTGAACAGTTTAAAAAAAAGATTGACAAATGAATGTGAGTTAGTAGGTAATTGAAAACCACACCTAAAGGAAAGGGCCAAAAACTTACTTGGAACACAAGTCTCAGCCTCTCTTTGCCTTTCCACCCCCACCCCCCTGAAAACAATCTTGCATGCTAAGCATGCTAACTTTTTCATCCAGGGGGGGCAAGACATATTAGCAGCAGGTCATGCAGTAAGGCAGATAAGGGGTTATTTGAGGGGAACAAGGTTGATACCCTTCTTTTAAATGTAATCCAGTAATTGATGTTGAGGTTATTGTTTTTAAAGGAAATACATCCCAGAGTTAAAGGATTTCCCAGCAGAGTATATCTATGAACCGTGGGATGCACCACTTGAATTGCAGGTGGCGTGTAATTGTGTTATTGGTACTGATTATCCACAACCCATAGTCAACCATCAACAAGCAAGGAAAAGTTGTGTTGATAGGCTGAGAGGAGTGTATCAAAATCTTGTGACAAAGGGTGAGTTATCTTTGAAGCTGTGGAGGAGAATAAATCAATCAATATCACATGAAATAATCTGAAGCAATCCAAACATGTCTGATTTACGTTTCTTCTCTTTTTTGTAGTCTCATGCAATGTTGGACTTGGCCATAATGCTATGCACTGGTTCAGAAAGGATTTGAGGCTCCATGACAATCCCTCACTATGTGAAGCTCTAACAAATTGTAGAACATTTCATGCTGTGTATATTCTGGATCCTGTGAGTGCGAGAGCTGCAAAAGTTTCTGCCAACCGTTGGAAATTTCTCGTGGACTGTCTACGTGATCTGGACAAGAGTTTGCGAGAGTGTGGATCAAGACTTCATGTCATTCGTGGGCAGCCAACATATGTGTTACCTAAACTTTTCCAAGACTGGAATATTTCAAAACTGACATTTGAGTGTGAAATTGAGCCATTTGGACAACGGCGAGATGTGGCTGTGGCTGTCCTTGGTGAAGAACATGGAGTGGAAGTTATTTCTAAGCCTTCACATACCCTGTATGATCCTGAAAGAATAATTAAAAGTAATGAGGGTGAGGCACCCATGTTAATAAAAACATTTGAAAATGTTATCCGGCAAATGGGCCCTCCGGAGAAACCTGTCGATGCTGTGAACAAGGAAATGTTCAAAGGTTGCGTTTGCCCAGTCTCAAATGATCACAGCACAAAATTTGGTATCCCAAGCTTAGACGAACTTGGCTACAGTGGGTGCGAAGTCACCACAGGGGATTTGTGGGTTGGAGGAGAACAGGAGGCCATGAAAAGGTTAACTGAACTTGAAGAGAAGGTAAATAGTGAATTACCTATTATTTCTCATAGTGTTTACTCTAATATGATTTGTGTTTGTCCCTTCTTAGTATTGCAGCATTTCTGTTGGAATTTATAACAACCAATCTGTTGCATAAGTCTTATTTGGGGTATTCCAGATGTGTATGAAATAGAAGTACTACATTTGAAGTAATCCTTGTAGTTTCTACTTTTTGAAATGAAAGTGTTCTTCTTCCTTTTGTAGTCATCACCAAACTGTAAGTGCTACAACACAGTCACATGCAGCCTAATCAGGCACTTGTAGAGCCTGAACCATGTGCAAGCAGACTCATGGAACATGCACATATCTTATCTTCATTGACACTAGAGCTCATTGTTGAAGACTCTTGGAACACATATAATTATCTTGCTTCATCTGCTTAAACAGTAGAACAAGTATATTGATTAGTCATCTTAACTTCACTGAACATGTTTGTGTCAGGTTTTGGAGGGCAATTTAAAGAAATCTGTGGAAGGGCTAGATGCACTAAGGCCATCCAGGACACAGCTGAGTCCTTACCTACGCTTTGGTTGTCTTTCTCCACGGCTCTTTCATTTGAGGCTTACCAAAGCCTACATGAAGGTAAGGTGAAATTGCCAAAAGTGAACCTGTTGCATGTTTATCTCATTGCCACTGGGATGGACAATTTTTAAGTTTTTGAGTTATGGAGGTGTCCAAATTTTTTTAGGATAGGGTACTTTTTAAAGTGGGACTGTAGGCTAACTCAATCTCTTAGGAATGCTTTTGTTTTTGCACATATCAAAAAATTGTTGTCCAAGTTGCCTATCTGCAAAATTTGAATACTAGAGAATGTGCCTTTTTGGAAATACCTGCAATAGAACTTTCTTTTCTAAGACTGAATCTCATGGCAAAGTAGAGATAATATCCTGGTTTAATGGTGTTTGCAGCTCACACGGTTTTTCCTTTAGATGACACTTCTTGCATGTCTATTGTCAGAATAAAGTATTTTTTGGTGGACCTGGCTGAAAATCTTTTTTACAACAATCTTTGTGTATATCCTAAACCATTTTGAGTGACGTTGAATTGGCTTAGATTTAGAGAAATATCTCTTCAAAATGGCTTTTCGGAGAAACCCCTTCAATTCATGTCCCCTAGTGAAAGAATCATTTCACACAGATTATTTGTGGAATCATATCATATGTGAAAATTTCAAGTCATTGCAACAAATCTGTCTTGAAATATTTTATTCACTAAATTATGGAAAATTCAGCACATTAGCCACTGGTAATACCTTAATGTGTTCATGCTATTGAGAAACTTAAATTGCTAAAATGTACATTTGTGATACTATGCTGATGTTGTTTGCTGATGCTCTCAGTTTCTTTCCTAATGAACAAACTGACTCTATTTTTGCTTTTTTGCCATTGTAATGCATGAGATTAAAGCAGTCAGGTCAATAGTGTTTGTTGTTGGTAGCTCTTTTAAGGCTGAAAACATCGTGTATGTCTTAGGTGAAATGCCAGCCACCACCATTGTCACTCTACAGGCAGTTAGTTTGGAGGGAGTTTTTCTTTACACTTGCCAGTCGAAATCCTCAAATGGACAGGGCAGTGGACAATCCACTTTCTTTTAATATTCCTTGGGAGGAAAACCAAGATGCATTCGATGCATGGAAAAAGGTACAATAAATCCAGAATCTGAGTATTGTTTTTACTTTACTTGTGGTTAGGTGCTCTTTATTTTGAAACACTGCTTGCATCTTTTCTAGAAATGTTCAATATAGCAACTGTTCTTTTAGTAATGATGATGAATTAATGTTAACCCTTAAACTCCCAAGATCTCATTGGTGATTCTCCTTACTGTCTCCCATACAGTTCTTGTGATGTTAGTTTAGAGAACTTGGTATTGGATCAACTTACAATCCCCCTACTGATATTTTTCCTTATTCTCATCACTTGTCTGCTTGATATTGCATTGATATTGAGAGAAATTATGTCGTGGTCACTCATAGGAGTTAAAGGGTTATTGAGGGAACTTAACCTTTTGATTACAAGACAGGAAATTTCTCCCTTCAATATCTATACAATATGTAGAAAGGTAACAAGAAGTAAGAAAAATATCAACAAGGAGATATTGATTGATTTAACATCAAATCCTTAGAACAAGAATCCCAAGCAATATATGGGAATGGTACAGAGATCTGATAATAAGATCATGGCATAAAAGGGTTAAGTTAAATCAAAGGGTAGGATACTTAGTGGTGATACTTAGTTGTTCTAGTTGCAGGATTTTTATGAGAGATTTTGCTGAAAGTTCATCACCTTTAAATGTGTGTGTTGGTCAGTGATGCCCCACATTTCCAGTCAAAGAAAGTGTGGCTCGTTTGGCTTATTTGATCAGATGCATTAGTCTTTGATGGAATTAAAACTATAATTGCATATTTGCTTTTGATCTTGGCACTATTTGACTAAGAATTAAGCTTACTTCTTTATGCTAGGGCCAGACAGGTTTCCCATGGATTGATGCTATCATGCGACAATTACATGCGGAAGGGTGGATCCACCATGTAGCTCGACAAGCTGTTGGATGTTTCCTGACGAGAGGATGTCTTTGGATTAGTTGGGAAGAAGGATTTAAGGTATAGCTGTGAACTTTATGTTATTGATCTTTTGTAGCCCTCAACAAAATTGTTGTTAAGTTGTATGTTTAAAGTGAATGTTAATGTTGAGTAGTATTTTGGCTTTTTTAATACTATTTTATCACTGAATTGATATACATGTAGATATTGCTTTTACACTTATAAGGATACTGAGATATATGTTGAGAAGTGTTCATTTTGTACAATATCTTCTGTTGTCCAGTGGCAGCTAGTAAATACCTTAATTTGTTATTCTTTGAAGTTGTTTTCTTGTTTGATAACTTATTACAATAATACGCTCATGAATGGCTCATATTTTCCTATTTTTATGCCATCCATACAAAATGTTTGTTTTCTTTTGAAGTTGTTTGAACAGCTTCAGTTGGATTCGGAATGGAGCTTGAATGCTGGTAATTGGCTTTGGGTGTCATGTAGTGCATTCTTTCATGGACAAATTCCGTGGTATTGCCCTGTCAATGTTGGAAAGAAACTTGATCCCTCAGGAAATTTTATAAGGTAACTTCACTCGTACTTCATTTTGCATTTCATTCGATTGCCAAAATCTTTGACCTTAAAAAGCGTTGGCAAGATATGATGAGACCTAACGGCTTTATGGGTACACATGTACGTAATAACATGATCATCAAAGTTGCACGTGATAAAGGATACCAGCCTTCTAAAGTTTCCAAGACAAGAATTACCGTAAACAAAGATTTTCACGAATAATGATAAAAGAAAAGCACAGACTGTGTTATTGTGAAAACATTTCCCATGTAGCCACTGTGTGTCATCGTTCTTGAATCATGCTTTTCAGGTGTCGACGTTTTTGCAATCGAGTATGTAAAGGAAAGTTAGCCTGATGATTGCTTGATCTGTACTCTTTTGCTCTTCAATGTTGTTACAGATGAATAAGTAACATGTACTCTCCACTTCTCGTGCGAACTTCAAAACATTCACTGGAGAAAACATTTCATTATGAAAGCTTATTCAAATACTTAAAACGAAAAAACTGGTGACTGAGGTAATTCTAGGTAGAGAATTCGCTTGAGGCCCCAGAGAAAACACCTTATATTCTGCCACTAAAGTAGTTCAGGAAAAATTGGTTGAATCTTCCATCTTATCAATTTTGTCATAACATATGAGCGTAACAAGTCTGTAGTCCGTGCAGTTTTGTTCAACATGCTAGCTTGATGAACATGTCCGTATCAAGCTGACAAAAATAGTTGACATTTGATCAATTTGTATTTGCTATCTTGACAGGCGATACGTCCCTGAACTCAAGACCATGCCGACAAAGTACATTCACGAGCCTTGGATGGCACCCTTGGCCGTGCAGAAAGCTAGTAACTGCATTATCGGCCAAGATTACCCAGACCGCCTCTGTGACCACATCGAGAGACGGAAAGTTTGTCTTGAACGACTGAAGGACGTGTGCCAACAGATTCAGGGAACTAACTCGTCATCACGTGATATTGCCGATGTCGTTGATTAAATGTTCAGTTATTGATTCCCAACAGAATAGATTTTCCTGAGTATTAGTGTTGTTTTCTGTTTTTGTTTTGTTTTGTTTGGTTTATTTATTCGGTACGAAGAAATAGTGGCACTACTCGGCTTAAAAGAAAAAAAAATCGCCGATACTCTAGATGCAAAAGGGGTAGTTCTTTCTTATGGGACCAAGTATCGAGTACTTGATCTGCATTCAAATGTAAAATTAGTCAAAACTCTCGCAGTCAAGGGTTTTCCAAACTGTGAAACATTTGTGAAAATATAATATTCAATGACCACATCTGATATGTACAGCATCAAAGCATGTTACGTTGACCGACCCCATCCATATGAAGAGGTGTTTCACGTTGACTTGTAAATATTTAATTGGTGCAAAGGAAAGTTAATATTATTCATGGACCTCAACACTCTTTTATAGGTTACTAACCAACCTAGCAGTTATAGTCGACTTAAGCACGGCTCAATTGTTAAAATTTAAGATGAGCGACTCATATGGAAAGTGACTGCTTCGTGATCCAAACGTACTAGTTTTGTTTCATCGTATTTCACTTCGATGGAAGCCTTTTAACGATAACTGATGCAATTTTAACTTGAGCGATTTGGTTGCCGGTGCCGGTTCATTATCCAGTTTTAATTTTATCAGGCTGTCAAATACTACAACTTGTACAGTTTAAACATGTAGCCTGAATAATTGTATATAAAGTGGTTATTGTCACCCAGTGTTGTGTGTGGTGTTCGTTAATATGGGAAAATTGATTCAAGACGCCCATGTCCCTGTTATAAACCCCGTTGAAAACAAGGTGAGGGGCTGCGACGACGAAGCGGAGACATAAGAGCCTCCGGAAAAACGGCGGAAACTGACTGAGAGTGATCTAGCTATCTTCGATATGCTCACCTGACATCTTGCTTTTGATGGAGAGAGAGGTGGCCGGTCTCGGACGTCCAACTCGCAGGGCCGGTGAATTAGAGTAGCTTCTACGCTAGGCAAAACCAAACGGAATTGAACTAAACAAGTCCAAGCGAGATATCTCTACCCCCACATGTGGCGAGGCTTCGATGTAAACTAGTGGAAACCTAAAATGTCTGGAACAACCTCGGAGGATCTGCTCTCAGTCATTGAACTGAGAACTGGTTAACTTGAGATATTGCAGGGCTTTCCCTCTATTTAAAACAACTGCTGATGCAATTTTTCCCGGTTCAACGCCAAGAAACTAGGCACATTAAAGTCATAATCGACAAAGAGACGGACAAGGCCACCCATCGAGAGGGTGAATCTACTTCTGGTATATTGGTAAGGGAGAAGAAAGATGGGACTTGTCGCTTGATGATAACCTTAAAAGTCCCCAATAATGGCGTTGGGAGAAACATTTCGAAATGAACGTCTGTAGTCAATATGGTGAACCCCAATTGTAACATGACTTCTGTCGATTGGCGTAATGGCGTAATGTATACTAGTCAATTCCTTTAAGTAAAATTTCAAAAAACTTCGTGGGATTTCAGAGGAAGAGGCAGTTAAACCAGTACACTAATTTGCTAAATGAATTCCAAGATGTCTCGCGCAGTTTCAAACAATATTTAGAAACCAGTGACAACACAACCGCGGTCACTTATATGTAAGCTATGGTGATGATTCTGAACTCTAAGGAGATGACAAAAATCATTGCAAACAAAATGTCAGTGACACAGAAGACTTAGTACATGCCTCAAACTCCATTTCTCACCTAGGCTGGTCATGTAACCCCCAGTAATCTTTATCTCGTATCTTATTAGAATTCCAATTACATTTTAACTGAGAAGTAAGTCTCGGTTAATATCCTTATTCTACCTATTAAACAAGTAAGGGGGTCAAAGAATGCGTCGATACAAATAGCCTCTGAATCAGGCTTCCTCGGCAGAGGCTGGTAAAAAGTTGCTGGCATACTGCAGTTGCAAACTCATCAATTTCTGGAGTACTCCTTAATTTAATTGTTGGCTTCAATCGCCATTCTGAGCGGTGTTTTGTTGACAACCTTTCCTTTCCGCATCCCTATTGAGTAGACCAGGTACAGTGTATGAGGGAGGCATTAAGCCGGACAATGTCATGGTATTCCAAATTGCACAAACAACATCATTTCAGGCAGGTGAATTTGTGTACCCTTTGAGTAAAAATAATACACGCATCCCTTACATTATCCAAAAGAACATTCGAATGCAAATTTCACTGCAATCCTTCTTCAGTGGTTCACAGGCCTTGGGTAGCACTCCCCTTACAAACTGCTCCTCATCATTTTTAAGCATCGCATGTAATATTTTTGTCTACTTGATCGCGTGTCTGTTGTCTGACTACGCCACGTGCCTAGAGTTTTCGATTGCTGATCAGCGCATGCACAAGCTATCTCATCTGAACCCCGTGGCATCCTGTTACTTGATAGAATTATAACTGATCAAACTTCAACTTAGAGGTAAGTATCATCAGTGTCTCAATTTAACTTGTTGAATACGCTATTTTCACCCTTTTCTTCCCACTGGCTCGTCTGCTAATGGTCATAAGACAGGGCAAGACAGTTCATTGAAAGACAGACTGCTATTCTCTCCGATTGATGTTCACTTCAACTTGGACAAAAAACAAATTTCGCTTTATTGCACTTTAAAGTGTTTGCAGGGGGGGAGGGAAAGGCAGTATATTAGACCTCAAATTTAGTTATGTAACGCCAATCGTCACTTGTTATGAAACAATAAGGAGGCAGTGGGCATGCTGCCATCGGTTTCCGTGTCAATCCGTGCGTGAGTAACTTGCGTCTGTGTCGTAGAACCAGCACGTGCAAAGAAACATCAGGCATCCATATTTTACTTATTCTACTTTATAGTAGCAGGTGGCGTTAAGGAAAATGCGGGGGGGGGGGGGTTCTTTCTCTTTGATCCTACCTGGATTCTTTATCTATTTCCCTAGAAAGCATTGCTCAAGTGAATTTCTGGAGACATGTTTATCCTTCGCGTGCTCTTCATACAAAGCTTCTGAAACTTGCAAGTCAGCTCTTTCCGAAATTACTCATCGGTCAAGTTATAAGTGACTTATAAATTGACAAATAAAACACTTTTTTTTAACGAGGGTAAAAACTCAACGGTCATAGAATGACAAACCCGTGGCCCTCACTAGCTTACTTAAAACAACGCATACCGAGTCCGTCTTGTGGTGCCTTAAAGTTTTTGCTGGGGAGTGATGGTAAGGTTGACCTCTAGTTATGTAACACCGCTCGTCCTTTGTTTTGAAACCAAATGCGCTGTAAGTACATATGAAGAAGGAAGAAAGACCAAGGAAACAATGCAGTAGCGTCTTATTTAAAGTTACCCGCTATAGTGATTTATTGTAGATAACGCTATTTACGACCGTTTTTATGACTTCATTGTTAATGTGCAAGAAAGCAGGGTAATATGCATGCTGCCATCAGTTTTCTTGAGTGCGCAAGTTGCGCTATGTGTCCAACCAAAGAACCGTCACGTGCAGGGGAACATCATGAATCCAAAGTTTACTATTTAGAAGTTTTAATAAACTATGAAGTTGATGCGTATAATGTTTGCGGAGTTGAGGGTCTCTCTCCCTTTGGCCTTTACTGGATTCCTAATTATTCTTTCTTTCAAGCGTCACAAATTGCTCAAGTCCGTTTCAGTATAAAATTGGCCGTTAATACAGTGGTTGACTTGACACAGGTGGCTATTTTCATTGAAAAAAAATTGGCAGATGCTTCAATAATGAAAGGCTGACCATAAATAACATGATCAGTATAAGAAAAATGTGCACGACAAAAGAGTTTTAAAGTTTTTCTTCTTCTTCTTCTCTCAGTTTTGGTTTCCGGTGAGATAAGGACTTTCAAGGTCCTCACGTGGCTCAAGAAAATCACGTTTTGGTGAGTGGAAAAATAAAGTGTATGACATGCAGGGTTAGTTATTTGTATGCTATCCGCTGAACTGAGCAGTGAAAAAACCGTGAGCCTTGTATGTTAGTGTAGATGTGTTTCAATCATAGATTACTTTGGAACAATCTAAGTAATTCTGCCTGATTCGTGAGAGAGCTTCGTTGGATTCAAGGTGAGATTCCTTTTCACAAAATTAATTGTATTCTGGGGAAAGTAAGGTCGTATGTGTACAGCAAGTGGTAAATCCAATTCATGCAAGCTCGACACAAGTTCTCGTTTTGGTGACCAAAAATCACGAAAAGTCGTCAGTGCAAACTCGCCACAAAATGGCAGTTTTCGACGCGGCTACCGCAGATTTCCTTGTCTATCCGACACCGATGCTGAATTTCCTCAAGCGTACAAAATAGTTGCAGCTGGGCGCCTTGAATTGTGGACTCCGTAGACAGTGAGAAGTTTTTCCTCCTTGAATTTAAATTCCAGTCAATTCAGTGAGTGCAAAGTAAAATTGGCCAAACTAGTTTGATTTTATTTGGGTTCTTGCATTAGTCTCCATTATGTTATCTTATGATTACTTTTCATCGCTCCGTTCTTCGGAGCGATGAAAATCGTGAGCCCTGTAATCTGTGGTGTCTGACGATACTGTTAGACTCGCGAGAAAGCTTCGCTGAGGTGAGATTCTTTTTCACATTGTTAATTGTATTCGACGACCATCAATGTCTGTATGTGTACAGCAAGGTGTTATTTTCACAGCACGTAATAAATTTAAATCATAAAAGCTCAACTTTATTGTAAAATCGCCATTTGGTGAACGAGAAGCGTATAAAGGTCGTCAGAAATATATTGTAGTCGTCAGAAAAAAATAACGTAGAAAATTTCCAGTAAAATCTCGTGGTAAATGAGTGATTTACCACATAATTTCTTGGTAAAATTTCCGCACAGCCTCATAATACATTACGCATTCAGTTCTTGGATTGAGAAAACGACATAAACAATACATTGCCATTGGGAAAACAGATTTGTTTGAAAATAGTATGGGGCTGTGCGGAAATTTTACCAATTTCTTGCCTAACCAAGGCCATAGCAAAATTTTCTCAAGAGAGCAAAACAGTCGCAGCTAGGGGTCCTGAATTATTAACAGAGATAAGTTTTTTATTGTTGAATTTGATTTCTACTCAGCTGATTCCAGCTGTTACAGCGGATGCCAAAAGACTAGCACTTTTGTCTTTTTTTTTAGTAAAATAACTATCACTCTAGAGCTAGGATTTTTTGTGGGGGAAAAACACTGTTACTTTTCAAATTGAGATGGTGGCCTAGTACATTTAATTCTTGGCAGCATACTATCTTGTTTTCTGTAGGCTTCTCTTGACAGTTACCACAAGTATGCCACTCACATTTTCCAGTTGTGAGAGAATGAGCAGGTCTATGTTTCTCCTTGAAACTCATTTCCTGACTTTCTTTATTGACCAAGGGTTTTTTCCTTCTCCTGAAGACAAGCCATATTGCATTTGAAATAAAAATGGATGTCTTACTCCCTCTGGACTAAAATCCAAGTTCAGAATTCAATCAGTAGTGCTCTCCTCTCCACTGTTTTCCCTGCCTACTTCCATCTCAGCAGAGATTTAAGTTGGCATGCTTGGCTATTGCTATGTCATAGTTGTATCATAACAAAGATGGCAATTTTCAATTTGAAAATGTACATTTTTGGAACATGATTATTAGCCACAAAAATGTTTTTAGCTCAAATGAAAAGCTAGTTAGGACAATTTGCAACTCAGGAACTTTTGATTTGGGTAACATTTTCTAGACTGGACTTTCCTTTTATAGTCTGAGTATAATGGCAAATAATTAAAAAACCACAGATTCTCATATTGAAGATTAGCAGACTGCAAGACATATGTATACCAAGGATGTGTACAAAGTTATATGCTGGCATTTAAAGTAACTTTAAAAAATGTCTTTATGTGCCTGTTTTGTATCTGATAGAGGTAATTTGATAATTTTTCACTTTCCGAAATAAATGTAGCACATTTTGTTTTTGTTTCTGCATAAGTAACAAATGCAAGTAGTATCACCTGTGAGAGCTGATAGGGAAAGCTATTACTCTTTTGATTTGAAAATATTCTAGAATTGTGACCCTAACCCTTTTCATCCTATAGTCTAGGAATCTAAGGATCTAACTTGCCATTAAGTTAATATTATTGCCTATGGTAAGCTCCTAAGCCAGCTACTAATTAAATTTCTTATTTTGTAACAAAGGTATCTCTTCTTGTTTTTATCTTAGGGGTGCTATTTATGGCTGAAAAAGAGAAACACAGTAAAGCAATCCATTGGTTTCGTAAAAACCTCCGGCTTCATGATAACCCTGCACTGTGTGAGGCACTGAATGGAAGTAGTGAGGTGCTGGGGCTCTATGTCCTTCCACCTTGTATTCCAGCAGATGGAAAACTCAGTGCAAATCAATGGAATTTCTTGATGGAATGTTTAGAGGACCTTGAAAGAGGTCTAAGATGCCTTGGCTGTCAGCTGCTAGTTATACAAGGTTATCCAGTTCAAGTAATTCCTAAACTCCTAAGTAATCTAGAAGTGTCAAAGTTAACATTTGAAACAGAAAATGAACCATTTGGAAAACAGAGAGACGCTGTTGTTACTCACCTGGCTGAGAGTGCCGGGGTGAAGGTTGTTTCCTGTTCTTCACATTCCCTGTACAACACTGAATGTGTTATCAAAGCAAATTGTAATAAGGTTCCAGTACTCTTTACTGACTTTCTTGACGTCATTTCCACAATTGGACCACCAGAGTTTCCAGTGAAAACAGTGAATGAAGAAAGCTTTCCAACTCTGAGAAATATTGAAAATAAATTCATTGACTACCATATACCCTCGCTTGAAGATATTGGAATTAAAAAATCTAATGTAACCTGTGGAGGAATATGGCATGGTGGAGAGACGGTGGCATTGAAAAAATTGGAAGATCTTCTAAAGGAGGTATGTTTTAATAAGATGTTTTGAATCAATGATAACATTGTATGGACAGACAATATTAGCAGGTACTAAGGAGGAGAGAACACACATCATATGACACTCTGCACTAAATGTTTTTGCAAGTCTAATTTCTTCTGTCAGGCTTGCACTACACCATCAACAAAGGTTTTTCAGTAGTGAAACATCTACCAATGTTAATACCAACAAATGTTTATTGGCATTAAAATTGTATTCCCTGTTACTATTTCAGTATTCCCTGCAGTCCATCATTGGCCGCTTGAAGGATTTTTCCAGGTTTCTATCCCAGTAGCTGGGCACCACCCATCTTGTTTTCCTTTTCGGGGTGGTACTGATGGAGTTAAGCCTGTGCTACTTCAACTATATTTTCCTTTCATATGTGTTGTTCACTTGTTTGTCCATTTGTAGATGATGAACACTGATTTTCAAATGGAGTCAAACAGTGAGACCTTTTTTCATAATTCTGTGGACAAGTTGAGCCCATTTCTCAGATTTGGATGCCTATCACCCCGGACACTATACCATGCAATTTCAAGTACTTACTACAAAGTGAGTGATACTTTTCTTAGGTAGGATTGATTTGTAGTTTAATTTTGTTTGCCTTTGTCTCAAAATAAGTATCAATGGTAATTAAACTGAAATAAAGGAAAATCAGCCTAAAAATAGCTTGAGGGAGTTTAAGGTATCAAGATTGCCATAAAAACCAGAACTTTAAGTGGTGTAAATTATTTAAAAGAAGGCAGATCAGGTAGTGAAATTAGTTTGTCCTGATTCTTTTTACATGTTAAAGTTAATCTAATGCTTTTCCTCCTCTCACTCCTTTTTTCGTAGATACTGCTAACCCCCAACAGATAGTAGATTAAATAAAGTGTGTTTCAAATACTTTTCTTCCAGGCTAAGCAGTGTAATCCTCCATTGTCATTCTTCAACTTCTTACTTTGGAGAGACTTCTACTTCTTGATTGGCAGCAAAAATCCAACTTTTCACCAGATAGAGAACAATCCACTTTGCTTGCAAATTGAGTGGGAGGACAATGATTTTGCTGTACAGCAATGGAAAAAGGTATTTTTATGTGAATATGCTATAAATCTGAAATATTCTTGAACAAGTATTATTGTTGTTTTCACACCTTCCACCGAGTTTACAATTAAATGTGTACACACACTTCTCAATGATGAAATAGTCACATTGACTTTGCCATCCACAAATGTTGTTTCTGTTTTTTAGAGAAAAGTTGGGGAAATTGCTTCATAAGGTCACTTTTGTGCTTCTGTTGGTGCATATTAACTGTTACTCTGGCAAAAGACTTAGATATTAAGCATATACAGATGGGATGCTTTTTAGTTCTATTAAAAGTATACATTTTTACATAGGGTCAAACAGGTTTTCCTTTTATTGATGCTGTTATGCGCCAACTATACCTCGAAGGGTGGATTCCAGATGTTGCTGCACAAGTTGTTGGTTGTTTTCTTACAAAAGGGTGCATGTGGATCAACTGGCAAGAAGGTTTTAAGGTAAAACTAGATATTTAAGTGAATTGCTTTTGTCAATGTGGAAGTCTGGCTGATTGAAAACTGTTACTTGCATATATTTCTTGACATGAGCAAACCTTACACAGGTAAAAATATATGGTGGGATCCCACCAATCCCACCTGGGATCCCAGGTGTGTCCCGGGTGGGATCCCACCTTATTTTCGGGTGGGATCCTAAGTGAGATCCCACTTGGGATTATGGAACATCCCACATGGGATCCCACCAATTGAAGTTGGGATCCGGCCAATTGAAGTAGGGATCCCACCTTAAATTCCTAATAGCATCCCACCCGGGAAAGCACATTCCGGGCAGGATTAAACCTAGAATCCCACCAATCCCTCTTGGGATCTTGCCTCAAATTTCAGATAATTTCCCATTCAGGAAATCACATCCCAGGTGGGATTGCACCTGGGATCCTGCCAATCCCAGTTTAGACCCTGCTTAAAATTTCAGATGGCTTCCCACTTAGGATTTTAAGAAAAATCCTTAGAGGGATCCTGCCTTACACTGGAGACCACAGATTTATGAAATGTATCAGATGGGATTTCTTATCAATCCCTTTTGTAACCTAATCCTTCAAATTAAGAGGATAAAATTTTCTAGTTAAGTTATAGATCCTGTCAATCCACTGAGGGTCAAAAATTTTCCAACAAGCTATAGAACATATGGACACCTCCACTGGGATCCCATTATCTTACCCAAGCTGTTGATCATACATGATTCAAGCAGGACATGAATGCACATACTTTATGTGATGAAGATCTCATAATTTATTTGCAATGAAAATGTTTTTGATGTTGTTTCACTTACAAATTACTTAACTGAACATTTTCAAAGAATAACAGCACAACTCAACATATTACTTTTTCAATATCATTTATGCAGTCCATTCACAGTGTAATCTGGCTCAAAGGCTGTTGTATATGAAAGAATAGAAGAAAGACAAAACTTCAATAATTCATGTTATAAAAAATTTGACGAAGAAGGTAGTGGTTTAAATTCTGCTCTCTCTTTAGTCAAATTTTTCAAAGCAAAGCAGGGTCAGAATGTTCCCAAATGTGACTAAAGTAATCTTGAAACCTGACCGATAGATTTATTTCATTGTAAAAGTGTAAGCTTAAGAAACTGCAGCATGCAAGTGACCAATTTGATTCTCAGAATTATTCAAGTTTCAGTTGTGGCGAGCATTAGGTAAGCTCAATTCAAGCCATTATATCAACTCTTTGGTGAGAATTGATCACATAACAAATGTTGCAATTTGTACTAACCACAAACTTTCAAAATCCTAGCTTTGTAAATGGCCACTCAATCATTGTTTAATTTTACCAGTCGATATGTCAACTGTTGTCCCTTCTTTTCACATGGTGCCAATGACTTTCTTTTCATTTACAACACTCATACTGGTCTCGTTTTCGCATTGAACCACAATAAAACCCATCTTTAGAAATGTCATATTAAGCAAAACAGTCAAGAAAAGAAATAACTTGAAGCACGAGCGATCAACCAATGAAAAGTACATTCAAAGATGAGCGCCAAATGGAGTTTTCTTTGTTTCCGATCACGGGTATGATCACAGGGATCTTTTTGGAATTGACATTGGCTAGCAAAGAGAATCCCCTGGTTTTCCCAATTGCAGTCTCAAGAGAAGCACGCAAAAGTATTCTGACTTTTCTGACTGGTTCTTTTTCCTTGGATGATGCATACCTTGGATCCATGTTTTGATGATGATATAAATAACGATGTGAATTCACTCTATGTAGAAATAATCAACAAGAATCAAACATATTAGGAAGTATAGGAGATACCTAGATGATCCCAGAATCATTGGGTTCAAAGGAGACTTACATTTGTGCCCTTTATGTTAGAGATACACTGAACATCTTTTGGAATTATCTTACCTAAATGTCATACATGTAGGTAAGATTACCACTTCTTTCTTTCTATCCTTCCCAAGATCATGAGTGAGAGTGTTTTCCTAGGTGGGATAAAGGATCCCAGGTGGAATATGTAAATCTCAACTAGGATCCCAAGTAGAATGCATAAGTCCCACCAAAACTCCCAGGTGGGATGCAGAAATCCCACCTAAGATCCCAGGTGGGATGCAGGAATCCCACATTTAAAGCAGGATCCTGGGTGGGATCAAATTTTCATCCCAGGTGGGAAAGGTGGGATCCCACCACCTAAGGCGGGATCCTGCCATTCCCACTTGGGATCCTGGGTGGGATTGCCGGTATCCCACCCATATCCCACCTGACATTTTACCTGGGTGCCTTTGATGCTTTTTCTGTTTGTTTGTCTTTTTCTTTTAGATTTTGATACAATTAAATAAACCAGAATTACAGGGTCAAAGTAAGGGTCTCATGTTAGAATGCTCTATTCAATTACATGAAAAGGTTCCTTTGGCATGAAACAATAAAATGCCATAAGTTTCACTCTTTTTTATTCAGTTTCTCTTCTTGATAAGAATGCAACTGCCATGCTGGAAAAAGCAAATAGGCCCACCATCTGTGTCATAAAATGCCCTTCTATAAACTGTTATAAAGGATAGGTTTACAACTACTTGTAGATTAAATGAACATTTTAACTTTTATAGGTCTTTGGAGAGATTCAGTTAGATGTAGAGTGGAGCATAAATGCTGGAAAGTGGTTGTCAATTTCTGGCAATGTCTTTGACAGAAATAAACCTCTTGAGTTCTTCTGCCCAGTGGACAGTGGAAGAAAGATGGACCCCTCTGGAGAGTACATTAGGTAAATAATCAGTAACCTTTCCACTTACTACTTGAAACAACCAGTACCAAATTACTGATAAGGCCTGGTATCTGGATTGATAGGTGTGTCACTTGATGTCTAAAGGCAATCATCTGTCTTTGGACTATGTGAGTGATTTCTTCACTCACATGGGAAGAACACCCTATCAAATTCTCAAAATATCAGTCTCTGTCATTGTTAGGTAAGCATTTTAGAACCACCCTCACAAATATGTTCAGATCATAGCATCTTCTGTTACTCTAAGGATCAGACCATTCATTTCTTAACAACCAATTTAAGATGTAGATCTTTAAAATTGCTATGATTTTAGGAAATACGTGCCTGAGCTCCGCAGTTTTCCCACTAAGTACCTGTTTGAACCATGGAAAACACCTAAACAAGTTCAACAAGCTTCTGGATGTATAATCGGTGAAAACTACCCCTTACCGTTAGTGGACCATAAAGAACACTTGAGAAAGTGTCTAAAGAGGCTGGAAGAATTAGCCCAGAGCATGACTATTCAAATTCCAGGTATATACAATGATAATTAGGAGTTTTAAAGATTTTGGAAATTATTTTTCTCTAAGTTCTTTAAACATGGATAAAGGGATTCAGAATTTCTAATTTTTCTCTGCAGTGATGCAAAGTGGACACACCAGTGTGCATTTGTTCAGAAAAGACTTGAGGCTTCATGACAACCCCACATTGCGCTCCTGCTTGAACGGAAGTGAGACATTCTATCCTGTGTACATTTTGGACACCGCAGCAGCAAAGCAGAGCAAAATCTCAGCCAACCGCTGGAATTTCTTACTTGAGAGCTTAAGAGATCTGGATAATCAGCTAGCAAGGCTTGGATCACGTCTGTTCGTGGTACAAGGCAGAACTTTGGAGGTGCTCCCTGAATTAATCTCAGATTGGGGCATAACTCGCATTAGCTTTGAAACTGACTGTGAGCCATTTGGGGCCCAGAGAGATGCTGTTATCCGACATATAGCGGAGAAATCAGGAGTTGAAGTAGTCAGCAAAAGATCGCACACTCTGTTTGAGCCAAGTCAAATTGTCGATGCCAATCAGGGGAAGATATCAATGCTTTTTAAAGAATTTGTGAAAGTCATCGAAGAGAACAAGCTCAGTGTACCCAGTCCTGTCAAAGAAGTGAACAGACAACTTGTGGGAAACTGTGTGACACCAGTAGCTGTTGATCATCAGAGAAAGTATGGAGTTCCTGAATTGAATGAGCTAGGAGTGAAGGATATACGATGTGTGACAAGTGCAGGGTTATGGAGAGGGGGAGAACAAGAGGCTTTAAGAAGACTTGGTCTTCTTGAGAAAGAGGTACATAATACATTTTGGTAACTTGCTAAATTTTGTTAAACTGATGGGTAAGAATTAACCGTGAATGACAACTTGTTTTGGTAATTTCTTAGTATAGTATTTCAGAATTCTAATTCATTTTTGTTTTTTTTATGTGTTTAGTTGGTGAAAAACGACTTTGAGGAGGTCCCATTAAGTGCAGCATCAATGACTTCCTCAAAAACTCACTTAAGTCCGTACCTTCGGTTTGGATGTTTGTCACCCAGAATGATGTGGGAGAGCTTTACTGACTGTTATGTCAAGGTATGCATCACCTTTAAATTAAATCTAAAAGGTTACGTAAAAAACCCAATAAATGACTGGCCTTGAGGTGCATAATGATTCTGTGATAGAAAGGCATGACTAGGTATGCTTGGAAACTTTGTGGACATAACTTTTATAGCAACTCAGTGGTTGATGGGATGGGTGTTATTTCGAAAATGAAGAAGTGACTTATGGATTGACAAGACTGTAAACATATGAAGATTTCCCTTACAACTTTTTTATCGCAGTAAACAAGGGATGTGGTGAAAATTTTATTTTGGTTTAAACTTAATTATCGTCAAAGTAAATAAATAAAGCCTTCAACTACTTATTGCTGTTGTTTTATTTATTTGATTTGTTCATCTAATTTTTTACTTTTTTTTTGTGCCCTCATGGGAAACAGTCGAAAGGTACCATACCACCCATGTCGCTTTACAAACCTCTTCTGCTTCGAGAGTTTTTCTTCACCATTGCAAGTACCTTTCCAGGGCTTCACAAGATGAACAACAACCCTCTCTCCATACAGTATCCATGGGAGGAAAATGCTGAAGGTCTCCAGCGGTGGAAGAATGTAAGTTTCATGGAATTATGTCAATGACGGTGTTGTCGATAATATGTGTTAACAATGTGCGTTACAACTTCCAGGGTACTACTGGATTTCCATGGATTGATGCAGTAATGCGACAGTTGCGCACAGAGGGTTGGATCCCTCATATGGCACGTCAAGCTGTTGGGTGTTTCTTGACCAGGGGATGCCTTTGGATCAACTGGGAAGAGGGATTTAAGGTAAGAAATACCCAAATGGATATTTTACAGTGAGTTTCTGGTTTAGAGGAAAGAGGTGAAAAGATTGATTTCCTTCCATAAGGTTTTCGAGGAGCTTCAATTGGATGCTGAGTGGAGTCTGAATGTGGGAAATTGGCTGTGGCTGTCTGGAAGTACTTTTGTGAAAGAGCACGCACCTTGGTTTTGTCCTGTGGAAGTTGGGAAGAAGGTTGATCCCAATGGGGAATATGTGAGGTAAATGTAATGTGTGGTTGGTTTTAACTAGTGCTAAGTAAGGACTGACCTAATTTATTGAGCAGATACTAGTGTTTTATTGGAAATTGTTTTGCAGGAAATACGTCCCTGAGTTAAAAGGGTTGCCCACAGAGTATTTGTTTGAACCATGGAAAGCACCTGCATTTGTTCAACAAGATGCTGGATGTATATTGGGTGAAGACTACCCCTTTCCACTAGTGGACCATAAAGAAAAGAGAAGGGAATGTGTGATTCGGCTGAAAGAAGTGACCCAGAGACTCGTTGCTGAAAGTCCAGGTAAAAGTCAAAAATGAAGTATTTGAGTGCGGAGCACGCTATTACACCTACTTTTGTCATTTTGGCGCAATTGGAAATTTGAAATGATAAGGAGATAATCACTGAAGAGTGTCTGTAACATGATATGTTAAATTATGATTAAAAAGACTACCTGAGGTAGTCGTAATTACCTAAGTAATAATTTGGAAGAAATAACACCATATTTATGGTAACTAAAAAAGGGTGATATGCTGGGGATATGCTGTTATGATGGAGAACCGCTTGTGACTCTTGTAATGTAGTTCGTGACGTTTAGATATCACCTCTGCGGGCAGACGCAATTCAGGAAATAGATAAATGTAATTCAATTTCTCTTTGTAGAGATTCAAAGTGGACACACCAGTGTGCATTTGTTTAGAAAAGACTTGAGGCTTCATGACAACCCCACATTGCGCTCCTGCTTGAACGGAAGTGAGACATTCTATCCTGTGTACATTTTGGACACCGCAGCAGCAAAGCAGAGCAAAATCTCAGCCAACCGCTGGAATTTCTTACTTGAGAGCTTAAGAGATCTGGATAATCAGCTAGCAAGGCTTGGATCACGCCTGTTCGTGGTACAAGGCAGAGCTGTGGAGGTGCTCCCTGAATTAATCTCAGATTGGGGCATAACTCGCATTAGCTTTGAAACTGACTGTGAGCCATTTGGGGCCCAGAGAGATGCTGTTATCCGACATATAGCGGAGAAATCGGGAGTTGAAGTAGTCAGCAAAACATCGCACACTCTGTTTGAGCCAAGTCAAATTGTCGATGCCAATCGGGGGAAGATATCAATGCTTTTCAAAGAATTTGTGAAAGTCATCGAAGAGAACAAGCTCAGTGTACCCAGTTCTGTCAAAGAAGTGAACAGACAACTTGTGGGAAACTGTGTGACACCAGTAGCTGTTGATCATCAGAGAAAGTATGGAGTTCCTGAATTGAATGAGCTAGGAGTGAAGGACATACCATGTGTGACAAGTGCAGGGTTATGGAGAGGGGGAGAACAAGAGGCTTTAAGAAGACTTGGTCTTCTTGAGAAAGAGGTACATAATACATTTTGGTAACTTGCTAAATTTTGTTAAACTGATGGGTAAGAATTAACCGTGAATGACAACTTGTTTTGGTAATTTCTTAGTATAGTATTTCAGAATTCTAATTCCTTTTTGTTTTTTTTATGTGTTTAGTTGGTGAAAAACGACTTTGAGGAGGTCCCATTAAGTGCAGCATCAATGACTTCCTCAAAAACTCACTTAAGTCCATACCTTCGGTTTGGATGTTTGTCACCCAGAATGATGTGGGAGAGCTTTACTGACTGTTATGTCAAGGTATGCATCACCTTTAAATTAAATCTAAAAGGTTACATAAAAAAACCCTATAAATGACCGGCCTTGAGGAGCATAATGATTCTGTGATAGAAAGGCATGACTAGGTATGCTTGGAAACTTCGTGAACATAACTTTTATAGCAACTCAGTGGTTGATGGGATGGGTGTTATTTCGAAAATGAAGAAGTGACTTATGGATTGACAAGACTGTAAACATATGAAGATTTCCCTTACAACTTTTTTAACGCAGTAAACAAGGGATGTGGTGAAAATTTTATTTTGGTTTAAACTTAATTATCGTCAAAGTAAATAAATAAAGCCTTCAACTACTTATTGCTGTTGTTTTATTTATTTGATTTGTTCATCTAATTTTTTACTTTTTTTTTTGTGCCCTCATGGGAAACAGTCGAAAGGTACCATACCACCCATGTCGCTTTACAAACCTCTTCTGCTTCGAGAGTTTTTCTTCACCATTGCAAGTACCTTTCCAGGGCTTCACAAGATGAACAACAACCCTCTCTCCATACAGTATCCATGGGAGGAAAATGCTGAAGGTCTCCAGCGGTGGAAGAATGTAAGTTTCATGGAATTATGTCAATGACGGTGTTTTCGATAATATGTGTTAACAATGTGCGTTACAACTTCCAGGGTACTACTGGATTTCCATGGATTGATGCAGTAATGCGACAGTTGCGCACAGAGGGTTGGATCCCTCATATGGCACGTCAAGCTGTTGGGTGTTTCTTGACCAGGGGATGCCTTTGGATCAACTGGGAAGAGGGATTTAAGGTAAGAAATACCCAAATGGATATTTTACAGTGAGTTTCTGGTTTAGAGGAAAGAGGTGAAAAGATTGATTTCCTTCCATAAGGTTTTCGAGGAGCTTCAATTGGATGCTGAGTGGAGTCTGAATGTGGGAAATTGGCTGTGGCTGTCTGGAAGTACTTTTGTGAAAGAGCACGTACCTTGGTTTTGTCCTGTGGAAGTTGGGAAGAAGGTTGATCCCAATGGGGAATATGTGAGGTAAATGTAATGTGTGGTTGGTTTTAACTAGTGCTAAGTAAGGACTGACCTAATTTATTGAGCAGATACTAGTGTTTTATTGGAAATTGTTTTGCAGGAAATACGTCCCTGAGTTAAAAGGGTTGCCCACAGAGTATTTGTTTGAACCATGGAAAGCACCTGCATTTGTTCAACAAGATGCTGGATGTATATTGGGTGAAGACTACCCCTTTCCACTAGTGGACCATAAAGAAAAGAGAAGGGAATGTGTGATTCGGCTGAAAGAAGTGACCCAGAGACTCGTTGCTGAAAGTCCAGGTAAAAGTCAAAAATGAAGTATTTGAGTGCGGAGCACGCTATTACACCTACTTTTGTCATTTTGGCGCAATTGGAAATTTGAAATGATAAGGAGATAATCACTGAAGAGTGTCTGTAACATGATATGTTAAATTATGATTAAAAAGACTACCTGAGGTAGTCGTAATTACCTAAGTAATAATTTGGAAGAAATAACACCATATTTATGGTAACTAAAAAAGGGTGATATGCTGGGGATATGCTGTTATGATGGAGAACCGCTTGTGACTCTTGTAATGTAGTTCGTGACGTTTAGATATCACCTCTTGCGAGCAGACGCAATTCAGGAAATAGATAAATGTAATTCAATTTCTCTTTGTAGAGATTCAAAGTGGACACACCAGTGTGCATTTGTTTAGAAAAGACTTGAGGCTTCATGACAACCCCACATTGCGCTCCTGCTTGAACGGAAGTGAGACATTCTATCCTGTGTACATTTTGGACACCGCAGCAGCAAAGCAGAGCAAAATCTCAGCCAACCGCTGGAATTTCTTACTTGAGAGCTTAAGAGATCTGGATAATCAGCTAGCAAGGCTTGGATCACGTCTGTTCGTGGTACAAGGCAGAACTTTGGAGGTGCTCCCTGAATTAATCTCAGATTGGGGCATAACTCGCATTAGCTTTGAAACTGACTGTGAGCCATTTGGGGCCCAGAGAGATGCTGTTATCCGACATATAGCGGAGAAATCGGGAGTTGAAGTAGTCAGCAAAACATCGCACACTCTGTTTGAGCCAAGTCAAATTGTCGATGCCAGTCGGGGGAAGATATCAATGCTTTTCAAAGAATTTGTGAAAGTCATCGAAGAGAACAAGCTCAGTGTACCCAGTCCTGTCAAAGAAGTGAACAGACAACTTGTGGGAAACTGTGTGACACCAGTAGCTGTTGATCATCAGAGAAAGTATGGAGTTCCTGAATTGAATGAGCTAGGAGTGAAGGATATACGATGTGTGACAAGTGCAGGGTTATGGAGAGGGGGAGAACAAGAGGCTTTAAGAAGACTTGGTCTTCTTGAGAAAGAGGTACATAATACATTTTGGTAACTTGCTAAATTTTGTTAAACTGATGGGTAAGAATTAACCGTGAATGACAACTTGTTTTGGTAATTTCTTAGTATAGTATTTCAGAATTCTAATTCCTTTTTGTTTTTTTTAATGTGTTTAGTTGGTGAAAAACGACTTTGAGGAGGTCCCATTAAGTGCAGCATCAATGACTTCCTCAAAAACTCACTTAAGTCCATACCTTCGGTTTGGATGTTTGTCACCCAGAATGATGTGGGAGAGCTTTACTGACTGTTATGTCAAGGTATGCATCACCTTTAAATTAAATCTAAAAGGTTACATAAAAAAAACCCTATAAATGACCGGCCTTGAGGTGCATAATGATTCTGTGATAGAAAGGCATGACTAGGTATGCTTGGAAACTTCGTGAACATAACTTTTATAGCAACTCAGTGGTTGATGGGATGGGTGTTATTTCGAAAATGAAGAAGTGACTTGGGAATTGACTTAAATAAATTAAATAAAGCCTTCAACTACTTATTGCTGTTGTTTTATATATTTGATTTTTTGTATATTTTTTCCTTTTTTTTTTGTGCCCTCATGGGAAACAGTCAAAAGGTACCATACCACCCATGTCACTTTACAAACCTCTTCTGCTTCGAGAGTTTTTCTTCACCATTGCAAGTACCTTTCCAGGGTTGCACAAGATGGACAACAACCCTCTCTCCATACAGTATCCATGGGAGGAAAATGCTGAAGGTCTCCAGCGGTGGAAGAATGTAAGTTTCATGGAATTATGTCAACGACGGTGTTGTTGATAATATGTGTTAACAATGTGCTTTACAACTTCCAGGGCACTACTGGATTTCCATGGATTGATGCAGTAATGCGACAGTTGCGCATAGAGGGTTGGATCCCTCATATGGCACGTCAGGCTGTTGGGTGTTTCTTGACCAGGGGATGCCTTTGGATCAACTGGGAAGAGGGATTTAAGGTAAGAAATACCTAAATGGGTATTTTACAGTGAGTTTCTGGTTCGGAGTAAAGAGGTTAAAAGATTGATTTCCTTTCTTAAGGTTTTCGAGGAGCTTCAATTGGATGCTGAGTGGAGTCTGAATGTGGGAAATTGGCTGTGGCTGTCTGGAAGTACTTTTGTGAAAGAGCACGTACCTTGGTTTTGTCCTGTGGAAGTTGGGAAGAAGGTTGATCCCAATGGGGAATATGTGAGGTGAAAATAAGTTTTAAAACCATTCTCCGTATGGATTATTTTAAGGTCTCCTCTAAACCTTTTTTTTTCATTTTGGGAAATTTTGTTTATTTGCGTGCTTCAGTTTTACTTTACAATTTTTTTCTTTTGTAGACGTTATGTCTCAGAACTGAAAAGGTTACCTCTGCAATATCTGTTCGAGCCTTGGAAAGCGCCTTTAGCAGTCCAAAAGGCGGCGCGGTGCGTGGTTGGTGACGATTATCCGGAACCATTAGCTAATCACATTGAACAGCGAAAGATCTGTGTGCGGCGCTTGAAAGATATGTGCAACACCTTGAACATATCAGGTAGGTAATATTGTACAACTGACTATGATTGTGGGAGATCTAACCACGTTTACCTTTTAATGTTTTTAAACATCAAAAAGGTACACTTGGTTGGACCTCACATCATCATTGTTAGATCTTGTAATAAAAGAGTATTGCCGTTCGAATTATTCGGTGAAGTATGATTAGCATACTTCACCAAATAATTCGAATAGTTCGAACAGCAATGGTAGTGTGAAGTACGAGGAGTACATGCGACCCCGGCTTCAAAGTTGGTTTGTCATTTGCTATTAGTGTTCTAAAAGTCAAGTTTAACTCTGAATTACCAGGTGGTTTTTTTTTAAGACGATGTTAGTTCTTAAGCGGGTTTGTTACGTTTCTTTTCAGGGCACATCAGTCTTCACTGGTTTAGGAAGGATCTTCGACTTCACGATAATCCCACTTTAAGAGATTGCCTTGTAGACAGTGCAGTGTTCTATGGAGTGTATATTCTTGATAGTTGTGCTGAAGCAAGGTTGAGTCGAAACCGTTGGCGTTTATTGCTGGAATCACTAAAGGACCTGGATGCCGGTCTGGCGGAGTACGGCTCGCGTCTCTTCGTATTGGAGGGTAGACCGTTAGATGTCTTACCATCTCTTTTTGAACAGTGGGGCATCACTCGGCTCTCTTTTGAGGTTGATTGTGAGCCAGATTGTAAGACCAGGGATATGGTTGTGACTACTGTTGCCAAGAAAGCTGGAATCCAAGTTATCAGCCACGTGTCACACACCCTTTATGACACTAAAGCGCTTTTAAAATCACCTGATGGAAGAGCACCCCAACTTTTCGACGAATTTCAAAAACTTGTTGTGCAACTTGGGCGACCCCAAAAACCAGTGCCAAGGGTTGACAGAAAGCTATTTGGCTCGTGTGTTACTCCCGTAGGAAGAGATCATGATACACGGTACGGAGTCCCTGCACCAGACATCCAAAAGCTGCATTCTAGTGGCTCGTGGTTTTATCAAGGTGGCGAGAGAGAGGCGTTGTCAAGGATGGAGGCAGCTTTATGCGAGGTTGGAATTCTTTCAGACATTTTGCTTGAATTATTCCTCTAAGCCAGTTGTTTTCCAATTAGAAAGACTTTTCCAAATAGCAGTCTCTTTTTGGTCAATGGCTCTGGCTTCATGAAATGTTACGTGTTGTTTAGAAAACCACTTATTTAAACCAGGTGGTGGCCTTTGTTGCTTTCGCTTTGTGATGTTGTGCCGTTCAAATGAAGGAAACTTGTACCAATAGCATTATAAGCAGGTACTCTCGCCAGGTTTGTTAACACTGTATGTAAAATTATGTTGTCTTTACGCCCATCTGTTGGTAATGTTCCACTTTGCTCTACTGTAAGTCTTATGCTCAGGTAAGCTTTCAAACTCATTGCCCATCTGCTTATAGATGGCAAGGGGAGACAATTCCTAGGACTTCTCGCTGGTAAACTCTTAGTATATCTTGATTTGTTAAGCTCTTTGTATTTCCCATTGTGACGTAGTCAATATAATTCCTGCAGATGGTAAAGAACGACTTTTGCGAGCCGTTGTTAACAGCCCGTTCACTGATGCCGTCACAATACCACCTGAGCCCCTACCTGAGGCTGGGTTGTCTGTCTCCCAGGCTCCTTTATCAAAGAATGACTGAGGAATATATCAAGGTACAGTTCAGCCTGTTCATGTATTAAGAGAAGGGAAACAAAGGGGTACAGAGGAGGGCTCTTACTCCAGGCTTTTAGATATGCAAACTCCACGAAAGTTATTAACTCTTGTGAACTGACTCTGTTTTTCAAGAGGTTTGCTTAAAGTCTAACCTCGATTTGTAGTTTTGAGTGGAATTACTCTGTTGGTAGACAGCGTGAGGTACAACGACTTCTAAGAACAAGCCAATTATTATTTCTTGAGCGAGTTTTACAGTGCAGGCAACTGTTACTCTTTCCTGTAAATAACCATTGAGGAGGAGATATATCCCAGCTATGGACTTGATTGACTTCGCTATCTTGTCAATTTCCCCTACGTGTAGACAAAGCTAAATTCGTTAGCGGTCATTTTTTTGTGAAACACTGTCGAAACAGACTCAAGTATCCCTTTACCTACTTCTATCGTATGGATGATGTTGTTTTAATTCATTGGCGTTTTTTGCAGTGTAAGGCTATGAACCCATCTTTCGATCTTTTCAAAAAACTGTTGTGGCGCGAGTTCTTCTTTGTTGTTGGAAGCCAAGTTTCCAACTTACACGAGATGATCAGCAACCCGGTTAGTCTACAGATTCCTTGGGAAGAAGATCAAGAGCATCTTGAAAAATGGAAACAGGTCAGATCTCAAAAGAAAATATTCCTGACCATAAACTAATCATTATTATAAGTCCATCATCAATGTTTTAAAATCGCTTGATGAATTGCAAAATTCGTCTGAAGGATATACCACTTGTTCTAAACTTCTAGGGTGTCTTCACTCAAACTGCTTTGCACGCTACGCCTATGCTCTTAAATAAGTATCATACTCTATCGTAACGTCCTTTTATACTCGTGTAAACTTAAGGTTAGTCTGTAATGCTTTGTGTGTAACGCCCGAAATTTTTTCATGATAGGGTATGACTGGTTTTCCTTGGATTGATGCCATCATGAGACAGCTCCGCTTAGAGGGTTGGATTCACGACATCGCACGGCGTGCCGTGGGCTCATTTTTGACTCGCGGTTGTCTGTGGATCAACTGGCGAGAAGGGTTTAAGGTCGGAATTGGTTTGTTTTGTAGCACTTTTATACATGAAGGAATATGCTAGTTTTTGAGCCGGTCGTTGAACTCTGTGTCATCGGTCTATTTTAGTGTTTATTCACGAAGATGCTGAAATCAACTATTTCATAATTTGTTTCATTAGGTCTTTGAAGAACTTCAACTTGACTCGGAAAGGAGCCTCAATGCTGGTAACTGGTTGTGGCTGTCCGGAAGTACTTTTGTGAAAGAGCACGTGCCTTGGTTCTGTCCTGTGGAAGTTGGAAAGAAAGTTGATCCCAGTGGTGAATATGTGAGGTAGGAGATTATCATTATACTTTGGGTACCTTATTAATCCTACTGCTGTCATAGACATTAAACGTAAACAATTTTCATCAAATATTTGGTTTATTTACCCAAATTTTATTTTCAGGAAATATTTACCAGAGGTGAGGAATCTTCCCACGGAGTTTATCTTTGAACCTTGGCTGGCTCCTTGTGAGCTTCAAGAGTCTTGCGGCTGTGTGATTGGTCGAGACTATCCTGCTCCTATCGTTAATCACTTGGAGCAACGCGTTGTTTGTGTCCAGAGGCTTCTTGACCTTGCTTTGACGTTAACTGCAACATGAACTTTTAACTAAGTATGCCACTTTTTACTAGTCAGGTTATCATGGGATGTGTGTTCTGATTTCATGGCGATTACCTCATATCTTACTGTGTGTGGTGACTGCAAACCTGTAGTAATGAACCACTTATTTTCAAAATTGCCACCGTGTGAGTTTTGTCTGTGTGTGTGTTTCTGAAGAACAATAAAAAGAAACAGTTTGTATAAGTAAACCCACAGTTATATAAGTATAAGTTAACCCTAAGCAATTTGGGATAAATCAGCACTCGTAAACTTTTCAAAGACTACAAATTACACTGCCCGTAGGGCGTTTACTATTATGCAGCAAACTTGAAGGAGATTTTGGACTGTAGATAAATTTGGTTGGTAGATACTTGTTTTACGTTAAATAGGTTGAAACCATGAGTAACATGTATTCTGGTCGTCTGATCTGAGTACAGCTATCGGTGACAGAGGCTGATGTTGTAACCAACTGAGCGGAAGTCATTATCAGAGCCAAGAAGACAGCTTTAACGAGTCGATCATACTTCACCTATACTATCTCTGTTATTTGTAATGGTAAATTCAGCCCGCAGTGAAATCTAAGAATGGTGAAAGCGTGCTGATAAAATCAAGGACACAAGAAAACAAAGTTAATGTATTCAGTGAATACCGAGGAGATAGTTAAGTGTTGCTGTAAATAGTTTCCTTAAAGAGGTAGTTAAAATGATTAAAGTAGTTAACTGCTTCGCGCAAAAGTGAAGTGTTACGTTTTCTCCAACCATACATAGCAATAACTTCCCTTTATATATATATGGAGGCATACCGAGTTGCCTCTAAGAAAAAGCGCAGATGAGATTTTATTCATGGGAGATTAAGATCTCAGAAGTCAGCAATCACTACAATGTCCGGGCTGTATAGTGAGATCTTCACTCTTTGGTGAGCGTAGAGTTAGGAATACGAAAAGCACTCTACAAGATGAATTATTTTCTTTATTTTAAATATTTTAACAAGAACCACATAACACCTCTTGACAAAATACTAAACATAAAATTTATCTGAGATAAATTCTCAGTGAGGTGGCTTTACCTCATTACAAGGCTAAAAGTTATAATGAAAGTTGCAAACCGAAAAAAAAAATGACGGAAAGTTCCATTGTAGTATAGACATGCTCTACTGTAGTACATGAACGAACTCACAGTACCAGCGTATTTTCCTATGAAAACTGAACAGTTTAAAGTAGATTTGTTTCATTCACGTGAAAGTCATTTAGAGGTCATTAACGTCAGAATTATTTACCGGTTGTATCAATGAAATTTACCAATCATTTTCATAATGCGGCGGTATATGAATCGTTTCGCAGTTTTACCAAACTCTGCATCGGTTTTCGGGATTTAAATCACTTCCCTTTGGACATTTGTACGTCTTCGCGAATTCCTCCATATTTGACAAAACACCATTTACCCTGAAAAGAAAACTAACCGGTTTTAAAGGCGCACGAAAGAGACTGGGCGACTCCCCTCCGAAGTCATTCAAGTTTTAGACTTCCCACGGAGAGTTCAGTGCTCTCAGAATGCTGGCTACTCGGTCAGTGGGCTTGTCAGAAACACTCAAAACTATTTGCTGGTGATTGGCTTACCTGTATATGGGTAAGGCATGCGGATCAGCTTTAGCTCTTCTGAAGATCTGCGTAGGACTGAAAGAGCTGCACCACATCTAAGAGCAATGCAAATTGATTCGGAGGACAAACAACAGTGTTAGTTAAGAAGATTAATGTAAATTGCTGTGAATTTGTACCAGGATTTTTTACAGCCCAAGAAAAGCCGTAACAATGCACTTGATATAGTACGATATTTTTCTACGTGTGTTTGATACCGCCCATCAGCTGCAGACATGTCACTCGCCTTTCGCGAGATGAATGAACGGCAAAACCTTCACCATTCTCAATCCATGGCTGTTTGTCAGAATTTTCTCGGATTATGGCTTTTAAAACACGGGAAATCCGTATTGCTTACAGTGCCGTTCAAACTTTCCATGAAAGGGAAGAAAACCAAAATACGAAAAAATGATGGCATTTCTCGCGGCTGAGAACGAAAATCGACAACTGGACGATTTGCGACAGACCGATTTGGCTGTGTACCTGAAAGATTTCTTCTTTCGGTAAGGAAAAAGCCAACCACTGAGAATTTTATGGAAAATTACGCCCATGGTTGTTTTTGTAGTGATTCAACGCATTTTTTCATCTTGAGCCTTTGCGCCAACGCACTTCAAGATTTTCATTCGGGGATTGTCGATCCTTTTATTTTCATTGGTTAAAGTCGACTTTTCTTGTCAGTATAGGGCTAATGTGTTTATATAATAAACAAAATAATACATGGTTGCCTGTAGATAGGGAATTTCTCTTCATTCGTTCGCTGTGCTCACTCACGTGTAGTCGAGTTGAACGCTCGAAGAGAAATTCCAAATCTACGTACGCCCATGTATAATTCTCTTCATTTTACCAATCCGATTGTGCTCAGGAAATTGTGGTGCGCAAGATTAACCAACTAGAAACAAACAAACAGTGAGACTCGATCCATTGAAACCTGTTTCTAAGATTTTATGGGCAAAAAAAAAGTGATTGAGTCAAGGTAGGCCCCCTATAAAATCTTTGGATTTTATTCTGTCGGGCGATTCTAGTTTATATAAACTTTTCTGATTCGCAATATATTACCTAGTTTACTACTTACTCGGTTTTTTGCAGGATGTTCAAGTAATTAAACTAAGTCGCTTTACCTGGGCGTAGCTAAGGAAAAACATCTGTTCACTGGATTTGTTCAGACCGGGTACGAGTTCCTCCCTGCCATGTTTTCTCAGCCAATTTTGATAAGCCTGTGGAGAAATCTCGCACTTATGCCTTCTTTAAAGAAATCCAAAGAAACAAAACCGTATAGCAAGCTTGGACCGAACTTAAGCCATTAAACCGGGCTTCAGGGAAGTGCTTCTGACATGTGAGATAACCATTTACAGCAGGGGTGGGGTGGGAGCTTAACTACACGGATCATTTCAATCATAGCTTGCATATCACATTGCTACGTTGTAATTCGTTTTTCGTATAATAACTTTTTTCTTACCCTGAAAGCGATCTTGAGAGCTCCATTATCGGCTATGTTTTCAGGTAATGTCAGTCGACCATTCACCTGATGAGTGTGAAACAGATGAGGTGCACGCCAATACTTAACATTTCAGCCGGCTGTTAGCAGTTTTAAAACGGCAAATTTGTTCAAGATGTTATTTAATACTGCTTTCAGTCATTTTTGAGGAAATGCTTTTTTAAATGAATGATGTCACTTTAACCGCCATTTTACTGGTAGCATATAGGTTCGAACTGGGACAAGGAACAGAGGAGAATAAATATTTTAGTTGGCGTCGAGCTTACAAACTCGTTTTACAGCCATACTTTCTTTATTGTCAGTTTATGAGGTTAATAAACAACTGCTAAATGATACTTACAAAAATCTTCCTGCCACCCACATTGAGTGGGTATTTATTGTATTGGTCAACAAAGCACTGGGATTTGTTTTGGAATCCAGTGAGGGTAAAGTTAGTCCACCATGTGTTACTGATCTCACCGTACTTGTTGAACTTTCGACCTAACAAGTGAAATAGGACGATGAGATCTCCAAATTCTACAATATTATATATTGAGAGAAGGAAATTAAACGTAAGATTGAAATCAACAGCCAAACTTTATGATCAATGTAGAAGAGAAACAACAAAAGGACCTGTAGTGTGCTCTGTTTTCACTCTCAAAAGCAATCAGACATTTCACATGCATCAACAGGACTGGAATAAACGATGAATGCTCTGAATTTGATGAGCAAACCGGAGTAAACAGCCGAGTGCGATGGGGTGTTGGAAAAGGAAACATCTTACCTATATTGTCGAAACCATGAGTAAGTTCATGAGCAAGGATTATTCCGATGCCACCAAAATTAACCGCCCTGTGTATGTATTGATAAACCGTCATTAACTATTCTAGCCTATTATTTTAGAGCAACATACAATCACTTCACACTTGTCGTTATTAGCTAGCGGAGTATTAACGTAATGCCGAGGTCATAGTTATCTTGACTTCACGATATCCTTACATACCGTGGTGCAAAGCGGCCGCTATAGTATGGCGGCTGAAGGATTCCTGCCAAAATATCTGAAATTAAGATAAAACCAAAAGTGGTTTAAACTTGATGTTTTTCTTGCAACTGAGCCAACGTTTACAAACTGAGCTTAGGATAAGCGACATACTTATTTCATTTTTCTCTCTTTGGTAGTAAGCATTAACAGACTGTGGCCCACTGTACCATCTGCCATAAAATCAGAGGAAAGGTCGTTAAAACGCATACGTGGATTAGTAGTTTCACCGACGTCAACTGCTTATACCCAAGGGAATAACCGCGTTATCGATAGAGCTAAAACGCAGGTTATGCTTTTCTTTGAGGAAACTGGGCATGAGTATATAAATCCTTGAAAGCTGTACGTATGGAAATTTAATCCAAGTGTCAACTTGTTGTTGCGCAGTTTACACTAATCAAGGACACTAGATATACACTAAACTATAAATTGCATATTTTCCTAGGATATGAGTGTCCGCAAAGGAAAGCTGTCCGTTTTGTAAAGTTTACCACAAGAAAGTCACCTTTTGGACTCCAGGGATAGTTTTCATTTGACTAGTAACTAAAAAAGGGCATGCGCATTTTATCGTAGTAATCGAGGTTAAATTGAGACCTGGTGCTGGTAAATTGTGATGTGGCCCGTGATAGTTTTGTTTTATCAGAACCAAAACGAGTGAAATCGTAAGAAAGTGCAAACCCCCATGTGTCTATTGCATGTAGAAGCAACTCATTGCACTTACTGTCCCCTGATGGATGGTTTCCTAAGTTTGGAGAGGGATAGGGCCGAGTACCACTTGCTCACGTTCACCTCATTCAGCAAAAATCTCTTATCATCTACTTCAAGCTAAAAAAGGAGCCAAACTATTATTTTCAAGTCTTTTATCATCCTAAAACAGCCAATCTGTCGAAGAAAAAATTTTATCTCGCCATAGAAAAAAGCAAACTTTTGTGATTTTAACGTTGACGTATTTGTCTCTTGCCTGTTGATAGTACTCTCCAAGTAAGGTTTTGTTCACGCACATTTCAGGGTAGCCAATTTTTTCAACCATCGCTTTTTCCTGCGTGGAAAAAAATGTTAACAGAATGAATAGCTAGCTAGGAGAAGATCGATTTTTAATTCTCCATAGGAAATTAATGTGCGTCATGTTTTCTTTGTTGATGTTTTGTTGACCTGTCACATAACAGATGACATAACAGGTTTTACCTTCTCGTATACAGCAGGTCTTGTCTTGTCGTCAATCCATGTCAAGTTTCCTACTTCCTCACGAAAAGCTTGTCGAACGTCTTCCATCATCTCCTTAACCTTTGAGGAAAACAATAACTGTCACGATTTGCCATTTATTATATCTAACTATTTTTCGGTGATCAATCTTTTATCTGCTAGTTGTTTTTTTTCATCTCCTTGTAGAAAGACAGCTACCCTTGAATTTCTCCATCCACTAGAAGTAAAGAAATGATCTTTGCTGCTAAGCTGCAATCATAGAAATTAAAGAAAAGAAGCCATATAATATTCAAGGTTTGAAGGGATTTGTACCCATGCCCTCAAGACACTTGTTGGGGGTTACTACCAGCTGAGCTACCAGGCTACATGTTAAAAGCAAAGGAAATTTAGTAAGTTCTTCTTTCCCGGGAGGAATTACAACCGAATGGATCACAAGGATCATTTCTTTTCTCGTAAATAGGTAACAAGTCAAAATATCAATCAATTCCTTTACGGGAACAACGCGCCGAACAAATTTTGCCACGTTACCAACTTATACTTTTGTGCCTAATTTGGTAGCAGTACCCAACTAGTGTCCAGTATCCCTGGGTTCGATAAGGATAGTACCAATTATTGTCTCCCCATGCTGTTCTTAACTTTTTTCCACATATCGTTAAGTCTAAAAGAAACATCGCTGCTATTCAAACACGACCTCAATTCAAAATTTCTTTTTCGCACGAACCAATGGGATCATTTTTCTGTCAAACGCCTTCTCAATGTACAGGCTTCCAGTGGCAAATGTGAGCCCGCGGTAAAAGTTTGTGGTAGTGATACAAGTCAGCCATCTTGCTGCTGCGCCTTTTATATGAGAAGTTTTCCTTTTGTATTTAGCCTCAACCTCTCTGAACGGCTTGGATAGGAATGGAACTAATCGCCTCAAAACCGTCCATATAAAGTAGTTGGACAACGTTCTACAGAATAAAACATGATGGAGTAAAATTTAAAGTTGAAATCTCTCGTTAAAAAAGATATACTAAATTATCTGGTTCATGAGTTGAGGGACAAGTTACCCTCTTGCAGACTAAGTAACTTGACGATGTCTTTGTTACACGTTTTGTACAGTCTAGACAATCGATGATAATGAGCCAAATGATCATAAGAACAAGATTATGTCAAAATAATCGCGCTAACTTACTCCCTATCTGCAGTATGTAAAGCTTCTGACATGTTTTGGAGATACTCAAGTGTAGGTACGATGATGTCCTCAGAGTCATCTAGCGTTGTGTTATGCTCGCTGAACAGGTTGTTCAAATGTTGTAGCCATTGAAACTGCAGTGAAATCGTGTTTATGAGTTAGAATAATTTGGAGTGGAACTACGCGGAACCTCTACCTCCCCTCCCTTACCCCATCATCTCCCACGCAACAAAACGGATGGAATTGAGAAAACGAAAATGTACTTAAATGCCAAGGAATGATAACATTTTAATTATAAAGGTTTTCGAAGGAACACATAGTAAGTAATTTCCCTTACAAATGTTTCGGCGACCAAGAATATCAAAGGATTTTAATATTTGAGGCAGGATTGTGCCAACAAGCAAAGAATTCAATGATGCTTTACCTTAGGAGCGTGGTTTTGTAGGTCTTGTATTGTGATTGTGTCATGTTCATGTTCGTAGAGGAACGTCTTGGAGGGTATACTCTGAAAATGGAAAAAAATAGCAGACAGTGGAAAGGACTGTCATGTATTCTTCTACACAAGATTGCGTTATGGCAATAGTTCACCAGAGAATCGAGAGACTTAAAGATCAAAAACATAAACTGTGGAAAAGAACTGAATGAAAAATGATGGCATGTTGCCAATCATAAGGTCACATGTCCACACGGTACCCGAGCAAGTTGTTCTTCAAATTCAAGAATCCCATTCATTTGCTGTCGGGTGGTGGCATTCTGTCCTCCTAACAACATTGCCGCCGTTGTCATATACTCGAGATATGCAGGCCTCCTCTGAAGGGAGAACGAAAACAAGTAACAAAATTGTAATAACTACCACACATTTGGCTCATCCATGGCTTAACCGAGAGAAATATTCACAATTAGAACTCATTATGAAAATGCGTCACGAATGATCACTGTGGGTAAGTTATATTTTACTGGTAACACACAGACTCATTGTACATGCTAAAGATCAACTAAACACTGCACAACAATCCAATCCAGTTTTCCAATATAATCCTGGTTGAAGAATTAAACTTTGTTAGAAATCAAAATAATTGATTTTTTGATTAGTCCTTTACATAGTGAAACACTCCTGGCATTTGGCATCGCTCTGACGGTGCCATACGAAGGCAATTGTGGACAAAAAAGTTACACAGACTAAACCTCAGGTAGATATATGAAGTCTCATCAAACCTCAGACCTCCAGGCGCTTAATTCCAAGGAAAATGATCAAAAGCTGCCTTCTGTGAAGGTTCTCCTGGTGCGAGATAATCTAAATAAGTATATCTGTCACACTTACTTTGCTGTTTTTCGACAGATATTCTTCACGAGTCAAACTTAACTCTGGGGGAAGGAGCTGAATGATAGAAAAACAAAGCATTCAATAAAGAGGGTCACTAAAGCCTATTTTTCTGTTTCAGAGTATGATTCGGTCAATAGGCAACATGACGTCGTTGTCCGTCGGTGTTAAAATGACTGCACCTCTTTAGCTGATAACGTCAAAGACAAGCGATTGGTATCGGTAATCACATGATTTCGAGTTCAATTTGGAATAAATAAGCACGAGTAAATTTTTTCAAAGAATAACAAAATGCAATTTGTAGTCTTTGAAAGAAGTTACTCGCGCTTGTTTATTCCAAATTGCACAAGAAAAGTAATGTGATCACGTATTGATAATGTACATGAAAAAATAAGAGATAGCTTATCATAATTATGCAGAAGCAAAGCGCGCGCATAAAGTTCAAAAATAATTTATTCATATTTGTGCGTTCGGTCAAAACAACCGCGCACGATCAAAACAATAGTATACAATAATATTTTCACATCTTTAAGGCGCAAAAAGATTCAAAGTCCGGCTAAACTGATCAAGGAATTTTTCAGTGTGGCTCGTTCTTCTTTGCACTGAATTAACCCTCCTCTGCATTGAAGTACCCGAAAACTGCATTTATCTTAACCAATCAGAACTGAGTAATTTTTTCATGTATATTATTTTGATAGAAATTTGGATAAAATCAGAACAGCTTAACAGGTTTAAAACACTTATTCTCAAGTGAAGTCATTAATAATAAAACAAAACTTTCCATGACAATAATTGTTTGTTTTTCTCTCCTTTTGTTCTTCCACTGAGTCAAAGTGTAATCAGAGAAATTTTTGCGGATAATTAAATCATGAACGCCTGGCAATTTACGTTTGTTTCATCACTAAGATAGAATTTTCGTAATTTTTCAACAAGCAGCATCAACATGGTGTGGTGCTGTCGTGGGCTTACCTTTAAAATATGTTTCGTTGAATTCCTTGGGTTAGTTAACACATCAATAGTAAACAGAGGCGAAGAATGTAAAAAAGTTGTTTGAATCTTTAGTAGAGCAGTCTTCCAGTTCCATACAGTCTCACTCCACGTTCCGTTGTCCAGTGCCCATGACCCAAGGCTCCTTATGAGCTCCAACATTTGCTGTGTGGTCGTTCTCTCAACTTCTTCTTCATTCATACACGAGCGATAATACCTCTTTGCTTTCATTACTGGGTCATCGTGTTCTCCGGTGGCATCTTCCAACATATTTCTAAGTTTTTCATTGTTTGCCTGAATCTTTCTCATGAATGTAATATACTCGTTCTTGTACGGAGGAATTGGGTTGTTCTGTATCCATCCACCGCAAGCAAAATGGAAAAAGTCCTGACATGGGTCGACAGAATTGTTCATGTTCCGTGTGAAGCGGGCTGCAATCTCCAGACAGTCAGCAGTGTTACACACCCTTGTCGGTGCTAGGCTTTCAGTAGTAGGAAGTGGCACTGATGTTGTTGGTACAGTCCGACCATCTACAGGACCATTTGTCTTTGCGTCATATTGATTGCGTTTGGAAAGTTCCACAGCAAATAATACCGCTAACACAGTGCATATCAAAAGAAGTATTCCACACATACTCAGCAAACATACTTCCACTCTCTTTCGACCCCTTCGGAAGGTAGTGGAGTGCACTCCAAGACTCTGAGTACTCGGTGCAGAACATAACTCTATTCCAGCCATAGTTTTGTTCTTGTGGGTTCTCATGCGTCTCTCTCCTTCTCGGCAAATGTTTCTTCAGATTGCTGAATTTAGCTAAATAAACAATTTACTTTTTACAAGTCAGCTCTCAAAGAAAACACATAAATGAGCACCGAACATGTTAAAAGGTTCTAACACGTGCCTTATTTTCTAAAAACCCTACCGGGTTGTTTTCCTACTCACGATCAATTAGTGTTGAGAATGATACGCGAGAAAGCAAACCAAACTGAATATTATTGACACAGATCACAACACAGGGATATACTTGCGATTCTTGCTTGAGATCCGAGAGATCATGCTCAGGAATCGAACAGCAGAATACTTGGTTCCTTTTTATGGTGGTTTTTTCTCTTCTTTTTCTGACAGAAGCGAGAACAATTTTAATCATTTTTTTTAAAGAAGGAAATTTTATACTCTCAACGGGACAACTCTCCAACGACGAATATTACTTATAAATTATTAAAGCACCGAATCAACACACTGTCCGCGATTTTCCTTTGGCCGTTACTACTATAGTTATGGGTAATATGTTTGTTTCAAGCGATCTTTTGCCTCGTAAAGATTTTTGTTGTTTTGTGCAATCCTCGCTTTTCTTTGAACATCAGTGGGTCCGAAGCTCAACTATTTGTTGTAACTACTTCTTTATTAATTAGCGGTTATGAAATCTATATCTATTTTTTTTATCTCTCAGGACTCTCGATGGAGAGTGTGAATACCAATGAGAATACTGCTGATTTCCTTTCATTTTCATTCAAGACAGGCTTAGTTAGCGGAATAAGAAGTCCACTCATAATTAGTAATCAATAAATATGTCTCAGCGAAAAGAAGGGACTGGTGGGATAACGAGAACTTGTTCAAATTATAATTCAATTATGAAGTGAACTTAAGGCATTTCAGTTGATATTGGCATATATTATCAGGCTGTGAATGGAAACGCCTATTGGACTTATTCCCAATTTTTGAGAACTGTTTTTTCGTACATGTGATTAACATATCGCTCTATCCTGCCTGAATCGTAAAGTTACAGGAATACCTTGAGGAAGCTATATGAAATCAATGCTAGCCAAAGATCTTTTCAACATTTCAATAGCTTAATTTAACTACTTGTTCTGCTTTACGTATTGATATCAGAGAGAAATGGCCAAACAATTATTAACGTTTGTGAAGCGACAGATTTCATAATTCAGTTTGAACCATTATGTTCACACACTGTTCTTACGGATGGTTATTTGAAAAGAAATAGACGAAGCATTCAAGATTTCCTTTAAAATATGGTGAATCAGAAGAACACTCGAACTAAATTGACAATATTTAAACTGCTAAATCTAGATAGTTATTTCTCGAAATACTTTAACGAAGTAACAAATATATTGAAGGGCTGCTCTCTGGAAAGACTTGATCTCCTAAAAAGTTCAAACCCGTTCATGTTGAATTTTTCAACTCGCTGCTTGAGGATGCAATGTTCTCCTCGACAAGAAAATTAAAGACACGAGAGATTTCATAAATACAACAATCAGCGAAAGAAGGGGAAAAACATGTCATCCATTCAATTTGAAAAGAAGGAAACCACAATGAGAGTATATTCGCTTTTCCTACCTGATGACCATAATAACAGTTACGCGTGCACAGAATGGCGTTGTTTCAGCCAGCTATCAAGGTATTTGGAATGATAATGATTAAGTTATGAAAGCATATTGGTATAAGAGCATTAGATAAAACAATAAACATTTCGTTTCCGTTTAATGAAAACTATTCCTTGCTAGTGCTGTAAGGAAATTACCTCTTTGTTTTATTTAAGTCAATAAACCGAGCGATTACAAAACCTGAGCAATTTTAATCCTTTGTTGACAAAAACCGGAAAAGAATTCGAAGAACGATGCCATCATGTTCATGTCAAAGTATTGAATAAATTTCCCTTACCCTTTGCACGCTTCATGCGGTGAAAAATTGTGACAGTAGACTTATTACCTTTATGGAAGCGAATTTTCCACTGATTGCTCGTTCAGTCTTTCATTTTGCCATAGAGCCCCAGTAAAGTTACATTGGAATCCCTTTAAAACATTGCTGATATCGACATAGTAAAAATTCGTTCTACCTTGTGACAGCCAAGATTAACGAAAGACGTTGTGTGACACCAGTAATAAAACTTTCATCATTTTCGTGTGAATTGGGAAAAAAGTATAGTGCATTACCTGAGGAGCTTTTCGAGAACACTCCCTATTGATTTGATTGAGTCGTCTTGTCAAGAACTCGTCTTTTATTTTAGAACTGCATTCCTCTGTTGTTTTTTGACAAAAGAACAAGACAGGTGAAAGACAACTTCTCACCAATAAAGGCAGATAACTTCCCTAAAAATTCCCGGATTTGATCCCTCTAATGTTAAGGATGATAAAACAACAGAATATATTGCACGGAATGTTTCTGACATTTTGAAACGAGTTTTGTTGACAAAAAAAAGTCGGCCTTAGATTCGGTAAGATTCATTACTAAATTGTGTTGATGAAAAATGTTCTGTACTTTCGGTCTTTTTGCATAGCGGTGAATTAAAATGTACGCCCCCTAAATATTGATGTAATTGTAAAATATTGTATTTACTTAGTCTCAAGTACTTTTACAATGATCATTGTCGCTTTCTTTAATTCTGTGCATTCCGGAAACACCTGCACAGCAAAATATTGCGATAGTTTTGCCTCTAAATATCGTTTCTTTGCAAAATCTTTGGTATGCAAACTGCCAAAAAATTGCTCACGTAACTTTACTTGCACTGAACAAAAAAGATCAGCAACAACAACATTTATAGTCTTTGTTACTAGCTTGAGTTATAAACCTGTAAGTGGCGATACCCACCAATATACGTTTTAACCTTTAAAATCCACGAAATGCAGCATTGAAACCCTTTGTCAGTGAAAAAAACACCATATATACCACCTTCTAACGTTATATTCTAGCAATAATTGTTACTTTCACTACCACAAATTGAAATCTAAAGAAATCATCACTGGATTAGGTAATTTGGTCACCAATCACAGCACTATTCACTGACCAACCTGATAGTCATGTCCTAACAACAAATAAAATAATGTAGTTCTTTTTTTAATATTAAGGTAATTGTTGATTGTGTTGGTACCTGGCTGATGATGAGTTTCTGGAAGAACAATTACAGTATTTTTTTACAAATCAACACTCCTTTTAAGTACATGAATCTATAGTTATGGCCTCTAAAAACACACAAGGTAAATGTCGGATGCTTTTTTTTTCAACCTTAAACTGTACTCTATATGTGCAAAGTCCTATGTTTCCAGCTTATTACCATAATAAAATACATGGAACACACTGTTCATTCCTTAACTCGACTCACTTGCCTTTTCTGCAAATTCTTCTTTGCCAGCTTTTCTTCGCTTTGCATTAACTACCTCCAATTTGAATTCAAAACTTTCATGCCGGTCTCTTTTAGCAAGTGGTTTGCGTGTTTTGTTTTTTATTTGGAAGGGGACCAATGACATCAACTGATGAAATTGAGGTTGTCTTGTGTCACTCCATGAAACAATCTCGCCACTGTCATGCTCACCAGCAATGTTGCTCCTGTCAACACATTTAATCACAGCTGCATCATCTAGCTTTTCAGTCAACTTACTAAGTATTGCTGTTTTGATGGCTTGACTTGTCCACAACTTCTGAAAGTCTTTCAATAAGGCTTCTAAAGTCCCGCATTCATGTTTCCATGACATTTGCTCATAACAACAGTCATACAACACAAGAGGTAATTCTGAGGCCATATTGTATTGTGGTCGACTCGCACATTGCTTGATGTCAAGCATCCAGTCAATAACTTCCTTATTTTCTAGATTCTGACCAATCATGAAAAGTACAGCTACCATACATCGCACTTGATGCCACAGAAATGCTGACCCGCAAATTGTTATTTCACATATTTGATAGCCACTGCAGTGGTGTGAGTCATTCTTTATCTTTTCAACTGTAACTGATAGAAGATCTCTTTCAAAAGTTAAAACACCACTTGCAACATCCATTTTACAAAAATTCCTAAAGTCATGCTTTCCCACAAATTTCTGAGCTGCACAATTCATGATTTCTATATCAAGATTTGCTGCAGGGAAGAAGTATTTATATGTCCTGTGTAAACAACTGAATCTTGCATCAAATTCTTGTTCCACTGGCATCCAGGCAATAATCCTGATTTCTGGTGGAAGGAGCTTGTTTAGAATATGAGCATAGGAGATTTCTGAAATCTCCTTGGTTCTCCCTGCCAATGAATTAATCAAACTTTTAATCTATTGCAAAAATAAAAGTTAAGTAAACTTTTTTATTTAACCCTGTAGTAGTAACAAGATTGCAACTGTAGGGAAGCAACACAACGGATCTTTAAGTGTCATAAACACAACCTCAAAAAGTGAAACGATTTCTAATTCAAATATTTTCAAGGTGGGGGAAGAGGAACTGAGTGATTGAAATTAGAAGTTCAATACATACCGATTCTTTTTTGTACTTTTTCTCTGTCCCCACTCACAATGACACCAAGACCCTCAGCCAGATTTGATCGTACATCAAGGGAAACAACCTGTGAAAAGGCACTAACCCCTTTATCCGTCCTTCCACATCTGGAGTAGTTGCTGTTAGCTCTGTTTTCTACTAGACAAGCTTTATATAGAGCGGCAAAAAGGTGACCTTCAATTGTGTTTTCTGTACTCTCTTGACTAGCAAAGCCATGAAAGTCCCATCCAAGATAAGCTATTTTCAGAGCTATGTGTCGTTTATGATATCGAGAAAAATCAAATGACTTTTGCTTGCTAGTGTTTCCAGTGCCTGCCTTAGATTCCTTGGAGTTCTTTCTACGATCTGCCGATACAAGTGCCCTCTTCGTATCTGGTTTCTGTTCCACTGAAGAGCTTTCATCGAGCATCAAAAGTACTTCTTCCTTCTCTTTTGTTAGCTTGACCACCCTTTGGATGAGTTCTTCCTTTGAAAGGAACTGCAACTCGGTTGTCTCATCCAACACAACGTGCTCACCACAGTCCATCTCAACCTTGCTTTAGATTGCTTTTATCACTGGAATAACCTAATCGGTAGTATCACAACAGAAGTAGAACTTGCTGAGGACAAATACAACCCTAGATTGATTATAAAGTGACGATGAATTACAGAAACACCAACAAAATGCACGTAAGAGAGAAGTGAAATTCATTTAACGAGACTTTCGTAGGTGCTGACAAATGTAGTTGCCGCTGATTTGAGACGAGACCGCGATACACAACATGGCTGCTGTAGGTTGGTCTGTATTGCGCTGCGCTTCAAGTTTCTCTGGGTTCATTTTGAGGAGGAATGTCCGTCAGCTGTCACCTCTAATCTGCAGACAGGTATAACTCGAAACTTATTGTGACATATTCCCTTAACTCTTTGAATGTTTTTTCACTTTGAAAATTTCTGGTATCTTGTGAGCTACAGCCGAGAAGTACCCAAAATTTAATTTTCCTCATTTCCGTACGATAGCTTTATGCCAGGTGCCCTGTGTATGAAGGGAACATCAACTGAAATGCAAAATTCATGCAAGCATTGTGTGTACTAAACTGAAAGTATTTTTATGAAACTCAGGAGGAACTTTGATCAAATATGACTAAAGGTTGATTGATTTGGTGGGTTCCATTTTCTAAACCAGCTTTTTTAAAACAGAGAAAACCTGCCGTAAAATCACAGAAAACGTAGCTAGAAATTGAAAGACGTCCCAACCTAGTACGATTTGTGTCTGCCATAAGGAAACAAGCTAAGAAATATTTTGTACTTAAATCCTTCTTTACAGACGTTAACTTTTTGATATTCTTCATTAGGATGCTTTCCACCAAACTCACGAAGTCCCTTTGCATGCAAAGTATGGTGGCCGTAACACTGTGACACTAATCCCAGGAGATGGGGTGGGTCCGGAGATGGTTACAGCAGTAAAAGATATATTCAGGTACGTAGTCATGTTATCGGAAACATAAACAGTATACCCTGAAATTATTGCAAATTGCTGCATTTACCATGTGCGAAAATATGCCAACCACACACTGCATGTAAAATGAATGGGATGTCAGTGTTTGTTTTATGCTTCATACTTAAGCTATCAATAGTGAATGAATATAATTTTTATCTGTGGTCAGTCTCTCATAGAACTGCTCCAATAAACAAGAGGGGACATCTCTACTGATACCAGATGCTTTTATTTAGCATTTATTTCCATAGAATTGTCATATATTCCTGTTTTAGATACATTGGAGCACCAGTTGATTTTGAAGAGCTTAATTTAAGGTAAGATATATACTCTATGCTAATAAGATTTGATAGTGTCTGTAAATATTGGTAAATAATGATTCCAGTAAAGGGCAGAGATAGTTTAATTTCAAAATGATTACATTAAAACGCTTATTCCCATCTTTTCCAGTGGCTTGAATCTGAGTGATGAGGACACATTCAGTGATACTCTAGAGGATGTTGTTACATCAGTAAAGAGAAATGGAGCTGCAATTAAAGGTATTCAATTGCTGTAGAAACTTTATACTCCTCACTTTTGTCATAGGTTTCCTGTCGATGTATAAATTTTTTACTCTGAAATGAAAGCATTCTACCATTTTGTTGCCTACAATTAGATAATGAATCACAGCTCTACAAAAACACCTTGATTTACACTCACAACTGTATGTTATTTTATATCCAATATCAATTATATGGTGGTTGATTCCTTTTGCCTTACTGATCCATGTGGTCAGTTGGTGCATATACTTTATCTATGTCTACATGGAACCTGCATTAATTGAAGTTGTTCTGCTTAATTTTTATTTCCAAGAAAGGATTTAAGAATATGAACATTCACAACTTCTTGGTAGAAATAAAACTTGTAGGCCACATTTGTCAGAGAATGTTTACCTTTTTTCTAAAATACACAATTCTGTATGATACACTGATCTGGCTCATTTTGGTTTTTAGGAAATATTTTTACTCCATTAGATCAACCGACTTTTAAGTCACTCAATGTTGAGTTACGGTCAGTATGAATAATAATCCATTTTTTCAAATTAGAGCAGAAAAGGGATCTCTATCAAGAGACCAACTATACATGTAAGACAATAATGTAACCTTCAACCATATTTATATTGTTGTCTTTGACTTTTTAACTCATGTATTTCTTGAATTTTTATCTTGCTGCGTTGCATTATCACAATTTAATCCATGGGAAATGACTTATTTTAAAGGAATTGTTTTTCTTTATGATATTCTTTGTATCCATGAGATTATTTAGAGTCTGAAATTTATTTGTAAATATACTGATTTCTTTTTGATGACTAGTCTTCAGTTAGATCTATTTGCAAATGTTGTGAGATGTAAATCCATCCCAGGTATCCCTGTACGGTAAGAGTTGTTTATATTTTGAGTTGGAAATTGTTTTTTTGTCATTGAAATTTGTTAGATGGTTTTTTGTATGAGCAATTTTTGTACTTACTAATTATATTTGACTGTATATTAGTTTCAATTGGTAAAAATATTCTTCTTCTAAGGCATGGTGATGTTGATCTAGTAATAATCAGAGAAAACACAGAGGGAGAGTACAGCCACATAGAACATGAGGTGGGTTTTTATTAAATAACAGCAATGACATGTCATAATTATAATGCCAGTAATTTCCTTCTCCTGCAAGCCAAATTGTTATTTGCCAAAAAATAGGGCCAATAATGTCCAATAATTTTTTTAGATAAAGAAGATAGTATTATTTGACTGTAACTACTGAGTGTGAAGAGGAAGTTTGTTTTTAAAAGCATGATTACTCAAACAATTATTAGAGCTAGTACATTCTCATTTACTTGCTACTACAGAAAATAAAAATATTGCATAGTGGAAATTAGTGCTTCAGTATTATATCAACCTCAGAACGGATGATTAATGCAAGATATGACATACTACTCAGTCTTCTCAACCAAGTAGAGTATAGGCACCTGTATGATTGCTTTCAGGAGCAATTGTGCTGGTTGAGGTTTGGATTGATAATCAACCGATAGTAGGTAGAGAAAGAATCTTGTGAAACTGAAATTTAACAACCTTCTTCCTTTCCCTTCATGCTATTTAGCCAATGAGAAAAAGATAAAGATGTTTTTGGTCTTGTAACAAGAGTGAGACAAAGACAAAATTCTGAGTCCCTGTGAAGACCTTGGGCTTTGTTTACCACTGAGTCTCTGTTGCTCAACGGTAGAGCATTGGAGGGAGGAATCCCAAGGCCTGAGGTTTAATCTTCATGGGAACTCAGAATTTTTGTTTCTTTGTCCCAGACTTGTGACAAGAAAAAAATTTATCTTTCTCTATTTCTTTACTTAGTCAAGGAGCTATTTTCTGAAAAAGCCTTATTAAATGAGTTGGTTCAACCCACCCGACAGAAAAGGTTTGACAGGTGATTCTGATAGACCAATACCTGCTCTTTAAGATAAGATACTATGTAGTCCCGAATTGTGGTACCGCTAACGAGATAAATGGGGCTTTATACCATGATATGGCACTCAGCATGGAAACGAGGCTCAAACGGAAATTGACCTCAAATTTCATCTTCTTTCACTGAAGTGCCCCAAACCCATCTGTTTCTTTGTCCCAGACTTGTGATTTTGTATGCTATCATAGAAATGTGGGCAATCATATGCTTTAATATTTTCACAGCATCCCTCTTTATTTCAAAGATTTGACCTGTTTTGAGGTTGCATTTATTCCAGCCTCGTTTCCATGTAAACAGTGATGGAAGAGACATCAGCACTAATATTGTCTATCTTCTGGAGTTCTATGCATCCAAATGTTTTTTTTAAGCATAATTCGAAAGTACATGATTTCTCTGTTGCCACATAAGATGAAAAGCCTGGATAAGACCTTTACCCTAGTCTCAGCAGGATTTGAAATATGTCAGGATCGACAAAGGAGACTGCTTTTAGACGAAAAAGTGGTCATGTGACAATCACGTGACATGCTGTTGTACCATGTGAATACTCAAATTGTAGGCAGGTACATGATCATCATTTTTTCAGATGGGTAGCGGTACCACAATTCGGGACTATATAGTATCTTATCTTAAAGAGCAGGTATTGGTCTATCAGAATCAGCTGTTGAACCTTTTCTGTCAGGTGGGTTGAACGAAACCAGTTTATGTTGGGTCTGGCTCCTTGACTAACTGGACTCAAAATTTACCATCTTTCCTCTACTAGGTATTATTAAGAGAAATATACTTGTACTGCAGACTCAGAATTTAATCTTTGTCCCAAGCTCATCACAAGATGAAAAACATCTTTCTCTGTATTTGTAATGTGGTTGGTTTTCTTTAGAATGTAGATGGGGTTATTGAAAGTTTTAAAGTCATGACAGAGGAGAAATGTACAAAAGTTGCAAAGTATGCATTTGACTTTGCTGTTAAGCATGGGAGAAAGAAAGTGACAGCAGTTCACAAGGCCAATATCATGTATGTTTCACAATCTACATTGTAGATAGTAGTCTTTGTCATTTACTCAGTACATTTTATCATATAATGTTAGTTGATAAATATGAATTAAGATGTGATGTTCAGCCCACCTAAGGATTCACCTCAATTACTTAATGTTCTTTTGTTATGATTGGTGGTAGCATGGTCTGCTGTTTTGATGAAACTTCCTGTTGAGAGGTCCCATCAGTCATAAGCAGCCAAACTTTTCTTAGTCAAATAACAAATTAAATGTTTTTACTGAAGGACTGAGAATGGATAGCCCTTGAAAGCCTTGTATAAAATGAATAAAAATAATAATTCTATAATTGAAACTCCATTAATAAACAGAGTTCACTGGATTTATCTTACTATAATTTTGACCACCAATAGAGTTTCATCTTGTCAGTGAGTACAGTTTCCACTCGATAAAAGTTTCTTGATTACTTCTTTTATTTTGAAAGGAAACTTGGTGATGGTTTGTTCTTACGATGCTGTGAAGAGGTGTCCAAGAGCTACCCTGACATTGAGTTCAATTCCATGATCATTGATAATTGCTGTATGCAGCTTGTGTCAAACCCTGAGCAGTTTGATGTGATGGTGATGCCCAACTTGTATGGTAATATCGTCAGTAACATTGGAGCCTCTCTTGTTGGCGGACCAGGAATTGTACCTGGGGAAAACATAGGAGGAGATTATGCAGTATTTGAATCAGTAAGGACTTGAAAAATAACTAATTAACATGTTTAATTTGTCCCTTGTTACATTTGCAAAAGTCATGTGGAAGCTCTTGATGATACATAATGATTTAAGTAACTAATTTGCACTCAGTGCTGAAAGCTTTTAACATGTATCAGGTTATACTTAAGGTGGGCTGGCCTGCATTAAACTTAATTTGATGCTGGCAGCTCCTAGGGGTTTAAAAAAAGACTTGTTAGGGCTCAATGTGTAGCATTTTTGTAGATTTGTAAACAAGAGTCCACTAATTGGATTCCGTAAGTAATCAGAGATGCAGTTGAACATAAGTTATCCAGACTCATTGGGACTGTACTGAGTATTCCTGTTAATATAGGGTTATAATAATCAAAATATGAAAATGAATGAGTCAAAAATTAAACTGTGTATGTATCATTAATAAATATTAAGCAAGAATTTGAGAATTTTCTCAAATCAATGTATCATTGCCCAAATTTGCCATAGTAATCTAAAAAGGTTGTATGACAACAACATTTTGGAACCTAAAATGCTTAAGTAAGTCAGTTTGTTTGAAGCTGCTACAGCCTGTGCACATTGCTAATTCTATCATTTTTCTAAGCTGCATTACTTGAAAAGTGTCACCGCTGTTTCAGTACATCCACTTTATTTGATGAGAAAAAAGAGTTGTTTTGGATTTAAAATGTGACTACCTGGTAATTAGCTTTCTTGAAAAATGGGACCAGAGAAGCAAGTTTGGATGAATTCCATGCCTTGATGATGTTGATGTGAAGAAATCACCAAATTGTGCTTTTATTATTACATTGCTCATAAGAATGTTTCTTTGTTTCTTCTCTAAATGAAGATTGGTGTATGTTGTATTGCAGGGATCACGGCATACAGGTCTGGATATTAAAGGAAAGAACGTTTCAAATCCTATGAGCCTGCTATTTGCAAGTACACTTATGTTGGAGCATTTGGGGTAAGTCTAATATAGAGCTAGAAACCACAGGCTTTTCTCTACAGAACCTCTAATTAAAAGTTCTCTGTAAAGTTGGGTTGAAATTGTTTGACTTTGGCTTAAGGGGTCTGGCTCCAACTCTACCTGTGTCCTCTTGTTGTGTTCCTGAGAAAGACTCTGCTATTACAATGCCTCTCTTCACTCAGAAGTACGAATTAGTCCCATCAAACTAGCAGAGAGAGCTGGTGAAATGCTGAGGTGTGACATGCAATACACCTGGCATGTTAAAAAGCTCACTATGAATTAATAAACTATTATTATTATCACTAGCATGCCATTGAGAAGAAAGGGGTTAAAAGGAATCATTGTCACCTCATAAGGGAGGGAAGGGAGGGGTTTAAAGGAATCCCTACCACCTCTTAATTAAGGAAGGGGAGGGAGGGGTCAAAAGGAATCCTTGCCACCTCCTAAGGGGGAGGGAGTGTAGACAGCTATGTTGCACAGGATATTTATTATATAAGATGATTTACTCATCATTGCTATCTTATTTTCAGGTGGAATGCTTATGGTGACATGATTCACAGTGCTATTTTAAGAGTAGTACAGAAAGGAGTGGTGAGAAAAATAGTTTTTCTTCATTTCAAGTTCATGTTGTTGTAGTCTGAATTGAACAGTAGACTGAAGCCAACATGGATTACTCCTTCCTCACTGAAATTCACCAAGAGTGTACTATATTTATAATAGATTTCACTTTTGAGTCAAATTGCTTTGTAGAAAATGAAGATACTTCCATCCACACCTAAATTTTTTGTAGCTCTAACTGTTAGAAATTAAACTTGCTCAGAATAAAATAGAGTAATGTTCAGATAAACAGTTCCTTTTTCTTTTCTTGAACTGCAGAAAACTGCTGATATTGGAGGTGGACATCTTACCACAGATTTTCTTGATTGTTTGAAAGAAGAAATTGGTCAAATAGGCAACTTGAGTGGAGCAGATTAACATGTAATTCTTTGGCGATTTGTGAAATGTCATTTTCTTGTCATTTTTTTTTTTGTTTAACGAAATTTTCAAGTTTTCTTTGTTGTTGCTTGTTTGAAAGAAGATACTGTAAATTTTATGTAAAACATTTTCAAGTGATAATTAAAGGCTTTGTACAGATTTGTTTTTTGTAACAGCTTCACCCAATGTAGTCTACGCCTTCAAATGAAGATCTATATTTATGATCTCCGTCATGGTGTTTTACAGTCTAACACTGAATGGCTTTAAACACCCAAACAATTATTTTAGCATTTTGACCTAATAACATAAAGTAAAATTGCGGCCTTAAAGATAAATAAAGTGACAAATGGCTTATCAAAGTGAAGTTATTTGCGGTTGATTGTTTGACTCGCTGACGTTTTTGTGGTAATTCTTTCGATTTGTGATGATGTGGTGAGCCACATTAACTTGATGAAAGAAAACTTTTGCCACCAGATGCTGAAAAGTGCTGCTAACTAAATTACGCGAGAAGTAATGGTGGCAGAAGGATATATCACCCATAAGTGGATAAGTCCCGTCAGAAGGATGAGTTGTTACATTTAAAGAGTTCCCATAAAAATCGTTATCTGTCAATGAAAATTGTTGAATGTTAGCGCACAAAGCCGTTTAATATGTAAACAGATGAGAAATCTCTCACGTTATCCGGAAGAATTGAAACAGCTTGATTAGATCGCGCGGTTGCCATGCCAAAGCTTCCGATCAGCTCTCGCTCATTTTGGTCACGAAGTTTTGGGGAATCCATCTATAGAATTTCTGCATTTTTGTCCTGGTTATAGATCGGATTAGCTGAGGTTGTGCACTCAAACGTACATTTAAAAGTGCACCCTCCCAGAGATCAAACAAACTCCTGAAATCACTTAATACCACTTCCTTCATGGCCGACCTTCAATTGGTAGAGGCGCAAAGTGATGGTCATGTCTTATCAAAAAACGATCTCTGCACTAAATTTCGCTTATCCCTTCTATTTTGTATGAAGCAAATCTCTTATATATCACATGCATTATTTCTTTCACTACTCGTTGTAAACTCTTGAGCGAGCTACGTTCCTGCATATTAAAGGTCGATTTTGCGGTTTTGGCTATTTTTTAGATCGGTTTTTGCGCCACAAAACTTCGGTTTTTCGGTTTTGATGTTCATTGCGGTTTGCGGATTTTCCGTTATTTAGCATTTGGTTTTCGGTTTTCGCGACGACTTTTTTTTTGGACTATTTTTTCTACGGTTTTGCGGTTTCTAATAGGCCCCAATGTCCCCCTCAGTAAAAAACACCGCTTTTCCGGCGCGCTGTTCGTCAGGCTGATGGGGAAGTATAATTACAAACAAACAAAGCGACGGCCAGGTAGACAAAATGATATGATCAAACAAACAGGACACAAAAACGAATAGAAAAGAAAGCTTTGCTTCGTGTCTCATAATACTATATGCTGCATGTGTCCTTACTTAGGGAAGTTAAAGCCACTGTCACCATCAGGGATCTCCCTAATATAAGCCATTTAAAGCTTCTTTGTCTATATCAGGACTGACGATAAGTTTTTCATCATATGTTGCATACAGCTCAAAAGCTCATGGCCCCCACAAAATTAAAATAAGGAACTTCCTCAGTTACTCAAAACATTGCTACCGAATGCTTGTTAAGAACAATTTTTACCGAAAATATCCATTTTTGTGAAAATGGTTTTAACCAGTGAACTTTCGTTGATGTTTGAGGTTTAATCCGACTCATTTATCAAAATAATAAGTCTTACAGTCTTGAAAGTTTCTGACAAGGATAGAATCCAAGTGACATTTTATCTAACAGCTAAATGACATTTCCACCCACAACACGTCCTTCATGGGATTTTAATTTGTGGCTGACAGGAAATACGAAATCGAGCACGCGATGAATGAGTTGTAAATAAGACCTAGCACCGCCATTATACTGACAGTAACGGAGCACAGCTTGTAGTACAAGGTAGAATGTTCACCTGCAGATAGCGTGAGTACCTTACTTAAATTGCTTTAGTTTGCTGAAGAATAGCAAAGTCGTCTTTCTTATGACGAGGTCCTGAAAATTTTTAAAGGGGTTTCGGACTGGGCTTCTGTTTTTCATTAATAATTTTTCTGAGCCTTAACCTCTGAACCATTCCAGTCAGAGGGCTTTCTAAGTTGTTCATGTTTTTCAAGAAATCCTTTTGAATCTATTCATTGTGCTCCCAAATTTGTTAGCCATTCCTAAGCGTCTTTACTTAAATTCCACTCATGAAATAGCATCACGTTCAAAACCACCAAAATAAACAAAGTTTCTCACGTTTGATCGGAGATGAGAGTATTGTTCGATGACGTAAGATCTTAGGGTTTAGATTATTGTAAACACGGACAGTGTTCGTTCATAGTGCAAAAGAGCGGCTTTAGATGCGAAATGTGCATTGTATCAGCTTTCTTGTTTTTTGAGTGTGAGAATGAGAATAAGGGATTAAAGAATATGGATCAAGTAGAACATCAGGAAAAGATTAGAAGGCAGAATATCGATCGAAAAATGTTTGTATTTTTATGGACGTCACCGTAACTGAATTATCTGTATGTTGATTATGTTGGTGGCAGGACTCAGTGAACGATGGTCACCAGACTCATCTCATTATCCTCTGATAAGCAAGAGTGACTCACAAATCTCAACATGCTTAAAATACAACAAAATAGCTGCATTGCAGTTAGGCTCAAGCAGGCAGAATATAAATTCTATTTGTAGTCGTCTTTCGTTACTTGAGAGGTCAGGTTGTAGATAAATACATGAATCCCATAGAAGCACATTGACCACTTTCTCAATTGAGTTGCACTCTGTTACGTGAAACAACTTCTTCACTTCGGCAAGCTTCAGGGTGACTCTGTCAAAAATGCCTTTCCTCAAGTTGTCTGAATAAAAGTAGGCAATGGTGCTTTTAAAAATATTGTATTCCATCCATAAACTGCTTTGAATTAAGGATTAAGTAGCGTACGGTTTTATATGACTGAACACTGAACTAATCTCTCGAATAACAAACTAAACGACAAAACACTGAAACTGAAATACACTTTTTTGTTGTTGTTGTTGTATGACGCACAACACGGTTACAATATGATTCTGTTTTCACCCGTTTTAAGCTCGAGCATAGCTGAAAAACCGCATGAAAACAAGACGCTATCTCGCATATAGAATATCACAATTATTCGGAAAACAGCTTAGGAGTTAAAATTAAAATGAACAGTTCCAACCATTATCCTAAAAAGAAGGAAATCTCTGTTTTAAGAACTATTATTATAGCGGATTCTTTGCGTATTTAGTCTAGTAAGAGACGTGCTGTGAAACAAAGATTCACGAAATATTAATGTTAGTATGTCACATTTCCACCATCAGCGATTAACAAGAACCATCAAAAGCATACTGTAACTTTTTCAGGCGACAAATTCAAAGATGTAAATGACAGATCTGAATCGCTCCGTTTCTTTGACAGAGGAAGTTTTTCTTAATCACACTCATGAAAAACTCAGTGTTCAACCTGGCAGTGTGAAAGTTTAATTGGGGTTAATTTCTTGTAAAGTGTAGTAACTTATGGACTGTACGTTACGCCTCAAGCTCTTTTTAAGGTGAATATCTAAGTTTTGGCGGTGAACTCATTGCTCAATTCTCCAACCGCCCTCGTGTTAAATTGTGAGAGGATTGCTGTGAAGTTCTTTTGCTAAGGTGACGAAATTAACATGCTACAAATTTTTGCAATAGATTAAGTCGGAATTATAAGAGAAAGTCCAGCTTAACTTGAAATTAAGTCTAAAAATAACAATAACAACAACAACAAGACCAGCCTGATGAAACACAGGTAAGCTGATGAACCTACGTTATCAAGTCTCACCAACTGAGTCCAAAGTTTCATCTCTTAAAAAATCTACATAGAGAGGCTTTCTGTAGAAAATTCCGTGAAATTGTTGCTGCAAAATAGTGGATTAGGAGTACATTTTTTATCGCTTAACACACGAACAGCGGGGAATGAATCATGAATCATAATCCCGGCCACGGACAAATATAGACTTTTCCCTGACCACCCAGGGTTCTCATATGTTATAACAGCAAAAAAAATAACAGTAAAGCTCTTTTAGGACATTTTTCCTTTTCTTTCAGTATGGGAGCTGAATAACAAGCGACCAACAAACACGAACATGTGGGGTTTGTCTTTGCTTTACGATCTACATACCGTAATCCAGTTCTCAGTACTCGAAAAAAATGATAAGCAATTCAGTCCCGAAAAAAAAGGAAAAAAAAACAGTGTGGTAGGTGTCCTACTTTTCAGGACAAAATAATTGTTCATAAAAACAGGATCAATAAAAAGTTAGCAGTCATATTTTAGCGAACGTTTTCCAAACTCTTACACGTGATTTCAAACCAGCGCAATTTGCCCTCACCAGCTATAAAATCAAGCCTTCTGTTATTGTTTACCTATTTGGGAGGGATATAACAGACCTCACCCCCGCTGAGGATGGACATTTCAAAGGTCCTTCTGACACCACGTAGTAAAACATTCAGTGTTTCCTGGATGTCCCACCCAAATTACGTTCCCCATTACGTTAGGGAACAGTTAACTCATGAGAGTAAATCTGGATAAGTTGATGATTAGACAAATTATTCATTCCTTCACGGACTAAAGAAACATTCTCACGCCTCAAAATTGTTTTTCTTTCGGCTAAACATGTTTTTCCTGTCGGTAACAGTAATTTAACTCCTACAGCTTATCGTAGCTTGAGAAGTAACTTAGCTGAAGACCACTGCATGTCTTCTGCAAAACATAACTATGCTTATCAACAGAAGAACAGACAAATGTATAACGTGCTGAATGTGTCGGCGATTGGCTGAAATACCATAGTGAGCTAAACGAGCACACATGCCGTGAAATGCAGATTAAATAATTGCTTTATTTTTCATCAGGGTCATAAATCACTAACCTCTTGAATAGCCTGTATTTAAACTCTATTTCGGAAGGAGTCCTAATGGCGCCTTCAACATTTTAGTGCCGTTTGCGTGCAGAATAAGAAAATAATTAGCCATATAAAACACATGTAATAAGGTTATTGATCGCCTGAGGTCGTGCCACAGTTGTCAATCCTGTTTGTAAAGTTCTCTGAGGAATCAAAGGCTTACCGACTTCCTGTGAAAGATACTGTCAGTATTGACAGACGGTGTATCCTCTAAATTAGTCAATAGTTGGCTTTCCGCTTCTAAGTGGTCTTAACTGAAGATTTATTAAGATTCTGAGGAAAATTAATTCGAAATCAGTTGAATTAGCGGCTCGAGACATCTGGAGAGCGCATATCGTATGTTCCGTTGGCCACTTGTCTCCAGGTCTTGCGTGTTAAACTGCCGATAGCAGTCTGTGATAACCTTCGCTCTTGAATCTTCAATTTCCATCTGATAACTTCATCTACTGACAGACCACAGACACTGCCAAGGCAAGTCTATTTTTGATACTGATCGTTTACAAAAAAAAGCCTTCATAGTGACTGTAAATATTTTATTGTTCCTGGTAGTATTGTATTGGTGCACGCGCTGTTCGTGACTTGCTCTGTTTGGGCGCCACATCGTATCGCCACCTCGTATCGCCACCTCGGTATTCTATGTTTTACTTACTTTCTCTCTTGGGTTAAACTCATGACTTTTGTTTTCACTAGCGAAGAGCTGTAGTTTGGTAAACATGTAATCTAAACCTGTTATTCATGGTGAAGGCTTTTTTGCCTTTAAACCCCATTTGAGGTCTCCTTCAATCTCCCAATTGACTGATTTGCTCGTGCTACGTGTGGGTGGCTGTCACAGTAACGCTTGTTGGGACATGCAATGGATAACCTGAAAGAAATATTCTCTTTTTCTCGTCAATTGATAATTTGGATCACAGCAGGGTTACGGAAATTTGAGCCCCATTAGGTTAGCGTATATTATTGCGTAGTGAAATCCATTCCGTCTCACTCTGTGACTTTTTTTCATCGCAGGTTTAAGCCGCGTTAAACTCTCTTGACTGCACGTTGATCTGAGGATCCGCTGTGGTCTGAAAAGCTCTATAAGAACTGAACGAGAAACAAGAACGTGGTCAGACTGGTATTTTCCAGAAATAAAAGAGGAAGCATTTCAAGAGTGGTACACCATGAATGTACAAGTTAAGTTTGCGCTGATGTGCGCGGTGTGTGTGATGTGCGTATTTAAATCGTGTGAAGCTCGATCCAAACGAATTCGACCTGTGATCCACAAATCATTGCTTGTTGTTGACGAACAAGGAATCGATGTAATCACAGATGCGTCCGAGTTGACCAAGAATGCTATGACCAAGTCTCGCAAACGGATTTTTATGGACGACCACCATTTTATCAAGCGGGTGGCATTGGTTGAGTCTTTCCTAAACAAAACATCGAAGGAAGGCGGGCCGTGGAGCATAGAAGAGTGCGCTTTTAAATCGACGCAAAACAAGCGGAAGGAAAACAAGCAGCTGGCTGCGCTTCACAAGAACATACGCCGTACATTTGGTGTGACTTGGTCCAAAATCAAATACAGAGATTTACGGAGACCCCTTTACTCCGTTTTGGCCGCCAGGATTATCCTGGAAATGGCTGTACCGTCAATTCCCCGTGGTTTGAGAAATCAAGCCAGGCTTTGGTTGGAGACCTACCATGAATGCGCAAAGAAACTCAGCCACCCACAAGTATGGGAAGACACGAGGAGCAGATTTATACGAGGCGAGTGTTTTGATTTGTTTTATTTTATCCCAGCGTTTATCCTAAGCAGTAGTAACATGTCTCATGTAAAATGAATTTTAAGCTTAACAGAGGAATGCAAGCATTTAAACCGGAAGCTCAGTAGTGGGTTCCGGTTCGGGACATATTTACACTGATTAAACCGTACAAGGAACCAAAAGTAGAAGGGTCCTTGAGAAATACGTGAGTGGTTCTATTTTTGCATGGTTTATTAGGGAAGTCGGCCTTTAGAGTTGCATTCTCAATGACCCGCGTGTAAGTAATTTTCTGCTACTCCTACCGCGTGCGTCCGGGGAGAAAATTGATCTACAGATGTCGCTCACGCAAGACCCTTACTTTGTACTTTATATCCTAACCGTGTGCTATTCTGAGAGAGATAGGCCACGAAAGAAGTGCTTTTCTATAGAGGCATGAATAGAATGATTCTACCATCATTTTTCAAACAACCGTGTGGTATTCGCAAATAAGCAAGTAGCGGCTAATGGCCCAAGATAAATCTCAAATTTCTGAACCAAAATACCCGTCATTAGTGAGAGGAATTGGTTACAGCTTTAAAAAGGGCTGTGTCAGCCTTCCTATCCCTGAAAACATGATCTTTCAGGTTTTTTGCCTACCCTGTGGTCTCGGGGTAGTTTTGAATTCGCGGTAGTAGCATCGTCTTTCAAGTTGTAAAAAAGTTATGAAGGAGAAATCTGCAAAAAATACGGTGTTCTTTATTACTTGTAAGCCTGGCAGTTGTTTAAACGTGTTAAAAGAGATATGTCGCTTGTTGTATTCAGAGTTTCTTCTCGATGTTCCCCTTATTATTAATGGAGATAAGTGTTTCATATGCGAGATATTGAAATATGTTTTTTTCCCTTTTTTCATTAACCAGTAACAAGGCGACATTTTTTGGCGGCTGCAATTTCACATGAGGTCAACAAGCAAATTGAAGTACGGGTATTGATTAAGTTACGCGATAAGATAACTGTAGGGAAAGAGTTTGGCACGTTAGCGGTAAGCCCGAACTGAATAAGTAACAGCTGAAGAGCTGTGAGAACCGTAAGGAAAGAAGCTTGCCAAAGAAGCTTGAAAAACTACAAAAATGCCGATCAAATAAGGAAAAAATGCTAAAGAGTTGAGATTTGCTTCAGCTTGGCGTTTGGCTACTTTTCCAAACTTCTAATGATGTTTGATTTGCTTCACAGAGCCACATTCCTTCCAGACTATTCGGCTCTGAATACGAAGAAGACGTAAAAAATCTCCTGCTAAAATTTCTTTTGACTAAAATTCGAGCTTTTTTATCGTTTGATGAGAAAAACACATTCTACATTAGGAAATCGCACTGGCATTTTCAGAGGTAAAAGGTTGCGTATTTGAGAGCAAACGTTATTCTTAAATCACAGTGGATGCAAGGATGGTTTAAGATTTGTTTTTAAAACCCTTTCATTCTTCCGGACTCTTGTTTTTCTTATCAAAACTATGTTTTTTCATTCAGTTCAGTTTGAAAGCAGTTGGAATGGCTTGAAGATAAAAACAATCGGAGGCGATGAACAAACAGGATTTGTGGAAAATCCTAAATGTAAACATCATTTCAAATACCGATTACTCATTCGGTGGCATTCAGTTTATTTACCCCTGCACGTTTTTGCTGTCAATTATGTTGACACATGTTTCGTTATCGAAAATATGTATTTGTTCAAGAATAACGAAGAGGAAAGTACTTAATAGTTTGGCTATGATTATATTTCCTGTTTGCCAACCATCGATTGATTCAGCCCACCCGCATGTCAATCGTTGACACCTAAGTTTTTTTTCCACCCATGCACGAGGCTTCTGAGCTTACTGTGCTGTTCATTTTGACGGAGCTTATTCGTGATTATCCTTGGCAATTGTTTGTTTAGTCTTGTGAAACATTCTGATATTTCCACAGTACAAGCTAGTGCTCCAATAAAGTTTTTCGCCTTGTAATGATTGCTGTGCACCCTGGTCGGTCGCTGAGTGGAGTTTCATTGAGCACCAGATTTCGAGAGATATCAATACTTAGTTTATCTTTAAAAAAAAAAAGAGTTGCTTTTAAGGGTTAAGCATCTTCACTTTATGTTTTTCTCACGAGAAACTTTTTTCAGGCCCATAACAAACAGCGAACTGATGAAAAGAAGTTGTCAATAAGAAAATTCTTTATTCGAAATTTTAACTGATGTCATTGCTATACACGTGAATGCGGTTTACTACCTATGGCCGATTGCATTTTTTCTACGGTTAAAAAACGGAGATAGTTATGAACAAGCAGAAGTGCCCAACAATTTCTGTATTTTTTCGTGGAACTGGTTTGTTGTCCCTCGCCGAGATGACCATTTCATACTTCCTCATCTTTGATATACAGCTGGGTTAAATTTTCTTTACTCAGTCACAGTAATGTTTGTGTTTTTTTTCACGTGATACTCAGCCTTCGTTGGGCGAAGACAGAAAAAACCTTATTTCATTTATCGTAATTATATTCGCATGAACTAAGGATTACCAAAAAACAAAGGATCGATGAATTTGGGACGAAAGAAAAAGATCCTTCGACTTGACGTTGGCATAGCGGGAAACAGATGCAGTTACAACGTGAAGAGCTTTGTGTAATTCACAATCGTTTTGTTGATGTCATGATATACATATGAACTAAAAATTTATGTAACATCTACATCAAGCTCCCTATCTGCTTTTATTTTCGCCCTTCTGCTTCACGACTCTGGTTTTATTTTCTCTGGCTCAGCTGCTGGTCAATTTAGAGGAAATGTTTAGAGATATACAAAGTCTTTTTCTTTTTGCACGACGAGATCGAAGAAATGAAAAACTCCTCGATCTCTTTGAAAATTTTCTGTTTGAAGTTTCCCAATGTTTTCTTGGACAAAAGCGGCTGACTCGGAAAAAAGAAACTTAGAACTCATTCCGGAGACACCAATCTGCGGTTTTCAATCAACTACTTTGAGAGTCATGTCTGACGCAAGCCGTCCAAGTGGTGGTTTTAATCACGATCAGTTCAATTTATCTGCGATCTTTAAGACGTTTAGGTGCAAGGTCACATTAGGATGTTTCTTTATTATGCCTCTCACTAGCCATATTGAATTCGTTCTTAAAGATCTTAACCTGTATCTGTAGATGGTAAATGCGGGCATAAGTGTGATATTGCGGTGATTTTTTTAGCGCATATATCCGAAAAAAGATCCAATTATGATCCTAATTGAATCAGTATATCTGGTTTACAGGCTTGACCTCATGTCTCCCTCTGATGTGTTTAATAAACTCCAATTCTTTTCGCTCTAGTAGAGGAAGAATCAAACACATTGTAGCCGACCTCACTTTTTTTTTTCTTCAATTCGTAAACTATAGCCGAGGGCATGGGATCTTTTTCTTCAGAAGGTCACCCTAACTTTCACAAAAGCAAAGTAAACTCGAGATTTCCTCCCAGGAGTCTGCACATTTCCGATGGGTTTTTATGTCGGCACGTACATATCAAATAAGAACCGTTAGTTTTTATAAAAAAGCTTTTTAGCAAAAAGGGGCAAACAGTATCATAGTGGGGGCCGATTTCATGAAAACAAACCCTTCAATATGGTTTGCGCGCACACGAATTTACGAATTGAGCATCTTCATTAGACGGAAAAAGTCAAGTTAAAGAAAGCACGATGGACTCAATAATGAACTTACAGGCCCAAACTTGTGACAAACTCTGCGAGTAATTTGAAATTGAGCAATATCTCACTTCATCATATACTCTCATTTTCTGTGGTAACCGAAAAACCGCAGATTTTCTTAGGTTGGTGAAAGCCGAGAAACCAATCCCCTATTCGCAAAAGCGAACTTTCTGATGCACCTCTTGATATTTTTTGCACCTTTAGAAATTATCGTGAAGTAATCAGCAACTTGACACAAACTGCATTCTGAAAACATAAAATAGTTCGATATACCTCTAACAATGCAGAAAGCCGTGACTGTTCTGTATATTATTACTTATCGGTCAAGTACCAACGGAAATAGTGTCGAGCTGGTTAGGTGAGATGATCGTTGATTATTAGAGATCGTTGATTATTAGATTTATATTACCTTTCACGAGTCTAGACATACAGAAGACATGCAAAAGAAATCAGAAGTATCAACGAACTTTACAGTAAGAAGGAACCTTAAATATTTGTAAGCAGACTTAATATGCTTTTACTTTTGTGGTTGGTATGTTAATGGTTTTTTACTAAAAATCGTTGCCGCTCAGCTCCAGGTCAGTGAAGAGGATAAGGTCATGGAATAAACTCACCTACTTATCCGGTGATAGGATTTCTAGCAAAGAGATTTCCGTAAATTCTCTTTTTCCCTCGCAAGAATCCCATGAAGTATAATTGATCATTATTCAATTTCAGCCTCTCTCCTTGTTGATAATCAAACGAACCCCCAGGCCATTTATGATAGCGTTTCGAGCGTTAGCCATTAGTCAGAGCGAAGGACGAAGGGCGAACGCTCGAAACGTCAGCCTTTAATTTCTTTACGGTGACCAATTTACGTTTCCAACTCAGTTGATAACATTAAATCATCCTGTGATAATCTCTTAACGACGCAGCACAACGGTTTCTTTAGAAACTTACCTCCTTTATCTATTTATAATGGGTTAGGGCCGCGTCAGCTTTACAAGAGATTAAAAGATGTGTTTGTAAAATGAACTCAGAGCTTCACCTGGTGAAGTGAGAAGAATTGAAGTCGTCTGAGGTATAAAACAACCCCGCATCAGTTTCTTTATCCTAGGGTTTCAGTAAGCGTTAAGTGTCCTAAAACTCCCCATCAGCAGTCCTGACTGAAGGCTTAAGCTCAAAGTGAACGACGCATTGTTTTCTTCTTTTCTTTTAGCGTAGTGCTACGGCACTGATCTTCTTTAATATACATCAACTCGCCGGGAATGATTTTGGACATGATACGATTATCAACAACCGGGGTGCAGTTGTTCAAAGAGCTAAATCGATATCCAGCGGATAAGAGTTCACAAAATGTACCGTGCTATTCACCGTATAGGGAGTTACTCGGCGGATAGCGTTATTTAACCTTCCAACAACCGGCCGGGGCCAGTTACAGATAGCTTCCTTTTTTCCCCTTGGTTATTACTTGTATCTCTCTGTTTCTCTTTGGTTGGCGAGAGCATCTGAGCGTGAGACTTTTGCTCGTTTACAGGCTACTGAAATACTTAAAAGGCATACTTTGTACGTGTAGTTTAGCTGTGTGATTTTCTAGATCAACGAAAAAGTGACCAAAGCTGACCAAAGCTGACCAAACGCCCTTTGGTAACGGGGACTGAGAAGTTGTACTGATTTGGGAAGCTATTTTACTTTTAATGTATTTACTTGGACATTCCATTAGTCATGTTCAGAGTAGAGATTACGGCAGGGTCAGAAACTAAGAAATGTAGTCGTTTGAAGCCTTTGCGAAGACAGACTTTCATTTCAAAACAAACAAGCTGTTTAGTGTCATATTATTCAAGACAATGTTATACTGATTTCATTTCCTTTGTTTTTCCGCCCTTAATAGTTGTGAAGAATTCTTGTGCCAGTAACTTTCTAAAGTGTGAACACGTCTGCCGCGAGTCAAGCAAGGGTAGAGCGAAATGTGAGTGCCAGTATGGCTATACCTTGCAAAATGACGGCGTGTCTTGTTCAGGTAAATAAAATCAAGCCAGTCATTGCTTTGTCGCATCAGCGGGAATTATCATCACACTTCACTATAGAGTTTTCTTTACCTCTTGTGATTTTGTTTTTCCTCGACTTTCCCAACAACCCAGCTTTGTTATCAATGTTCTTTATGGGATAGCAGTCATAAATCTCATACCACGATCACTTCACACCCTAAAAAACAATCGAGTACTAAATATTTATTTTCATTTCAGACGGAGCTTCTCGTTCTCCAAGCGGGACTAAAGCACCCTCTCCCGAGCTGGAAGTTGAAACCGGATGTGGGAATGGGCTTAAGTGTGATCATAGGTGTGTTGAATTTGGCGGTGTTCCTCAGTGCGCATGTCATAATGGTTACCAGCTGCATATGAATGGTTTTACCTGTGATGGTAAGTGGAATTGTACAGTAGTCAACGTTACTTGCCGAAAGTTAGCAACCTTCCACTAGAAGTGATTTACATGTAACTTCTCCCTACAATATCCATACACTATCCAACAAACAGGTAGTGAGATAACTCACACTTATCAATTAGAGGTTCTTATCACGATATAACACTAAATTCTTGTAACTAAATTACAAAGAAATGTGTTACAGCTAAATGGGAGAATTAACAATCAGATCTTGGGAGTTAAAGGGTTAAAGCCTTTCAATCAGAGAATGATTCCAATGTATGTGACCACATTAGTCTGTTAACAGTGCTCCATCATTCTTGTTGGGTTTCAGATATTGACGAATGCCGGCATTCGCCATGTTCACAGCTGTGCAAAAATACCCCAGGCTCATTTTCCTGTTCGTGCCAGGCGGGTTTCAAGATTCAGTCAGATAAGGTTACCTGTGAAGGTAAATCAAGGAGTTCCCTCATCCTGTTTATCTTTACTATTGGAAAACAATGCAGAGACAAAATTCATGTTTATAAGGTAGCATAGTCGGCGTTTTATGGCCGTAGATGTAAATGATCTTCTGAGTTTTCCATGTCTGCTAACTTTTTCTCTCATCACTTTTAATAAAATTTTTTGCCAGAAGAAACATATAATTAAAATCGATATAGTCTAAGTGTTCAAGTTTTCCATTCTTTACATTTAGGACGAGAGATGACTTTTGATTAGAGGTGCATTCTCGCTTAGCGGATGAATGGGTTACGTCATAGTCAGATACTCAACCGAGCCGAAAACACAGAATGTTACTTGGCAGGCAAAGAACGAATGAAACTGGACATGAACGTAACTGTTGCGTGTGTTTATTTGCAGAAGAGAAGACTAAGTGTTCAATGAATGATATCGCTTGTATTCAGAGATGTACCGAGTTTGGAAACTGCTCCTGTCCACCAGGTACCGCCATGGGTCCAGATGGCCAAACATGTGTCGGTAAGTCAGGGACGCTGAGTGCACAATGGTTTGCAAGTTTCAGCAGCCAAACATCTCTCAGATACTCATGCTAAGTTATAAGCGACAAGCTCGTGACTTTTGTTGCATGTAAAACGTACAATCTATGATGACCGAACAAGTCAACACACTCACAATGTAACTCACTAAAATAATTTCCGGTGATTTGGCGCATTTGTAGACATTTGTTGATGTTTCTACCAATTACCAGACAAGATATAGAGTGAACATTATTCAAATACTTTGCGTCGTACTCATGAGCTTTAGCGTCATATGGGCCAATTTGCAATTGATTTATTAGTAAAGTATGAAGAACTCTTTATCTATAAGAGAACCATCTTTCTTGATACGCTATCTCTTGTTCTCAGATGCAGAGAACGTTTTATGATAACAAACACGTCTTATCGCTTACTTCACATCGCCGAGAGCTTCCAAAACAATGTGTGAATCACCTTGAATCGTTTACTTAACCAATATCTGAAACCTGGACCACTGAAAAAAGACATAGTCTTCATGGATTTGTGAAAACTCGCCGTTTCTAAATCAAGAACCCATTTTCAGTCTAGCTGCCATATCGAGCTTTTTTCACTTAAATGGTCATGCAAATTTTTTTCCACTTTCACTGAGCAGATCATTTCCCTGTTGATTGTTGTGTATCTTTCTCCTTCAGAGGTAAATGAATGCAGCTTATTCAAAGGTGTTTGTCATCAGAACTGTATCAACACGCCCAGAGGGTACCGCTGCACATGTTCCAAGGGATATGAGTTGAATGTGAATGGAATTTCCTGTTCAGGTGAAAAAAGTTAGACATTTTAGTGTCTGGGAACATTTAAGAAACGTCACGATTGACGGCTGTGTTAAGATTTCTGCAGTTTAGTGGTTTTAATTCCTCCGTGGATGCAATGGATTCTCAGCCTAGACTAAGACTGCAAGAAATTTGTGATAGAAGAATGAGGGTAAACATTACTCTTGAACGTTTTATTGAGTATTCCATATTAATTCGTTGGTTTTTTTCAGATATCGACGAATGCGCACGAGGTATCCATGGCTGCCACCACAACTGTCGTAATGTTCCTGGATCTTACTTCTGTTCATGTAGCAAAGGATTCCAGCTCAGTGATGACCTGAAGTCATGTGTTGGTATGTGTCGTTCGAATACCTTTGAATGCTTTTGTATTTTGAGAGACCTTTTTGAATCACATAATAAGCTGTCATCATGTCTAAAAAGTGCTTTTGCTTTCGTTTCCTCTAAGTTGAAGAACATGTACACATTTAGATAAACAACTTGGGCGTCTACCCTTTCATTCATAATTTTCTGTTCAGATTCTGAATGAATAAACGAATTTGTTTTTCTTAAAACTTCTCTGGTTTTAGATATAAACGAGTGTGCATTGTACCCTGGGATATGCCCCCTTCCTTCGCGATGCCGCAATACCATTGGAAGCCACACTTGTGATTGTCCCAAGGGATTTGTTAATCACAGACACAAGATTTGTATCGGTAAGTAGATTGCCGTCGTTAAATGAGGTTTGATCAAAGTTGGGTTTCGTTTGAAATTGATGTCACCGACAAACTTATTTCAGACGAGAACGAATGCGCAAACTCCAATGGCGGCTGTGACCAGGTGTGTCAGAACTACCCAGGAAGTTACCGATGCTCCTGCAAGTATGGGTTTATGTTACAGTCTGACAGGAAATCATGCAAAGGTGAGCAGATCAGATGATAGCTTTTTATGTTCTAAATACAATAAAACAGAAGTAAACCGGCAGACAGTGTAAGTCTAACTAGAGATCACTCGAGTGTTGCTGTTAACAAGATGCTTTTTTTTTATTGCCCTATATCGACTCAGTAGGTGGATGTTTTGCGAAAAATATTGAAAATCGAGAATTGTTCTAGAGAGGGTACATGTTTAGGGGAAACCAAACAACAAAGAATTTTTCACCGAGAATGCCGACCTGCTATAGAAGATATTGACTCAAATTAATTAGAATTTTTTCTTTTTGCTTCTAGATATCGACGAATGTTCCAGATATTCGTTCCTCTGTCAGCATAAATGTGTTAACACGCCGGGAAGCTACAAATGTACCTGTCCACCTGGTCTGCGGCAACCTATAAACGGCTTTATGTGTATGTAGAAATAACAGTGTTTCCTTTGTACCGTGAGTGAGATTCTCTGACAGCCTCACCACTCACGCACTTGGGCAAAGGTTATATTTCCTCATTAATACACTGTTAAAGAACCCAAAGATTCTGTTGGAGTAAAAACATTTTCAAGATAATGCTTTCGTCTTCAGAAGAATAGAACAGTAATTGAGTCAGAATTGTTTCAATGTAAATTCAAGCTTAGTGCAGTAGGTAAGACCATAAAAGAGGATCAAAATATTTATTTCAACCTATCGAGGACTGCTACTTGACAAAACGGCGAGAGGCTGTATCATGTCAACCTTTGGACTGACCTTAAACATGAGAGTGGATTTGACTTCGGTGGACAAACGATGGTTACCAAGGTCCCGTGTTCAATTTATCAAACCTTGTCGGAAGTCAAGGATATTTTGACAATCTTTTTTGATAGAGGGTACATGAGGAATGTAAATATGGAAAGTGTTTTGTCGTATTTAATTTACCTTGATAGGGTGGCGAGTTTTAAGAATTGTCTCTGTTTTAAATCTAACATGCATATTTGAGTAAATTTCAACTGTGTGTTCAATCCCGGATTGTTGTATGATTGGCCTAAAAAACTCGCGCCACTCTTTCAACCAATCAAATTAAAAACTAAACCAACCGCGACTTTCCCGAGCTTCAGACTTTTTATTATTATTTTTTTAACCTTTGCGATTCTAGTAATACTTACCTTTTTCCTGAATGGCTGTTGCGCCTACTTTGCTTTTGGTTTTATGACACTCAATCGAAAATTTTACTTATGTCACAGATAGTGCGAAAAATCCAAGCTCACTTCCTAGCATCTTTGGCAATTTTCATGTAGCACCATTACAGCCAAGATTAGTGACGAGTTTAGAGGAACAATTATTCGTCAGTAATTAACACAAGTTTTGGACAAATAACCTGTCCAAATTACCATCCAACTTGTTTTAAAACGTCACGACAGGCCAGAGGACGCAACAAAGACATAAGATAGTTGTGTAACTTCAGTACAGGAGTAAAACTTTTTTGTTTCCTTTGGGTAAGAAGCAGATTTTGTTTAATATCTATACCTTTGTGATTTAAAATAACAAATTTGGATTTTCTTGAAAGGAACCAAATTAGCCTTTGACCAAAGGAACTGAGATACTTCATTGTATACTCCATATTTAGATTTAACGAAAGATCAGATGTTATTTGTAAGAATGGCAAAACAATTGGCCCCATAAGATAATTTTACCCTCGATTACAACTTTGAGAGAGGGAAATAATCACAAACACCCTTGCCAAATACGGAACATCCAAATGTTCTTGTAACGTCCCTGCAAGTCTCGCGGGAAGGAGGAATAGCACTTATCTGACAGTTTAAATTGTACATAAATTTAAATATGAATAAATGATGCTTGCAATTTATAGGATTTCACGTTGAGCGTAGCGAGATATTAAACGTTCAATTGCAATTTGTTTAACAATCATTTTTTTGAATGTGCTTTACTGATCCACTAAGACATCGCTTATTCACACTACTTTAGTCTAATAAAATCAGTAAAAAAGATGCGCAACTTTACAGAAATCCCGATATTTTGTTGTCAGAGAGGCGTTTTCAAGCCCTTGCCGTTGTTGTGTGGAGTCGCTTGTGGTTCAGTTCCTTCACACTTCACTTTCTATATCTGTATCCTCGCTATTGCCCCATCTTTCTACAGCAATCAGTCAGTCGAACTTAGTCTTCTTGGAGACAGGTTCTTTCATGTCCTCTGCACTGCTGCCCTGTCAAAGAAACACATACACGACTTAAGAAATGAGGAGGAGAAAAATAATTTTGTCGTTCAAAGACTAGAGCGAGGAAAGAGAGTGTTTAAGTCGTTATAATGGATGAATCGTGATTGGGAGAAGATGAGAAAACATTTGAGTAGTTTTCAGTCGATGAAAACTTCTCATATCATGTTCTGAGCTTTTTTCGCGTCCCGGCATATAAAATGTGAAATTTGTTTGTTTGCTCTTTTCTTTCAAAGTCTTTAGAATTACCTTTTTAGAGACGAGGCTGAAAGATAAAAATTTATTTTCTGTTGAGGACTTGTCAACATTAATCTTGACAGCCACTCGGTCAAAGCTTCGGTAGGTGACGTCACCATCTGTAAGGGATGGCTCCTTGATTAACAAAAAAAGAAAATAAATGGTAATTCTTGACATCATTCTTGATATTATGTATTACAGTTGCCAAGGTAAACTAAGCGTCGGAGAATGGATCATGTGATTTCATCAGGGAATGTCATGAACACTTACATTCGCTGCGTTTTCTGACACCAAGATTTAACCCGAAAAGATCCAAATCACATGTCCCCTACAAACCTCCGATGATAAGCGTCATTATTCCTTCGATTTTCTCAAACACCAACGCTCACTCATGAACCTCTTCTCTGCCAAATCGAAGCTGACTATGTATTGAAAAAAAGTTTAGGAGAAAAACACCTGTTCGTTGTAGGTAAATCCTGATACATCTTGTTTGTTCATGAACACGGTTCCTTCAAGGCCATACTTAGGGATCAGAATTTGAAGCGCATTCTTACGAACAAACAGCACAAACGCTTCTTCTTCTTCTTTAGCCTTTCCTTGGAAAAACAGCTGAGAAAAGAACATTCCATGAAATGAGCCAAACAGTCTGAGTGCAAAAAAAAAACCTCTAACAAACAAACACTACAAACTCTTTGTGAAGTCTTAAAAACTATGACAAAAGAATGATATTAAAAACCACACTACCTGGCAATGCAGGTCAATGGAGTCCCGTGAAGCATACTGGGCCATTTTATGACGGAAGTTCAGATGATTGCACAATTTCTGAAAGTAAAGAGAAAAGTAAGACGTTAATGACAGTAACGACAGAGATATATTCGTTATAAGATAACTCACTAATTTTGACAGCGAGAGAATGGAGCCTAGTGGTAAGCTACGAACTGGTTACACCTCAGGTCATACCCACCTGTGTTTTGTCTTTGCTGAGGAGGTCTGGATACGAATCTAAAGCTCCAATTACAACAGCTAGGAGTCTATGTACCAAGATGTCAGAATATCTACAGGTAGGAAAAATTTAGGTTAATGAAATGTACAGTAATCAAATGGTAAATTGGTAGTAAATTAATGGTACATTGGAGCAGTACATACCTCCTGATTGGTGACGTGAAATGTGTGTAAATTGGAGTTGCCAAACCGTAATGTTGAAATTCCTCTTCAGGGAGCATGCCTGAACAGAAGTAAACCGCTTGCATCATGCATCGCGTCGCCATAATTCGAAGCAGAGTGTTAAAATAAGGCTCATCTGGGATATTAGCAGCATTCAACGAAACAGCGAGAGACTTGGCACTATCCACTTCAAGTTGGACTCCCTATTTAGATACGCAAGTGACGTGTGAGAACAGTGTTGCACAGCAGAGGGGATTGAAGGGGGGGGGTAAAATTAACAAATAAATTTCATATTGCCGTGTGACCCTCCACTGATCGCGAACAATCGAGGTTCGTTTTAATGTCACGATTTCCCTATCACTTTATAACATGGGTTAGAATCTTCTATTATTCGGCCGATTCTGACCCGGAATCCAGTTAAGCCTGCGCCACCACGTCTCACCCATGATTTTTTCATTTCGTCATTACTAGCAATGTTTTTTTTGTTTTTCTTCTTCTATCATTGCAGGGTTTGACGTAATAAATACAACATTACGTTCAACAATGGCGTTGTAACAAAATTAAAGGTAAGAGGCGAGTAATCAAAATTGGTTTTGATTTCAGAATAACAAGTAACATTCCCCGTGCATGACATCAATTCCAAACAATAATATGGAAATCCCCCTCCCCCCAGGTAAAATGGCTCACCTTGGAGCTCGCAGCCTTCACCAACACATCATAGTTTGCAGCAGGTGGCGAAGGATGTCTCCGTAAAACGGCAAACTCTGGGAAATTTTGAAAAATTTTCTTGGCGACTGAAATGTTGGCTAACAACATAAATTCTTCCACGAGGGAATTCGTCTCCCTGAAAGAACATTAACAAAAGTTAGAGTGGATAATCCTTAAATTGATCACTCAAAGAATCAAAATTAACAGCAACAGCTTGACAATGATAAATAGCTAGCTTACTTGAGTTCCTTTGTTTGAAGATCTACTGGGTCGTGTGTCTCACTGTCTATGTGAAAACGAACTTCTGGAGACGCAAGAGTTAAAGCACTGAAATTAAAAGTAAATCGGTGAATGAGTTAAGAAGATAAAAAAAGGAACTGATAAAACGTAATTGTGCAAAGTGTCTGGGTAAGAGAAGAATTCATGTCTTTTCTGGTCTGTATTGGAGTTCAGATCAAGGTTTGCGGGAACTACTGTTCCCTCAAATACAAGTTCTCTTACCCCTGTTCGACTCTCTTTTGTTTTAGAATCTTTGCCAGTTTGTTGAGATGTCTTAGGCTCAGAGTTATTTCATCTGTTTGGGTCGGATCATCAATTCGCATCTGAGCCTCGGCATACGTGAAGGAAGTCTGAAAGTTTAAAGACAGGATAAATAGTCTTAATTGCAGATAGCCTCAAGTTTACGACGCTGTTTGCTATCAAAACCTACATGTACTCACTCTAGAACAGATAATGCTTTTTTTGAACTTCGTGGAGACAATTTCAGCTTGTGGTGTCATTTCCCATATAGATGAAAACGCCAGCCTAAAGTGAGGAATATGTCAAGCCAGTTACATTGCATTATATATGTACCGTGCAAAAAAATTGTGTATATAAGCCTTACTAACCTGTCCACATTAGATCTCAGTGAACACAAGTCTGAACTCAGGAGTGCTGGTACCATGTCAATACGCTGTGTGATAAACATTAAAAGAAGTCAATACCAACAATTACGCAAGATTTCAACTCCCAGATAGTAACTTTAGGGATGGAATTTATAGTCTCAATTCAAAGATTATCCCGCAAAAGTTTCTTAAGACTTCTCCAATGGTCAGAAGGAGAGAGCTCCTCCGAGAGTAAGGTAGACAGTTTAAAAAAATTTCTATATGAATACATAAGGCAGAAACGAGCTCCATGCTAAACACGCCCACTGGACTGACTTGCGCGTTCCGTCCCTTTATTGTGCTCCACTTCAAAGCTGAAATTTGGAATGAAACAAATAGCGTCTTGAAAATTCCTTTTGCCGCCTAAGAGTGGTGTCTTGTTAGTGTCACGAAATCTTTTAAAGTGCCTGCGTCACATAAATTATGCAGCTGTAAATCACCTTATCTGTGAGATAGACTGTAGTTCCTCTATTAGCTGCCTCAGCATCCAGAGCTGTACCTGGTCTGATAAAGTGCGTGACATCTGCTATATGTACACCAACCTGATGAATAATAATAAAGACAGTCGGACTGACCATGATCATGCAACAAGATAATTCAAGGTTGGTGAGGGGATAATTTCAACGCTGAACTTTTCTCGAAGTATTTGAAGTTAAAAAAAATAGTTAAACAGATATTCTAAACATTACACACGTAGTTGAGAATAACGAGAATAACATACCAAACCTGTTAATAATCGTCTTTTTTCGCGTACCTCGTAGTTTCCGTTTGGCAGCAATCTCCAGTGCAATGCGTCATCTATGTCTGTGCACCCCGGAGGATCAATGCTACACACAGCTAGGAGCCGCAAGTCCAAACGACTCTTTACATCCTGCAATGACCGGCACACAAAAAAAAACATTTTCCGGATGAAGTTAAAACATATTTTCCTAGTACTTTCTTCCCCAGGATACTTCATGCTCATCTTATATGGTACAGATATTAAATTTCACGAAAACGTGCTAATACATCGCAAGAATCAACTGAGCAACTTCGTTCACACTTTACTGTCCCTAAGGCAAGATATGACCGGAATTTAAGAGTACGCGCATATACGTATTTACTTAATCACTATTTCATACCTCGTCTGTGATTGACCAGGGCATGGCGGGAAGATCTTTCAGTACCGCTGCTGAAAAGGGCAAGTGGGGAACATCTCTCTCCAATAACAGAACCTCATTTTCTGTTTCTTTGTCACCAATGGTACCAAGTTTTCGGACAAAATGTCCCTTCATTCCACAATAATGAAAAAGAAGAATCATAATAGACTTATTAGGACACTGGATTTTGCGATGTCACTCGGAAAATTGCTAATCCTTATCGCTGTCCTTTCTGTACCCCTCTAAAGAAGTTGGTTACTCTCATATTATTAGTTTTGATTCCCCAGCAAACGAATGGTGAAAATTTGTAATTAAAGGTTGGAAGAGGAACCTATAGACGAAACAAAAATCGCGAAATAGGTTAAAATATCATGAATAAGGAATCCAAGAAATAGACAGTCAACGTACAGCTTGTCCATGCTACTTAGAAAAGTGTAAACACAATATTGCTCACCACAGGGTATTTTGAATGCTGAGGCCACGAATCAATGCTAACCACAATCCTTTGCCCCTCAAGTGATGATGCCTGGCGTGTTTCTATGACAACTCTGGGGATTCTTCTCTCTGCTGCCACAAACAAGTGTCTTGTGCTCTTTGAAATGACAAGGAGGGCAATGATCATAATCACATTCAGTGTGGTGCCATTGTTCTACTCCATTGTAGAATAGTCTAAACTGACCACAGTCAAAATTTCTGTTTTCTCCTTACATGTAGAACGTGTTCTACTTTATTCTTCACTATTAGTTTCCTTTATTACAATTCACAACATATCCTGTAATATCTGCTGATACAATTCATGACGAAGATGCCTCTAATGAGGAGTGATATATGAAATTTTCCTCATTAACATTTAAAATGTAATTTGGAAGATTACATTAAAGAAAGTTAGGGATTTTATCTTTACTTGAGACTTTGCAGACTTGGACAGCACTCCACAGTATGGCCGCCAGTTTCTTTTAATAACACCAACAACCTGTGATGATGAAAAAGATAAAAATTGATCTGCAAACCATATCCAGCAAAATAGCTTTGACCTACAAAAAGGAGCTATATTTAAGGAAAAAGTTAATTTGTTTTTACTAAAAGTGTGGAACAAAGAAACATCTTGAGTCACACATGAGGAATTAGATCTCAGACCTACAAATTTCTCATGACAGTGCTATATCACCAAGTTACAGTGGTGAGGTAGGCCATTACAAGGTTCATATGTGACACTTGAGGCATTGTGCATACTGCTATGATATGCAATTTTGCAAGCAACATGTATATGTGTAAATAGAGTTAAGAAATGGCAACCTGTTTAGCTCAAAGGTGGAATAAAGAATAATATCATCAATTAATGGAACAGGAGAAAGCCTTGTTGTCTTACCCTTGCCATCAAAATATTTATTGTTGTAGAACATCACTCAGACTACTTCTTTTTAAGCCCGCCTAACAAAAATTGTTTGAAAATTCTTTCATAACCAAGCTCATATTTTACCATCTCTCTTACTATGTTGTAAACATAATTTACATACCTTTCCTGACAACACTTTTTTTGCTCCCAGTTCTTTCTTTGATTCAATCTAAAAAGAAAGAAACACTTGTTGTATTTTCAATATGTCAGCTTGATAGCTCGTAGTGTTACACCATCAGCCCAATGAGGAGGAAAGGTAAAGTAAATTGATACCAAGATACACTCTCACAATAAAGACTGCAATGTGTGACAATGAACTGCAACTTTTACTTATCAGCATGCTTATTTGCACAATGTTGGAAATTGTGCATACCCTATGTTTAGAAAATAGATAGAGATTTTCAAGCTCAACAAATGATGACATCTATACTTCCAGAAGTAGAGTGAGCACTAGTATTCTTGAGTCTCTTGATTTAAGCAATAGGCATGAGGAATTTGTTGTTTTTGAAGAATCTTCATTCTCTTAATTTTGAACTAGTGGGATATACTCTCCTATCCTGTAAATTAATTAAGTTGCCATTTGTTTGCACTTAAATGTCAAAAAATAGTAAACACGCATACCATTTTATCACTGTTGCTTTCTTCATTGTCATCATCTGAGTCATGTTCAGCTGGTGATGCTGCTGTTACTAATGATGATGGACAAGTCCATTCTTTCTTTGGAAGAATCTCCACAGCAACAATGTCTTCATGTACTGCTCGGTTGAGATTTACAAGTCCTTGAATAAATATCTGTCCACAGGAAAAACAAATTCATTGCTAGGTTAAGTGTGATTTCTGACAAGTACTTGTACTGTACAATATCATTTTTAATGACCCCCTATGTTAAGTTCAGAATGTGAACTCTTCATTAATTAAATTTGTGCTGATAACACAATTATTACTACTCTAGAGGAAGAGAAATTATTTATTTGTTACACAGTCAAGTATGATATGTACATGTCAAATGTTTACATGTTATGTCATATCATTACTTATTATACAAATTTATACCTGCTTGTCTCCATCATGGACAAATACATAAGCCTCAGTGAAGTTTTCTCTGTTGATTTGAAGTTAAAAAGTTAACAATAACACAAGAAGCTTTGAAAAGTTTAAAACTACAGAATTTGTTTCAAAAATCAACTCTTTTTGTTGCATAGGGTGAATTATTGCTTGGAACATATCATGTCATAAAGGATTGTCTAGATGATTTTTGTAACCAAAAAACTCTTTGTTTCATGGGAGAAATATTTCCTCCTTTTATGCCCTTTCTCGTTGTAAAGGACCCCTTGTCATATTGAATCTATTGTGAGAATTTTACTCAGAAAATTGCTAGGTATGCAAAAAATGGTAGAACAGACTTTTGGATTGTACAAATGGGAGGGGTACAAAAACACTTAGCTGAATAAAAGCTGTAGCAATTATCACTAAAGCATGAATTTTCTTCAATATTCTACAAAAAAAGTTATCAAACGACAGAAAAGGCAAGTATAAATGTCATCCAACAGAATACAAATATCTGACAAGTAAAAATAAACATTCAGACTGTGTTTACCTGCTCCTATGAAAAGCACCCTTGAATATAAAGAAGAAGGAAGGAAAGAAGAAAACTTTAGAGTATTCAACAAAGTTTTACTATCATTTTGAACACATTCTAAGGACAATAGTACAATAACTGAGACCAGTAATCACCTGTACATACTTGCCACTTTTTAGTCCAGCCTGTATTTTAGCCATAGGTAGATGTTCTGGGTAAACCCACTTCCTGCTTGTCTTGTCATCTATCTACAGAGGAATTTCATTTCAACAATACAAATAAAAGAAACAACTTTGACTTTCAAGTATATTTCATGACCAAATGTCGTAACATAGTAAATACCACTCTCAGTTGGACATTCAAATATGATGAAGCACTGAAAAATTCAAAATTATAAACATGCAGATGACTGTTGTACCTCATCATGCTGTGTGTTACAGGAGAGTGCCAGTCGGTCAGCTAAACCTTCATTCCCTTCTAGACTTTCAACATACTCTTGAGCTGTGAATACCGATACACAATTAGATTTCAAAAATTGTCATGAACATGCTAACCAATGTACAACTATTATATTGGTCATTTGTAATTAAATACTTGATGATTTAGATATTAAAAGTTTCCAACAAAGCAAAAGCATCTTTGGTGGAGTTTTTTTTAGATGTTAGTGAGGGAAAAAGTTCCCAGAGTAATAAGAGGAAAATGTTGATTATACCTGTAAAACAAATGATTCCCTCATTCTTTGCCTTTTCTTTGTTTGCTCTGTCATTTGTGAGAAGAACAACCCTAATTCTTAGATCTTCATTATTTCCTCCTTCACATTCCTTTAAATGCTCATCATACCAGCTGAAAGAAATCAGCAAAATGAAATCTGACAATAATGTGTATTAAATATTCCACCTAGTAGGCTACTCTCTGAAAAAAAGTAAATTAAAAACAAAACCAAGGCTTTACCTGGTTTTCCACTATGCCAGTTGACAATGAAATTCAATAAGGAGATTGGTAGTTAATAGTGACATTACCAAAGACATGCAATGATAACAAAAGCAGAATGCTTTTTATTTCAAAACAATTTGAAGCTCTGTGAGTTTTCTAAAAAAAGTTTAGAAAAATAACCAAGCTTTAAATATCACACACGAACACTGCAATTTACTTCTAACTACAAAACTTAGAGGTAATTTAGATGTCATTTCCTGTTGGATCTGACCAATACCTTGCTGCCACTCTTATTGCTCGGTCATTTCTGTCATTTGGAGATTCTTCCTTTCTTCTCTCAACATATGTTTCTCTTTAGAGCCAAAACAAGAATTACAAGTTATGAAATGCACAATTATTCTGAAGGTAAATCCTAGCTTTGATAGGATAACAATTTTTTAGCTATCATGCAAAGAATGATCCGTAGGGTTCCAAATAGATGCACACTTACCTATGGTGCTCATTTGAAAAAACAAAAAATTTTCTTTGTTTACTGGATATCAATTCCCTGATTCTGTTGTAAACTGAGGCATTGAGATGCTGCACCTGAAAGTGATTGGAGATACTTGTCTTAACAAGAGTTGATCCGAATATGGCAAAAGAGTAATAAAGAATTATGGAATGTGATCCATGAAAAACATGAAAATGATCATGACTTAAATCAAACAAATTAAAGGATTAATGACAACGATTTTAGTGTACTCTTTGCTGAAAATGAAATTCACGTCCAAATTATTGCAAACTAATGTCAAATAGTAGTAATTTGTAATTCTTTTTTTTGTAATACCTGTATAACATTTCTGAGGAAGTATAAAAGTCAAAATTACCACATGATCACTTACAAAAGTGATTGCCAATGTGCTTTTCATGTCGTCATGAAAACAGTTGAATAACAACTAGGATCAAATAAATTCAGAATGTTGTGACAGCGTCTTAAAAAAGAAAGGTTCAGGGCGCATCTCTGAGCTTTCTATTAAGTTCGGGCCTCTGGATCGTCATGACACAGCTGAATTCAGTTTCAGAACTTGTCTGAAAAACTCACTAAGAACTCACCTCTTGCAAGACAGTTTGTAGAAGTATTACATTTGTGAACACTGGATCTTCTAAAACGTCTATCTGATGTAACACAACATTTGTATCAGGTAGTAAATAATGTGGAAATGTGTACAGTTTAGAGGGGTTATGAGGCGATGAATCCAGTAAATTTTGATCTGTTTGAGCGCAGTTTCTACAGTGACTTGCTCTGCACCATACATCATCTCGTAAGTAATGTTCACGAACTATCTTCATTACTCCTCCCTTTCGTGTCTTCTTGACAAACACCTTGGATCTGAGCATGGCTCCAAAGAAAACAGATCGCTGTTTGATCGTAAATTTACTTTTAAAATATGATAAAAAATGGATGCACGAGGTCCGCCATTCCGTTTCCTTGTCATGTACTCCATGTAGACCACATCATACCGTACTTAAGCAGATACAAACTCGTCCCCAGTCACGAGGGTGTGGTTTAGGTATAAGGAGGTTTTGCAACTTAACCCCACAAGTTCGTCCCCATGTTATCAAGGCCTTGTAACGTCACATTTACAAAAAGGAAAAAAATTGTTAATTTGGCGGCACTTTATTTTCATCAGACCTTGTTCTAGCTGAAAAACATTGCCATAAATCAGGTCTAAAGTGAAAGGAAGGGGGGTTCTTACTAATAGTAGGTTAGTGGTGGTTGGCCTCAGGGTGAGGTGGCATTTTCAAGTTACTAGAATGGGATTGTAAATTTTCAGGAATTGGGGATTTGGGCAACAGGAAATTCTTCAAGTAGGGATTTAAAAAATGAGATTCTCAGTTAAAAAAAATGTGAATGATGGTTCTGAGAGGCCTGCGGCATGTACCCAGCAAAAAAGTGACTAACTTGTCCTCCTTGGTTTCTCCAATTTGGTAAAATTTTTTCATTCAATTTTTTATTTAACTTTTTTCCTTCAGTTTTAAATCTAGTCCAGAGGCAAAACATCTCTGAAAGTTAACGGAAATTGTTACTTTAATAAAGTGATTGTTTAGTTTGATGAGACCACATCTGTCTAAACCAACCCAGGATATATCCAGGTATTCAAACAACATCTCTTTCATTCTATCATCCACAATACTCTTACTTGAAGACTAAATTATCTTTGGATGCATAACTCTTGTAATACAAATTGCTTCAATGTTCTTTAAGTACTAAAAAGTCTGTGTTATTCCATGAAATTTTGTAAACTTACTGAGACCAGGTAGAACTTTAATGTTATACATGTACTAAAACTTGTCAAGTCTTACATCTACATTTACATTTACCATATTACAAGCATTCCCTCTCTACAAGGCTTATGTGCTCAGATTTGGTCAGGTTCGTAAAGGTATCTTATACAAAGTCACTTCTTTAGCACTCCAAACCTATTAGTTTCTTTGAGATTTTAAGTTATTTACAACTAGGTAAAAATAAAAATCAAGAAGCCATCTAGAGCTGATGAAAAAGTAATGTAAATAAATTATACTTTCTTTCTTTAATGTGAGGCTGTGATGGAAGTTTTGTGGCATTTACCAGTCTGAGTCCAGCTGAAGCTTATTCCAGACCTCGTTGAGCTCAGCTTGAACAGCAAAGTTGGGTTTGAACAACAAATCCTGTTGAATGTCTTCAGGAAGCTCTTCCAATGTCCTCACAGTCAAACCATGTTCCTGGACAACTGAAGAATACTGGATACTAGCCCGCTCTAACCGCACAGACCTACGCACTGGTGTTAATATCCGTTTACCAAATGTTGTCTTAAACCTGAAAAGCACAAATTTCATGGCCTTCATGAGATTATTGTACATCTAATTATGTAAACCATTATCTCAATGTCTTAACATGGAACAATGAGGAGGTGGGGACATTGCTTGAACTGGTTAGCATTGTGTTCATATCTGAAAGACATTCTTAAGATTAAGTAACTGCTGAAAGTGTTAATTAAGTTAATTATGCCTTCAATTTCTCACTTTTTTCTGTGGGGTGTGACCTCCATTAGGCAGAACTTTATAATGGAAGAGTTCAGCTCCTCTGATGAAATGTCATTCATATCAATCTTAGTTTCACTTGGAGGAGATTCATCTGGTAATGACAAGCAGATCTTATCTACAAAATGTATGTCTGCATCTAAAAAATAACAAATGATATAAATGGTTTTGATAAAAATCATTTTTCATTTTGACAAGACCAAGTGTCCTTAACATAGAAAGCATACCTTTTGGTTCATTTTCCTTTATGAAATTCACAAAAGTGCACACTGCATCCTTCAGGACTGAATCTGGCTAAGAAGAAAGAAGTTAAAAGACCATAATAAGTAACAATTACCCTGGTAAATAGTACCTCCCTTGAAGAAAAATGTAATAAAGGCAGATGACAAGGAAGTGAAACAAAAGCAAACCAACTTTACCGAACTTCATAAAAATAATCTGAAAAATAATCTGAAAAAATGAAGATGGAGCTTGTTTCAATCTCAGCCTATAACCTGTGCCTTGAAGACAAAAGCTTGCTCCAGTAAGCACACCACTCTATTGAAGTCTTTCTGATGTTGAGCAATCTTTGCCCGGCACAACCAGTAGTTTGCCATGTGACAGATGTGTGGATATGTGGATTTGTACAAATCGAGCTTGGACCTTACATCATCTGCATTATATTCATTCTGAAAAAATACAAACTTGGAAATTATCTAGTACTTCTCAATAACTGAGGAGAGTTAAGAGGTCTTTTGAGCCACTTTTAATAAGAATTTTCATTCTGACTAGTTCTTGATAGGTTTTCTGTTATTTAGCAATTAGTCTTTTGTAACTGATAGAAAGATTGAACACTTTGCAAATGGAAAAAGAGTGGAACCAATTAATTTTGAACAAGAGAGTTTTACATTTTACACTTTTTCTTTGGCTTTGATTTAAAGGTTGTATGAAAAGTGAGGGAAATCAGAGTCCCTTTTTTGCCATGCATATTTGCCTCAGTTATCGGGCTTTAAGTCACAGCACATTGATCCCTAGCTTACCAATTCTAACTGTTGCAAACATTCTTTCAGTTTTTCTTCAACATTTTCCCCTTCATCAAGTGAAATGGCACATCCAATTTTGTCCATTACACAAACAGTTTCCTCTCTCCCATTAAAGGAAAGTCTCTTTTTTTCCGTCAAATTTCTCCTTTGAACACTTTTGGAATGTTGCGGCACAGCTGGTGTCCTGTACTTTGGTGTTTTTCTGTGACAGAAAAAACTAACAATTGAGGAACTATGTGAACTAAGTCTATAATTTCATTTAAATAACCTACTTTCAGCCAACTTAAGCTGAATAATTCAATCTAGATTAGAAAACTATTATCAGCACAAATGACATGCAAGAGTTTCATTGGAGAGATTTTATAACAAACCCACCACAAGACATAGGTAAACCAGCTTACCGTAATTATATGATTTAGCACCCAGGGAGCTTTTTTCCCTTTTGTATATCATGGGAGGGCACTTATTTGAACCAAGGCGCTTATTGGAGATAGGGAACTTATTTCTTTCTTAAGAAACAGAAAAATGTGAGGAACAAAACTTTGACTTTTATCTAAAAAAAGATCAAGAAGACTGGAAAATGGACTTGTTGTCCCTAGATCCTTCTTGGTTAAAATGATCAGCCAAGAAGTAATCCTCAAAAAAGGTTAAGATCACTTGTTTGAAGGAAGTGTGCACTCAGATGGACACAACAGTAGAACAAAGGAGACATAGATTACTGTTTCCCTAATGAGACTTTAAGTCAGCAATGACTATGACACATGGTTGATCTCAATGTGGTGCCATTACCAAAACAGCATAGGTGTGCTTATTGGTATATGGGTGCTTTTAGGAATAGGAATACTTACTTAATATGGGTGCTTATTAATAAAAACCAAATTTTAGGGGGGAAGGGGGGTCATTATCAAAGAGGGGGCACTTATTGGAATGAGGGCACTAATAAAATCATTATGGCACCTATGTAACATTTATCTTTTTAAATAGAATTTTAAATTGATTTAAATTGAACATGAACAAAGAAACATACAAGTGGGTTGGGTGTATTTCCCCACACTGCAGGGATTTATGTCAGTTTTATAAGTGGGATTCTTATTATGTCTTTACTGAACACTCAGCAGAAGTAGACTGTAAAAGCTTGGGAACTATATAGTTATGCTAGCTCAACACTCACCCTTTTTCAGCAAGCCAAAGGTCCAATCGTTCCCTTATAGATAAATGAGACAAAAAGAATCTCTTAATTTTCAAATAATAGAGCATTAATGATATGTGACTTACAGCACTGATCAAACATTTGAGAGTCAAATGGTTTTGATGCAGGTAACCCAGTTATGGTGTATGAATGTGTGACCAGTTTATTTCTCTGTTTATATTAAGGGCAGAAGTCTTTGGAACACTGTGGACAACATGTCACATTTTTCAGCTTTCAAAATTATTGCTTTATGTATGTACACATGACCATTAAGTTATTGTCTTGTATAATTAAGAGCAGTCCCTAGTCTCTTGTGGGTTCTCAAGGGTGGATGGGTGTACTCATACCTTATATCAAGAGCCTTGTTTTTGTATGACTTTACTTCAGGATTACTGGGCAAAATAGACTGTGGTGTTAATTCACATTGGATTAGCTTTGATTTCTGTGCACCGTTTGATTGTACTATGGAAGGTTGGTGATGAGATTGAAGGACCGAGGTTGATTTTACCCTAGGCTTAAATGGTAGCTTTGTGGAGGCAGGAGTTACTACTTCTTTAGTGTGCTCCCTGAAAAATGAGCAGAATAAATATGTTTCATTAAAAGTTTCATATTTTTTAATTACCTGCTACTCAAATTTTTATTCCAAAAATTGGCAAAAAATAAACTAATCACCAAACTGTGTAATTTGTAAATTAACACAAACAAAATACACTGTAGGTCTGTATATTCCTTTCGTGAAATTAAACAATATTTATTAATGAAATAAAATCTTAATGGAATTTATTTTAATAAATATCCCACCAAGTTAACTGCCACATGTTTCTTTGTAAACAGGTAAAAGAATTTCAATTTCCAGTCAATACCATTATTAATTCACATCACCTCCTTAAAAATGTGATTATATGGTACAAAGAAAATGCATGTTTTTTCACTCCTGAAACTTAGAAAAAATTAATGAGCATGTCCTGAGTATAACTTACAGTCTGTAGTAGTTATACAGATTTTCTTTCATACAAGCTGACATCCTACTGAGTCTTTTCCCACATGATTTAGATTTCACTGCAGCTTTGTCTGGGTTGTGCTGCCTTTGTATTGGAGAACAACTGGAATTAAAGTCTCATTAAAAATTTTATGAGTATTAGGTACAAAAACAGAATATTTTGGTGGTCACTGCCAAAGGCAAAAAGAAATGATAACAGAAACATATTTACCCCTTTTCAGTTCTCCAGAGCTCAAGCCTTTCTCTTAAAAAAAAAATATTATACCTTTTCATTCATTTTTATATGATAGCTTACCATAACAAATTCTCAATCGATATTAAAAGCCACAATTCTACTTGGCAAAAGTGTGCTACATTGTGCATATGTGTAAATCGTCTAACTTTCACATCGTATACCTCATACTGAGAGTCTTGTCCTTATATGTTTTAAGCTTTTCAGGTGTCTCTTTTGAAGTGGCTGTCTTCAGGGTCCTAGTATTATCAAGGAGTGCTTTCCTTTGAACAATATTCAAAGCCTTTCTTCGTCTCTGTTCACCAGTTAACTTACATTCATGGTCAGAGATTCTCTTGTATCTTTCTGTAGCCTGTAGTGAGATTTTACTAGTCTTCGTATAAACAAATCAACGGTAAGGACCTCCCATTAATAAAGCACAAAGATCTCTTACCAATATTCGTTATCAATTGAAATTTAATTTTAAAATGACTCTTAACGTACACTTTCTGGCTGTTTTTGAAGTATCCTTGACTCTTTCATTTCTCTAGAGGTGGCAGATAATAAAAAAAAAAACGGAAAACCATTGACATCAGAATGTGCCGGAAAGTAAAGTTTAAGGTTAATCCTGCCCTTACCTCAAGCTAAATAGAGGGACAGATCAAACATACATCTTTCCTCCACGGATACATGCCATAAGGTTAACCAACATCAACAATTACTAAGTACTCTTAGAGCATCGCGTGGCATGGCATATAACGGTATAGCATGTAATTTTTGATCATCGAATACACTGGGCCGAGTATTACAGAATTCCGTGAAGAAATATCATGCTTGCAGACCATTCTTAATCGCACACATCGCTTGCAATGCGACCGAAAATGGAGCGTGCAGTATTGCCTCTGAGTTAACAGCTAGCGCCTGAAAGCTTTTATAGAGCTTTGATTCATGACCAGTGACGTACGCTGGTCATTCTTGATCTGCAGTGATTAAATACTACTTACACCACAATTGCAACCAAGCCTAAGTTTCCATCAAAACTAATTAATGTAATTATATTCCAAGATATTGAATAAAAACCTTTTCTGGAGACTGTTAGCGTCCTTGTTTATGTCGAACGAAACAGCTGATCTGGAACGATTGTGGACAGTCTTGGCACTAAAAAAGGAAGACCTTCCTTTCATTCGACGCCATTTTTCTAGCTTTTCTCGCATAAGATCTAAAAGAAATTGTAAAGGATATTTAAGTGATCCTTTATCTCTTCAAATTTTAAATTTTCACGATAAAAAGACCCACCACTTGAACTACAAGCTTTTGTTGAGGGAGCGAAACTCTCCTTCGTGTCCGCCATAATTCAAACTTGAGGACGCCACAAGATTCGCGTCGTTGATTGGTTATTTCCTTAGAATTGTAACGCGAGCAAGGAAACCAGCGGTGAGCAATGTACTTGAAATGGCGGACAGTCCAGGTGAATACGAGCTATCGATAAAAGTACTATTAGATGCTGCAGTTAGTCGTCCAAATCTGCAACAGTTTGTAATTTCTGAAATTGTTGGAGTTATAGGTAAAACTAAATGTGATACCAAGAACTTGAAAAGGACGCTGCCATTTTATAAGCACTTAAACACAGTCGCTGTTAGGTCGTTGGAGTGGAGACTTGCTGCTTGTGGTATTCTAACTGAAGAGGATACTGCTCTATCAGCCATCTCTCCTTTCATGGATAAGATTTTATTTCAATTGGTTACTAGCTCGGCCATAGAATGTGCTGAATACTGCGTTCACGTCTGGTTAGAGAGGTATGCTAAACGTATGAGTGACAATCAACTGTCAAAGTTGAGGGTTGCTGTTTTCACATTTATTAAGGGAACGATTTATTAGTCTTCTTTTATTCTTATACTTTACGATTGATGGTATTTCAACCGAAATACTTGGTATAAATGTAAAATACATAGTTGGCGATAATTAATAACAAGCCATTTCCAACACTAGACAAGTTTAAAAGTGAAGACAACATTGCTGGTTGGGTTCATTGCTGATGATAGTTCCACAAATTACCTTATGAAACCTGCTATGTGAAACGTGATATTGGTAAAAAGCATGAGTGTGTATATGTGGGTGAACCATAGCTTGAAGTGGAGGCTATTGTTTTAATTACCCATGGAGTATTTGCCGCAGAGGGGAACATATGTTATTAATCTATTTTCTGTCAAGAAGGTTCACAGTTTCACATGTGGACTTTTCAGCGCTCTCTGGGATGACATTGAACAAACAAGTTTGTTTCTTTTGTAAAACAAATAGAAATATGGGAATGATGTTAATGCTCATGCTTTACCCAACTTAGTCAAATCTATTGTCTTTTAAACATATGCTGATTGATCACTTTCCATCTTCCTGGATTTCCTAAAAGCTGTTATTTTGTTTGCAGGGTTGAAGCCCAGCACAAGGAACCCAAAGAAATGTTCAAACTTGATTTGCCAAATCCAGTGGAATATTTAAAGAATGAAGATTCAGCAGAATTGAGCCTTGTATCATCAGTGACTCTGGCATCATTTAGGGAACTAAGTAAAGAGCAGATACAAATGCTTCTGTCAGAATTTCCTCTTCTCCTTGAGAGCATTCCCAGCCAGTTTTATATCAGGCTTTTTGTTGGGTTTTTCGTTTTCTTTGGGCTCCTCAGATGTTTGTCAAACTCAAGCAATTTCAGCTGCCTTTCAGAAATTGGAAATTGGACAGATATGTGGCTGCATTTGCTGACCTCCAGTCTTTTTGGAAAATTCAAGGCCAAGAGATCACAGACAAAGATATTCCAGACACAAAGATATGATCTGCCAGTCCACCATATCCTTTGTGGATTGATGATATCTACAAGTTCTTTTACAACGATTAAATCCCGGCCTTGTACTCAAAGGAAGCTCTTAAAAGGGCTGGAACAATTGATAATGTGTAGTTCTGGATTCACTTCAACGTGGCTGAACACAATAAAGTTACATTTTTGAAACACAGAAATAGTTTGGAACATATCGGAATGAAAGTAAAGAATCCGGGACCACACGAAAAAAAAACAGGATAATATAAATAAATAAACTAATAAAGTTAAGAAGAACATCCTTACACCGTCAGTCAATTCACTGTCGAAACGGCCGACTTCGGCCAAAAGGCCATCGACAGGATACCGTCAGTTCACCAAAGAAAAATTTGTTCTTTGGAATTGAGCAATAAACGGACACGGTTACATCTGAAACGAGATATACCTCATCAAGAGAGTCGGTCAACCACAAAATTGACCTTGAACTTAACAATGAGACAATGGTGAACTAAGTGAATTCTTGTTCACGAAAAAGACTTGGCCGCTCGCCAGGTGATACACTTGACAAAAGTTTAGCATCGGTCCTTTTATCGACGACCAAGCTCAAAATATACCATGTTTTCAATTTCTTTTTGTCTTGTTTCAGGACAATTACTTTGGAGATGTAGGATGCATAGGGGTAAGGTTAAGATACCTAAATCAAACAATGTCAACCAGGAAACAAGCGCGCCATTCGTGTGTCCACCACGTCTCCCTATCATAGGAACCCAGGTTATTTCTTTGTTCCACACTCATGGTAAGAAGGACGAGGATCAATAACACCATGTTTAAAAGTGTGAAAAAAATGTCCCCAATGTTGAGCTAAATGATGACTTTTACCGTAGAAAACTAGCTAACTAACTAGTTTACTGATTTTTCGATTTCTCAGAGCTGAGCTTTTGTGGATGATAGCGACATTTCTTGGTATTATTTGTTAAGCTATTCTATACTTGTGCAAATTTGGTGGCGTTCAAACCTCGTTGAATGGCTGAACTGGCTCACAAAAGAGAGAGAGCTTACGGACTCGATCTCATCAGGTACTTGTTTTCCCTTAAATCATTGTGGCGGAGAACATTATAATTATGTCGCTACTATGATATTTACACCGCTGTAAGGTGACCCGTTAATCTGATATGTTATTTTAATAAGAAGAAACTACTTTGTAATGCTCTCCTGAGAGAAACTCCTAGTTCCTAGATCTTTCCAAAGCATTTGACACTCTCGACCATCATATCTTGTTTGCAAAATTGGAGCACTATGGTATCCGTGACGTGGCTCTGCAGTGGTTCAAAAGCTACTTTTCTTGCCGCCAGCAATTTGCCCAATTCAATCAAGCTTGCTCTCCTATGCAAACTATCAAGTGTGGTGTCCCTCAAGGTTCGATTTTAGGCCCTCTGTTGTTCATTCTATACATAAATGACCTCCCTAATGCCTCTGAATTAACAGACCCTCTGCTTTTCGCTGATGACACCAGTATCTTTTATTCTCGCTCAAACCCAAATTGCTTAGAATCCGTACTTAATGATGAACTCCAAAATATTGATGTCTGGCTAAAATGCAATGAGCTCTCAGTTAATATGAGGAAAACTAACTACGTAATTTTTAAACCCAGACAGAAGAAATTTAACTCCAGCATTTCTCTCTCCTTTGGAAGTAAACCCCTACAACAATCTAACATAACTAAATTCCTTGGGGTCTATATTGATGATCATCTCACTTGGAAACACCATATCAGCTATGTATGTAAACAAATCGCTAAATTAATAGGTATTATAGTCAGGTCTCGCTTTTTCCTATCCTCTACAACCAAGCTCACTTTGTACTACACCTTAATTTATCCTTATATCGTCTATTGTAACTGTGCCTGGTCGTCCACATACGTATCTAACTTAAATAGAATTTATTACTTGCAAAAGCGAGCTGTGCGGGCTATCACCAACTCAGACTTATGAGCCCATTCCGCTCCTTTATTCTCCAAACTAGGAATTTTAGATATTTTCCAAGTCAATACTTTTGAAACCGCCAAACTCATGTTTTATTATAGAAATAACTTATTGCCTCCATTGCTTCTCAATCTTTTTGTAACGAATAGCCAAATTCACAACTATGGTACCAGAACAGCCAGTAATTATCGAACGCATTTGTGCCGCACAAATCTCAAGCAATTTACAATTCTTCACCAAGGTCCTAAAATTTGGAACTCTCTTCCTGTTTCAGTCACTCGTTCGTCAAACCTTCTTAGTTTTAAGACGAAAATGCAAGAGTTTTTACTTAAATAATCCTTGAATTGGCCTAGCCGCACATTCGCAGCACTTTTTCTCTACTTTATTTATTAATGTAAGTGAGGTGGCTCTCCCATAAGCCCGGTGGCTTCCTGAGTCTCCTCGCCTTCTAGCTGTAACCGCTGTACATAAATTTTTTTGTATTGTGTAAATAAGGCAAATAAAATATGATGATGAAACTCAGCACTTAAAACCTTCCTTGTATTTTTTCAGAGAAATAATTAACTCACTGCGAAACATGTATTCACTAGAGATGAAAAATTAGCCTTTACTTTTATTTCTGAAGTTACAGTTGTATGCTTGCTTTGCTCACGACTTACGTTTATTCACTAAGAAGATGTTTTCAACTGACTTGCCTCTCTCTGGTCATTTTATGAAAAGAATTCATATAGATGCTGACATAATTACATGATAAGGTTTACAAAAACGACTGTAGGAGGAGAAACGGTCTTCAAAGCTATTTACTCTTTTGAAGCGACTCAAAATCCCCAATATTAAAATATCCTCGTCATGTAAGGCTCAGTTACTGTCCATGCTACTCTTAACGCAGGCCAACACTAGTAAGTCTCTTATCAAGTTTGTCATGACCATTAGTGTGAAATGCCACGCTCCCAAGGTTATCCTGAGAAGCTGATGAGTGAAAATATAACGAGTCGCTGTCTCCAAATCAGGAGTCACAGTCCTTGTGGCAATTTTCTGTGAACCCAGAGATGAAAAACCCCCGGGTAAAATGAGTTATCACCAACCAACAGTTGGTAAGAGAAAGCTGCATTCGACCTTGTCATGTCCCCAATCCTTAGGCCGTAGCATTTTCCCATAGTGACATGGGCCACGATAACTTGATTCACTTGCCGTTTGAAGTAAACATGATCTCCAGTCTGGTGATTGACAAACACAATCTCTGTAAACTAAAAAAAGAAATCAATTCATACCATGTGTAGTTAGAGAAAAATTGTCTAATTACAAGTAGAAGGTGATCCAAAATTCCTATTTTACGTCTCCCTTTGTTTCGAGTGTATAGCACTATGAAAACCATGAAATCAAACCATGTTGATTCCCTTGCTTCCTTTTGAAAATCAATAGTTTCATTGTAATGCAAAATACCTTCTCAAAAATCTACAACTCTATCACCAAACTCTGTCTTTATGATTTTTTTGCCAAACTGTTTAGTGTTCACAAGCTCTTTGGGTACAGCTTGATCCATCACTTCCAGCATTTCTTTTAGTTGCTCAGCAATCTTACAGTCAAGTGTTAAAAAAGATGTTGCAACACCGAAATGCCCCATTCTTCCTGTACGACCACAGCGGTGAACATAATCTTCAATACTATCTGGTAGATCATAGTTTATTACATGTGTTACTTCAGGAAAATCAAGACCTCTTGACCCAACATCTGTTGCCACCAACACATCCACTTTGCCATCACGAAATTCCCTCACTAATGTAAATCGGTATTCTTGAGGTTTTTCAGAGTGCAGGCCAGATGCATGGAACTGTTCCTCCTTAAGTAACTCTGTGACATAATCTACATTCTGGATGGATGATGTAAATACAATGACAGGAGGAATAGGTGTATTTCGAAGAACTTGTAATAATTTTTCTGTTTTTTCATAATGATACAGAAACATGACATTTTGTTGGATAGTAGGAGATATCAGCCCAACAGGTCCTACTTGAATTGTAATGGGATCTAACACTGCAGACCTTGCCAATCTGTCTAAAGAATCTGGCATGGTAGCAGTCCATAGCAGTGTTTGTCTTGCCCTTTCAGTTCTAGTAGCAAGTCCAACAACCTTCCTCAACTGTTCTTCCAACCCCATCCCAAGCATCTTATCTACCTCATCCATCACTAAATATGACACTTTATCAAGACTGATGAGGCCACGTTTACACAAGTCAAGAAGCCTTCCGGGAGTTGCTATGACAACATCCACTCCACTCCTTATCTCCTGTGCCTGAACTGAAACTGGCACACCACCACAAATTCCAACTGATTTGTATTTGATGCTGACTGGTGAAGCTGCAGGGAATAAGTAAGGGAAAGATGCTAAATGACTTGATACTGGATGACAGCCAGGCATTCCTGGTGACCCTGTGTTCATCACATTATAAGGTAAATGTGTATTCAAATAAGAACTCCTTGTTGTGTTTGAGTAATTCAAATGAAGTGAATTGATGTTTTCAGCGACACTGCCATGGTTATTGTTTGGTAAAACCATACCTGTAGTCTCTGTTGTGATACAATACAATAATTCTGAAATATGATCAAACACTTGTCGCATCAGTTCCCTTGTAGGAGTCAAAATAAGTGCCATAGGTCCTTGTCCAGGCAAACATGGCTGTCTTGTTTTCAAAAACATACACAGAGGCAAGGAATAAGCCAACGTTTTACCAGACCCAGTCTCTGCCAAACCAATGATGTCTCTTCCACTCATAACACAGCTGAGAGCCTGCATCTGGATTGCAGTAGGGCTAATGTAGCCATTATCTTGCAAGTATTCCTGCAGTTCAGGAGGTAACTTTAAATCTTGAAAACTTGTTATAGGCTTCGGGCAATTTTCACCTTGGATCTCAATCCCATTTTGCCACCTTATTTCATCAATTTTTTCCTCAGAAAGCTGTGTTATATTTTCAACCTCCTCATAGTAAGATTTCATTAAGTTGTCTTCCTGTCCCGTGGTATTTCGTTTCGTATTTGTTCTAAGAGGAATGAAATCATCTTCAGATCTCTCTCCTTTTCCTTCCCCTTGGTTCGCCATTTTGCAAAGATTGCAGTTGTCTTGTAGGGTTCAGCGGCAAAGTTGAGAATATATGCCCGCGCACAAATTTGCAGAAAATTTGACTTGAAAGCGAAGGCTCAAAATTGAGGTTGCAGATTTCCCCAAAATGAGTTAGAGAGATTAGTGACTTTATTAATACCGGTCGATTGGACTGTGCAATTCGTGAGTCATGCAAAATTACTACATTGTAGGCTGCACTATCCTTGTAGCTGTGCTTTGGCAGGTTGGATTTCTCCATAGCCTCTACTCGACAATATGGAACTTTTTTGTTGTACTAATGGGGATTTTCTCAGGGGTAATGCTATACCTCCTCTCTGGTAAACAACGAAACCCATCGACACCAAGACTTCCAAAGAAAGTTGAAACAGTCAGACGTTTTCTGGCTAAGCTTACGCGAAGTCAAACGCATAAACCTTACAAGCACAAGACTGTTGTTTCAAGACCTGTCGACAAAGCCATTCAGGAGGTGTTTGACTTGTTCATCCGTGATTTTTGCCTATCTTGGTTTCGCGATTTGGGTAAAGATGAAGCTGCCTTTGTCGATTTACTTACTGAAGAGCTGTGGGTTGTGACGGCGAATCTTGTGGACAGGTTAAAATGTGTTGACACCGTGAAATTCTTGTCGAATGACGTGGTTGAAATTCTCAGCAGACACTTCCAACAGCTGCGACTCGCAGACACCCGAGCCTTTTCTGATAATGCGATTCACTTTGTTCTCCATCCATGCCTCACGAGTCGAGCTGCAGAGCTTGATTATCTCCGCAAAGCCTCCGAGGTTATGCTTTGTTGTCTTCTTCCTCAAAAGAATTCACGTTGTTCCACAATGCGATACCTTTTGCGCGAGATTTTAGCGTTCTCTGTCTTCCAGCCTCTGGCCGACATATTGTGCGATCCTGACTATATAAACCAAACCCTTCTTGTCCATTTGGAGGCCAAAGAAGCTCTCACAGCTCAGCACAAGCAAGGCTATGCTTATGCAGAAACTTATGAAGACTTCATCAAGATGATCAATACATCAAATTCAGTTGAAGCTTTGAAACAAATTAGGTAACAGCATTACAAGTTATTTATGAAGATCACAAAGCTGCAGATTTTTTTTTTTCACAGCACCAGCTTTTCTTCTGAATCATTATAATGCAACCTTCCCCCCCCCCTGAAAAAACCTTTGGTGGCTCTGACCCCCACCCTCAGGAGACATTTGTGAAGGTTTAAGATGGAGTATAGAGGTTTGACTGTACTTATTTTTGTTTGGATAAAGGAAACTAAAATTCCTTTTTTGATCTGATTTTACCACACAGGTATCACATAATTGCAGAAATCATGCAGGCAACTACAATTAACAACTTAAAGGGAATTGACCAGTTTGGACAAGATGACAAACAGGGAAAAGCCCTGAAGAAAGATACTCAACTGAGAGCTAGGAATCTAAAACGTTACATCAACCAGTGTACTGTGGCTAAAGCTCAGTGTGAACGTCGCATCAAAATGTTAGGGGGACCTGATTACACTAATAATGAAGGGACAGACATAATACAGACTAGACAAGAGAAAGTCAAGCTTACTAAAAAATTGAGTGCAAAATCTCAAGCCAAAGTGTTAGGCTTTCCTGAGGTGATGGATAACAGCTTGGCAAGGAGCTTTTTTATGCTGTTCCTTCAAAATAAAACTGGCAGCAAAAATATGCTTAGGTCAGTTTTGGATTATTCTTTTGTTCCAAAGATTTAGAACCACAATCTTAATATCAATTCAAATATTTTTGAGATGATTGCAAATCACATTGATGTTAAACCATGGACTTTGTGTTGTTCACCCAGACAAAAATATTTTTAAATTGATTTGTGACAGTTCAAGTGATGATGTTTTATGGTTTTCTTTAAATATGAAATGTTCCATTGAAATTCATTGATTTCTTTTTTCAATGATTGTAGTTTCTGGATGGCTGTCGAGAATCTTAAGTTAGTAAAATACACTGAACTGCATGAAAGTGCACAAGAAATCTACCAAGTTTATGTTGCACCATCATCAGACAAATCTGTGATGTTGGACACCACTTTGGTGAGAGGAATGGAGCAGTACCTGCATGGTACCCATGGACTCCAAGGGTTCTTTGATGCACAGAAGAAAGTTTATAAAACTCTAGAGGAAAGGTTTTACCGCAAGTTTGTGCTAAGTGAAGAGTACTTCATGTTTGTTTTGCAATCAGAAGCAGAGTTAGATGATTTGCGTGCTCAACACAGGGAGGAGGATGACCTGGATTTGAACTGGAATGATGAATTTGATTTGGATACAACTGATGAAGATGTATGTACATTCAGTTTAGAAAAGTGAAAAACAGTTTTAAATCATACTAACTGGAATGTTTGGACTCTCAATAATATAAATTTTGTAAGTAGAGTTTTATGTAGATTGAAAATTTTTCCTAGGGCATGTTTCTGTATTTTGATAGTAGATAGTAATGGAAAAAAAATGAATATACATTTAAACTACTATGCATATCAATTTCTTGAAACAGTTTTTCATTGTATGAGGATGTTCATATCTTTTCTGATTTATCATAGGTTGGAACAGAAAGTGATGGCACTCCAAAGCTTGGTGTGTGGACATCTTGGATGATCACTCATATTTTGAAGAAGTTAATCAACTGTTTTAATTCTTGTTTAAGACCAGTACACATACACAAAAATTAATTGGTATTCCTTGAAAAAATAGACAGGTATATGAATTCATAAAGTAAAAGAGAGGTACTGGCAGCTGATGAACCAGCAGAAAATAAATTTTATGCATCAATCCTTAGCATAGAGGACATTTTATTTAAGTATTCTCTTATGCTTCCTCATAATTTATGTAGTATTTTTCTTTTCTCAAATATATCTTAGATGACTGAAGCATTAGTGGGAATGCTTTTTGACATTTGAATTAAGAGTAGATCCCATGTTCTTTTTAGCACGTAAACCAAGTACTGTAGAAGAACGGAGTGAAGCAATTGTCCGTAAGTTAGAGGTTCTTGATCAAAGACTTGCCTCAAAGGTAATGCCAATCACAAAAATGTATGCTCTGGTTGTACCACAAGAACAAATTTACAGAACAGCTGTATATTGTATGTTGTAAGAATTTATGATATATAAGAGAGGTTCTATTGTTCAATGTTCTTTCTCCTTTTGTAGGTACCTCAGTAATTGACATCTACAACTTAAAATTGTGTAGTGGTTTGTAATGATCATTTTCATGAAGATATTGTAAGTGTAATTTTTAAAATGATGATAATTTCTCCTAAGACACAACAATTGGAACTTGTGAAAAGAAGTTATGGAGCTGAGGTGGAGGTACAGAGCCAGTTTGTTTGAATTATAAATATGAGTTAAGAGCAACATATTGTTTAGCAATGAAAATTAATATTTTTAAAGGGTATACCAAGTTGTGTAGAATTTTTGTAATCTTAATGCCAACTTTTTCATTTTTGACACACCATAGATGGTAGAATTCTGAGCTTGTTCTCTGCCAAAGCCTTGTTCAAGTCACCTGACCTGTTACTTGACCAGCCTCTTCTAGATTGCTGAAAAGTTGTTTTCCCCCCACCTTTATTTAGGGTTGGTTTGTGAGCTGTAATGTAAATTGCCTCTGAAACTCCTCCCATAAACCAGTCTGGATCCCTGTCCAAAACATGTTCCTTGTCCTTAAGATATTTTTGGTTTATTTTTTAGGGAGTTCCATGCATATGATTAAAATTAAATCATTTGTTTTGATTATGAATAACAAGAATATATTTATAACTAAATGTAATTATGTGAAGTTTTGTAATTAAAAGCTGCTCAAGATATCATTGGAATGGATGGTTTGTAGCACTAAGTTTCAATCAAGTAGCATAACCATACTGTAAGTAATGATGATCATTTGTTTTTTAGTGGTTGTAATATTTATTTTATTCCTTTTTGAGGAAATGGAATATCTTACTGGTGAGATTGAAAAGTTGAAAATAGAAAGAATGCAGCTGGAGTTTCATGTGGAGAGAACAGGTAGTGATAGAATAAAAGATGTTTGCAATCATTCGTACTTAAGCCTGATGATGATGTTGGTTCTTGCAATGCATTGCATATTTTGCACTGTTGGAAATTGGCATAGTGCATCTTATAATATTTTAACCATTTAAGAGGAATAATTGTAGTTCTCCACAAAATATTTTTCTTCATTGTGACAGCAGCAGTGGTTAGTGTCATAGAGTATGGTATTTCATTTTCCAGTTATCAGATTTGTTGTAAAGAAGGTTGAGTGTTGTGAAGTATGGAAACAACAAAGAGTTTGGTAAATGTATTCTATCAGGCATGCGCCCTGAAATTTATTTGTGTTCAAGAACCAAATGTCTATTCAATCCCTATTTCCATACATAATTAACTCTAAGAGTTCCCTGATTGTTTTTCACAGATCAATGGTGTGAAAACTTAGGGATGTGGAAGATAGAAATACCTAGTGTAGAGGTAGGTCTGTAGCTTTACACACTTGGTTTAAAAATTTTTAGGCACCAGATAGACAGAGCAGTGAGATCCATATGACTACTTGCTATGTTTCATTTTTTTTCTTTTAGTGGAATATAGATGGTGAGAGGTCAGTACCTGTGTATGCTATAGTGGTTCACAGTGCTGGTGAGAAGTCTCAGTCAGCTGGCAGATCACAAGAGGGAGATGGAAATCTCAATTCAGAAGGCTGGGTTGTAACTAGGAAGTTCAAAGATTTTGAGACTCTTCATGTTAAATTAAAGGAGGTAATGATATAGCATGGAAATGGAACTAAATTATACTTATTCCTTCCAAGTAATAATCTATTAGTGGTTAACTCTCAGTTGTAACAAAAATGGCGCTTGGTCTGTTTTATTAGTATAAAATAAATGATTATAATAATAACATTTAATTTATTGTGTCTTGCAGTGTTGTTCTTGGCTTACTCGTGATCTGCCTGTGCCATCCAAAAAATGGTACAGATCCATTGATGATGAGTTTTTAGAACGATCAAGGAAAGCATTGGAAGAATACCTACAGGTAAAGTTGTGTTGCATGTTTTCCTATCCTTGCAATTTTCTGTAAAATGAGCTGGTTGTTTGTGTAAGAAAACATATAGAATTAAAGTTTCGAGGTTAAGTTAGCTCATAGTATGCTTATCAACACATTTACCAATTTTTTTGTGTTATGTATTACTTTTGTTGAAGACATTATTAGCTGATGAAAAGCTGTGTTTGAGTGAAGAGCTGTACTCTTTTCTCAGCCCCAGTCCTGAACATCTTAAGAAGCAGAGGTATTTAAAAGAGGTTTAATTGTTAATAAGATTATCATCACATTATCTTCAATCAGTTTTAAATCATATTGAATTATCTTTTGGTGCACTTTTGGCAATGAACTTCAAATCAGAGTAAGTTGTATTTACAGAATTTTATGGTTTGAAACAAATACATGTAAAAGGCACAGGTGCATGTATTAAAGAGATGAATAGTTTATTGAAGTTCTTTGAGTCTACTTATTTTCTCTTGAATTGTTTAATTTTACCTAATAAGATTCCCCACTTTTCTTTGAAGTGAACCAACCAAAAGAGGGTTTTCCCTTTTGTCAGTGTTAAAAAGGTATGTAAAATGTGTAGAATTGTGTTTGTGTTGGTTAATAAGTGGTTTGATGTGGCTTTCTGCTTAATGTTTGTTTACTTCAATGTTAACGAGCTGTTCACTTTTTCTTGAATTAGCCTACCTTTTGACATCATTCCAGCAGAAGAAGCTGATGAGGTTAGAAAAAACGGTTATTAAGATGAATGTGTTCAGTTAGTAGTATAAATACTGTTATAGCTGACAAGATCATTTGGTTGTCAATGTCCACCTTTAAAAACTTATTTCTTAATTGATGTTAATTTTACAATTTTAATTCTCACTGGGATGAAAAAATTGAGATAAAATAGCAATTTTCACCCTCCACAAGCAGTTGATTAATTTGTTTTTGAAAATTACTCTATAGGAAACAGGTCTTGATCCAGAGGACAGGTGAGACATTATGTTATTGATGATTTACAAGTTGAACATAATAATTCAAGAAATTAAATCATTTTTATTTCACAGTATTCTCAAAGTAGACAAAGTGGGAATATTGTTTTAGGAAATTTTATTGTTTTCTTGAAAATGAGACAACAGTAGATGGAGTTATTTTGTATGTCAGTGTTTACATAAAAAATATTACAATTATACTAACAAGCACTTTCAACATTGGGTTTTGCTATTTTTGGAAGAAAGATGTTTGCTGAGGTCAGTCAATTATCTTTCCTGACATTTCCCTTTCTTGTTATGGGCAGTTCCCTGCGTAAAGATTCTATTGCTGAGCCATTTTATGGATTGATTGGTGAAATATTTGAGCTGAAAGGAGGTAAATGTGATGAATTTCAACATGCAGGATACCTTTTCTTGTATGGATACAGTGATCTTGTATTTAATATAATTTTCCTCAGAAAAAACCTTCTTGGAGGAAAAATAAAATAATGATAGCCATGATAATATGATATAATAATAATAATAATAATAATGATGATGATGATGATGATGATGATAATGATGAGAACAATAAATACATTGATATTAGTAAGAAAAATTATTTTTGTGCACAGTTTTTAAGTGGCTGAGAAGAACTTTAATAGCTTTTGTTCAAGTCACATTTGGAGGCACAATTAACAGGTAAGAGTTTCTGGATGAGTTTGTTATAAATACACCTTTTTCAGTGGTTCAACATGTAATGTGGGCACATATTTTGTGAGTTGCAGCACATTTTTCTAAGGAAGGAAAAATATGAGCAATAAGCAAAAAGGCCAAGGGATGTTGTATGTTAAACCTGGATCAAAAAAGAGACTAGTCTTTCCATCTTTTTCCAATTTTGTAATTTTTTGGCATCCTTTGAGCATTGTTTTGATTACTTAAGGCATGTATTAAAGATAAAAACAAAACAAACAAAACCAGCCACAATAGAAAATTGTTTCAATCAATATAGTTTGTCCCTGAAATGACACAGTCAAACAGTTTACAGTTTGGATGGCTGCCTGTGGCCTTTTTATTTCTCATTTTTTTCTTCATATTTTTGCCCTGTTCTACATCATAATTCCATTGATTTTGTGGGTTCTGTTGCCTTAATATGGCAAAATATCATGCATAATAGTGAAATGAAAATATTGGAAGTAAATATCATATAGTGGGTCATCAGATTTAAATCATAAAATTTTCAGTCACTTGACATAAAGGTTAAAATTAATGAAGTTATTCACACTGGTATTTTGATTCCTTTCTATGGTGTGCTTATAATATTTGTGTCTTATCACAAGGGGGTTGAACAGTTATATTTAGCAATTAACTGATCTCAAAAACATTACATATGGAGAAAGTGTGGGAACCTTTGCAGACAGTAGAATGTGTCATGTTTAATTTATACCTCTTACTTGAATTGAAGGACAGTTAATTTATCTTCATAAATCCTGATTACCATCTAATGAGAAGACTTTGTTCCTTGACCAGGGAAATCCATCATATGGTTGAGTGGCTTGTGTCAGAATCAATGGTAATGTACTACATTCGTTTGTTCCGTGACTCAACATGGCCTGGTGGAGAACTGGCTAAACCTACTGTACAACGTACTGATGCAGTAAGGAAGTTGGACTTTTTACATTGAATGTCTGTCAACATTGTAATTTTTCAATATTTTTAAACATTGGCTCCAAGGTTCAATCATTTTGCTGGACATGGAGAGTAGACAAAATAATTGGCATGTATCTCAGGCTAGTTCCAGAACAAGGAATTCAAGATGGAACTCTTTGCAAAATACAATGATTTAGTACTTGAGGTATTTTTAAAGATGTGATCAAAATTGATTTAAATGGTAACTGAAAATATGCCTTTCCACAGTCATCATCTCTCTTTCAGGAGAAACTTAAGACAAGTAAAAGAGCAAGACAAAAACTTCTGAAAAACATTCCAGGCAAGTTAGAAATGGGCAACGAGCTTTAATTCCCTGTCACACAGATGTTGAGAAATGTAGGAACAGTTTCAGATCATCAATAGAGTTTTATCAGTTATCTGATATTAATTTTTTTATTGAGAGGGCAAGTTTCTGAGGAAAACGTGGTACTATGTTAGTGGGGGTGTCAGTTAATACAAGATAATTCTAATTCCCACCCATCAGAATTTTTTACATGATGAAAAAATATTCCATTCTTTTCAGTAATCATATATGGGAATGGTCCTTTAATTAATTTTTAAATTTATGACATTAATAGAATTACTGGTTCACATACTAAGTTGTAAAAGATTACTTCATAAAAGATCCTTAAAAATTCTTCTTTTATTAATAATTCATATTATAGAAGTTCTCCAGAATCTGGTGGGAAAAAAAAATAGTAAACTTGGAACTCTGAAGGTAACCCTAATGATTTAACTGGCTACAGTTATGTACCTTGATTAGTGTTTATGTGCTATATATTTTACAATAAACAACTGGATTGAACATTCTTTATTCTTAAAATTCTGTGATTGAGCAAGTGAATGGGGTGAAGTTTTCCTGAAAACACTTTTTTCCAGCTTTTACATAAGACATGTTTGTTATAGGTGTTTGAAGCATTTCAGGATATCAGGGTTACCAAACACCTGTTTTATGTAAGTTCTTTGTCAGAAATTTCTCCTTATTAATTTAGTTTCAAGTAGATTTACATTATTTGATAAACAGAGGTATGTCCTATTTGGTTTTTACTGTTGAGTGATGCATGATAAGGATGCTAGGCTGAGAATACAGAAGGGTGTGTGGGTGGAAACAGGTTACTGTTCTGTTTAGCTGTCTATGGAATCTTTCATCTCATTCTGATCTTGTTACTGCTAAGTTTCCACCAGACTACATTTTGATTTGCATGGCAATCTTTTTAGCTATTAAAGAAACTGGTGGATTTTTAATTCATCTTTGTTTTTCTTACAGGTTCTGTTTGAGCTCATTTTATTTACCATTTGCCCTGAAGTGATGTCTGAGGAAGTTAAGCAAAGAGCAATGGTTTTGATGAACATGAAGAACATGCAGCCAATTTCACCTCACACTGATAAATAAGGAACTGTTACTGTGGGAAATTTTTAAATGAGGCTTGGACCATTGGAAAATTACTTACCTACATGAGATGTGTATGGGCCCACATTGTAATGCTCTCAAAACTTATTGAGTAACAATCAAAGTATTAATCATTATGCAGAAGCCCTTTTAAACTGTTCAAGGATACACTTTTTGGATATATCTCCAAAGATTCTTGCCCAGTATGGCTCTGTAAAATTGTTGTCCTCTAAATCATATTTTCTCAGTTTTCCCACTTAACCTCTGATTACTTTTAATGTTAGATTAAAACCATAATTTTGGACCTTTGTTGAGAAAAAAAATTTAAAAATAATTGGTTTGGAAAAACCTGACAGTCATTCCACTATTTTCATTGTTAGAAGTACCTCAGAATTTCTGAAAATGTTTTCAGTTTCTCTGTTAGGTACAAATTTCACTGCCTAATATTCAAAGATTTATTTATATTAATTTATTTTTATATCATGATCTTCATAAATAAAAAGCTACAATAATATTGGTTAATTTGAAATAGCCTGTGTGGTTCAATTACCTGAATATAGAACACCAACATGCAGAAATACCATTCAAAATGATGAAACTTTATTTAAATTCATTGTTTTACTCTTCACCCAACTCAGGAGACTTTTTATTCATAAATCCATTTTGCCATTTCTGGCTCCCAATCAACAAGCTCCTCGTCTTTAAACCAGAGCTTAATTTCTCTGTTTGCTGTGTCCACTGAATCACTGCCATGGCAGATGTTCCTAGAGACAAAAACAAAGGAATCAATTTTGTGTACAGCACAAAGAATAACAGTTACGACATATTGCCAGAGAATACAAAATTGATTTTTTTTTACTTGCAGAGTGCTAACCAAAAAAGAACAAAAATAAAACAGTTAAAGTAACAGTAAAAAGAGCCATAAAGGAACACTAACCTGCCAATGTGAATGGAAAAATCTCCTCTCACGGTACCTGGCTTAGATTTTGCCTGCAAGTAATTGAAATCAAATCACTACAATACATTTTTCCTTTAAAAAAGTGTAATTTGAGCAATAGTCATTATCAGTTTGTCATCCTTTGTCACAACAATACCCACTGGATCTGTTTCTCCAAGAATAGCTCTGCATGTTGAAACAGCACCTAGTCCTTCCCACACCTGGATGAAATTGTTGAAAAGCTCAGTTATTAAGTAAACAAGAAACATTTTCCACATAGCACAATCTTTTAAAACAGTAATTGAGGTCTGTTTGGTAATACACTCAAATTAAATTAAATTTTCAGGGTTGCAGGTTGACAAGGCGAGCTTTGTACCTCAATCTTCCTTCTGCCAAAATTTGTGATAGATTCTGATCTCTGGGGTAACATTTCTATTTGTATCCAGCCTTATTTATTAATTCCTCAATTCTTTGCATATTTTTCTTTCTTTTGGTTACCTTGTCTTTCAGTTCGACCCTCATCCTTCCCTTTCCGTCCCTCCCTTTACGCCAAAGGACTGTTCATTCGAACTCACACCGAACGAAATTAATCGCAAATATACTGAGTGAAACAGGAACTCTATACATAGCTTATTAAAACTGCAAAAAAAAAATTCCATTTTGATGACATGCGAGAACTAAAGACATTGTGGTAAGTTGATTGCTGTTGCTGACTTAGGAGTACATTATTCTCAAAGGTTGTAATAAAAGACGGGCGATCACCATAAAAAGAACTACTGATTACAAGAAGGTCGGAACTTTAGTCACAGTCAGCCTTGAAGAAAAGTAGTAAGCAACATTTCAACAGATGGATCACAATCAAATTTATTACCATTGCCACAACAGGGCCTGATCCCATATATTTCACAAGGCCATTATAGAATGGTTTCTTTGCCAGTTCTTCGTAATGCTTTTTAAGGAGTTCTTCACTTGCCTAAAAGAATGAAAAATAACTTTTCGTGACTTATCGCTCAAAGAAATACCCTATCAAACATTGAGTAGGGATTACACAAAAGCAGCGTACCTTGACAAATTTCATGGCGACTAATTTGAACCCTTTCTGTTCAAATCTTTTAATGATATCTGCTATCAGTCCTCTGTGAACAGCATCTGGTTTGATCATAAGGAAGGTTCGCTCGTCTTTCGACATGTTCAGAGGGTACTTTTTGAAACAGTTCCAGCAGAGGCAAGAATCACGAGCTCCTTATCGAGAACAGTCTTAAGCGCCACGTGCCCTGGGACTTTAAGAAAGTTCAGTGTCCATATAAGGTACTCGAACAAACTCCCGAGGTGACGGGGAGGGAGGGGAGAGAAGGAAGGAATAACAAATGCAGTCACATCCTGTTGGCCTTATCCTCATTTAGATTTGAGATACGATAGTAATGAAGTTTACCGATCATAGAATCGAATCAATATTTTTTACAAATTACAATTTTGTATTAATTAGATGCCAACAACATAGTTCAGCATAGACAGGTGAAACAGGTATAACACTGATCATCGAGTGCTATTATTGATAAATTATTTCATCACAGGTTGTCCTTTTTCTAACTTTTTATTCAGACTATAATAACTGTCATTACAGGGAGAGTGGTGCCCTGGAGTGCTTATGAACTCCCTTTGCCTTTGTAAAATAATTTTGTTTTAAAGCTAACAACATATAAACCTTTTTGTCCAAGTTAGTGAAAATGTGTGAATCTACATTAATCTCTAAGTGATAGATACTCCATTTTCTGTTCCTTCTTGTCTTGTGAATGCAAGCCCTCTGAGACATTAGCTTCTAACCCATCAAATGTGACAATTAAACAGTTTCATTCAATTAATGATATTCATTCCCAATCAGTTTGGGGTACATCTAATACATAAACTATTCATGAACATTTGAAGAATTCATTCTCATATTCTTTCTTCAATTTTTATCATGATTTCTCTCCCCCTCCATGGGACTTGCATTTCGAGGTTGTGATTATGCATCTCAATGCATTGAAACTGAAGCTCTCACGCAAAGAAACACCAACTTGATTGTCGACCTGTGATGATTGTGGAACTAATAGGTCTTTAAGATGATTGCACATTATTTTAGATTTTAGGATTAAAAAATGAAAGAATTATAATCTGCATTCAGTTACTATGGGTTACCATCTGAATTACAAAACATGGGAAAACAGACGGTCTGTTGAGGAGCCTCCCATATGGTTTATATTACCAAATTGTGTTTACAACTTGAATAGTCAAAATATCAAAAGGAGTTGTTTAAATGGACTCTCATCCAGTTGCTATAGTCTGAATTAATTGCACTGTAATACAGAACCAAAAGAAGTGTTATGGGTGAGTTATTTATTCCTTGGGTTTTACTGATTGCCTAGCTGACTGTACAGAGCAAGCCTACAGGCATATCTGGTTTGTCAGTTATCTTTATCTAGTACCCTATTCACACCATTGAAACATATTTTGTTAAACTGGTTTTTACTATATGAAAATCATAAACAGAGAGCTGAAAAACTTAATATTCCATACGATTCAAGTACTTGTTAACTTGCATTTCCAATGTGCTACATTTAAGTAAAAAAAATATTAAGTTAAGTAGTTTCTACAAAGAAAAAAATTAAACTGTGTTTACAAAACAACTTCAAAACATGTTTAAGCTTTAGTGAAAATGGGATATAAGAAGCAACAGAAAGAGGTACCTAGTGACACATAGCTTTATCTACAGGAGAACAAAAATTACTCAAGAGTGGAATGGCTTTCAAGGTGAAGGTGTGATTGCTACAACATGGGCACATATCATTTAATTTGTTTTTTGTTAGATTTACAACACAATAAGTTTGTGAAGAATTCAATTTATTACTACCAGTTATTACAGATCAATCGTTACTCATAAATGTTTCCAGATGATGTCAGATTCCACTCTACTATGTCATTCTTGAACCAAAGATTTATTTCCTTTTTAGCACTCTCCACTGAATCACTTCCATGAATGATATTTCTGCAGAGTCAAGGGATAAATACAGGTGTAGTGGTAATCATTAAAGGCAAAGACTGAAATGTTACTTCAACATCAATGATAATCCAAAATTTGTCAGCAAATGTTTGTCACCTTTTTCACTTCAATAACACAAAAGAAAGATAAAATAATGTTACAAAAAAAATTTGATTGCCCAAGGGTTCAGTAAGGCTACAGCAGCTTACCTTCCAATCTGGATACAAAAGTCTCCACGGATTGTTCCTGGCAAAGAATTTGCCTGAAGAATACAGAGAGATTTAGAGTTTGCATGACTTTTTCTCTTACTGCTATGAAATGCATGTGCACTATAGAAAAAATTTCCTTCATTTAGTCATTAAAAAAAGATTTGCCACAATGTTTATATTCATAAATTTTTACTAGATAGTTTTTCCCACTAGTTTTGAGCTTGCAGGTAACCACTAATTTGTGTATTCTATAAAAATATAATTGGAGAACTTGAAATTCAGGATTAAAGATTATGATACAATAAAAAGCTTTAATGTACTGACTGGATCTGTTTCTCCAAGCATACGGCGTCCTGTCTTCACAACATTAAGACCTTCCCAAACCTGCAGGTTTAAGAGGACCTCAGAATCTAGGCATTCTCCTAGGTTCAAGAAAATTACACTCAAGTTGATTGATTATGGTTAGGGGCTGCAGTGGCAAAACTGCTGGCTTGCAATATCTGCTGTTCAATTCTTAAGATCTGATGGCCAATTCCTCTGACCAATAACTACAAAGTCCTAAGAATTCAGTGTTCATCCAAACAATATTCAGCACTAATTACAAATTTTCATTATCACTTGTCAGTTTGCCAGTGCATTAATATTGAAAAGATAATTTATTAACAGCTTACTTAACTGAAGGTGACATTGGTAAGATTTAATATAAATCTAGAATATTTTAACCTTCAGCTTTCATCATTAAGGCTAACCACCACAGAAATATTTATTACTTACCATGGCCACAACTGGTCCACTGGACATATGTTTCACCAAGCCTGGAAAAAATGGCAGATGACTAAGGTCTGCGTAATGTTCCTTCAGAAGGGCTTCGTCCGCCTTAAATAAACATAGAAGTCAGTGCACAAATTAATGAAAATGGTTTACTATATCAATTTCCATGGCAAGAAAAGTGTGGAGTTGTTATTACATAACTCAATGCCTATAGTATTCCAGTGCATTAGGGGTAATCCCAGTACTAATCAATGGTAGAGAAAAAACACCTTGCTCTAGAATAATAGTGAGTGACCTTGGTTTGCACTTCAATCAAATTCAAAATGACTGTTAGGAAATTTACTAAGGAATCAGCTCAAAGATATCCTATCAGAGTCAAAACCAAATTAAAATATTTTTTAGCAAAAGCATGTTGCAGCTTCCCAGGTTTTGTAGACAAAAAGAAGTCTTGTGGTCTCTTAAGTGACAAGTGGTATCAATAGTTTCAATGGCAAAATAATGGCCAAAAATCCACAAATTGTTCCTCATGTGAGAATTAAGATTTCAAAATTTGTCAAGGATAATACATAACAAGGTAATCAATTCAGAAACTTAATCATCTATCAGGTAAGAATTCTCACACAAGCTAGAACAGCATTGCATCAAAAAGTTCCAAAAGCTCTTGATTTGGAACAAATATAGTTAAGAACACAGAGTCACTGTTTCTCACCTTCATAAATTTCAATGCTACTAATTTGAATCCTTTCTGTTCAAAGCGCTTGACAATTTCTCCAACCAAACCCCGCTGGACTCCATCAGGTTTGACCATGATAAAGGTTCTCTCTGATTTACCTTGGCCTTCAACCTTAACACACAAAAAAATTGCTGTCAAATGTAATCAAGTTTCTGAACAAGAGTTGGTATACCTATAAGAGCAGAACACACAGCTTCTCAGAGCTCCCTTTGACCAGTTACTGGATTATTAAAATAGATGTTTGCAAAATATCTACCCATATGATAGCATGTCAGTTTTAGTACTGAGTACAGTGAGGTATGAAACAAAAGTTGCCAAAGGTGAGATCACATGCACCTGGGATCACCCCTTAACTTGTGGTCTTCACCTAGTTAAGGTGAGGTTCAAGGTAATTTAGTATTATCAACTGAGTTGATAAAGTAAATTGGCTAATGTAAAGAGTTTCAGAGCTGACATTTCAAATGTTAGTTCTTCATCAGAATGAATGGAGAAATTGTGGGTTGGGAACTTGTAAAAAGAAGAACAAGAACAAATTAGTTGAATGAAAAGCATTCCTTGATACCATGGGGATTAATAGTGCTAATTTGAAAGTTAAATGTTTGTTCCAGGGTTTGCTGCTTTCCCAACTACCTGGACATAAGGAAAGGCTGCAGAAAGCCATGCACAGGCATCACAGAGGTCATGGGTTCAAATCCCATACAGGCCTGAATTTTTTTCAGGCCTTATTTTCATTACTGCTTTGGCAGTATTCATTAATGTGAAGATTGCTTGCAAATATTCACTTCTTAAACTGCACTGAGTTCACAGTCATTGATTCATCACTTCAAAGGTTTAGTAAGAACCAACATAGTGACCAGCTCCCAGTTGGCTTGTCGGCTCAGTTGGTAGAGCACTGCATTAGTATTGTCGAGGTCATGGGTTCTAATCATGCATAAACCTGGATTTTTTTTTTCTAGGGTCACTTTCATTACTGCTTTAGCAGTGTTCATTGCTATGAAGATCACACCTATTTCTTATACTGCAGTTCACATATAAGATCCTTGACGGCCACATGCTTCTTATGATCATTAAGGAGACTTAGGTGTCTAGTGACTGGTTTGGATGCATCCTTGTCATTCTTTCTATGTTGTAAAGGTTTTCTCAGAATTGGTCACCAAGTCGTCTTCCTGTTTCACCAATGTATAACTTTTTGCCATAAGTGCAAATTATGCAATAGATGACATTGGTGGGGGTGCATGTGAAGTGATCAGTAATCTTCATGGTTCTCTAAGGTCCTGACATTTTCTCTACGTTATGAATGAAAAGTGAGGTAAGGTTCTATTGGGTGACAACTGGGTTATGACTGGGTGCCAACACTCTTCTACACTTAATGTACAAAGTACCATCACCATTATTGAACAATTTTCGGTTTGAGTTGTGAGCACTTTCTTCATATATGAAGAGGAGAGGAGGTGGTCGTATCACCGTACTAATAGGAGAATTCAACGAAATATGGCCGTAAATATCAGGATATTTTGGAGGCTAAAAAAAAGTGGGGTTGCAGGGGGTGTAAAAACTCGACCAATATCGTTTCAGATACCGAAAATAATCTTCAGGTACAGAACATCTTTAAGTTATCCCTGCTGTCAAGGAGAAAGCGCGCATAGAATTATACTTCTAGAATAAATGACTGTAACATTCACAATTCCCACCTTTGTTGCGGCGTGAACATTTCCAATGAGGGTAAAATTGTTCCTGTACAATTGATTTGCAGCAAATAGTCCTGCAGTAGCAGCCGAAGCACCGATCAGAACAGGTCCAGCGAATTTAAAATAGGACCCACTTTCCTTGAAACGAGAAGTAAATGTTCTCTTAGCTGCTGCCGTTCTAAAAGCGCTGAGAGAAGAACGAAACAAAAGGCTGGTTCGACTACGAAACGCCATGTCGACGAAACAGCACGCGGAAAGAGATTAATCGGTGGCGATCGTGGAGGACTGGGTAAGCTCATCCGTTTCCATAGGGAGTGGGGGTGAGTAGTGGTAGGACGTTGCTTGTGCTTGAACTAGCTAAGACTACTATATTTTTCTTTAATTTACTTAACTTTGCGGATTCCACCATTTCCTTTGTTACGTATGAAGCAGCATTACAATGTCTGAATTTTATACATTTGCTCCTGTGGAGTTCTTACCTTGCATCGCTCGCTGCCCTCACAAAATTGCTCCAATGCATCGAGAGATTCTGCAGTCACTGTTTCATCGTTACCACGTCCCAGTTCTTTTCTAGAATGAAAACTACCGACTATTTCCAATACTGCTGTTAATATTACGATAGTAATCAAGTATCTCATCCCCTCTAATTCTGATCTGTACCTGATGAAAGCAATAAAATTGAACAAACGTTAGAAAAGGACCCAAGGAGACTGGGAACGAAGCGAAGACACAGGTACGCCATATATAGGCACGTGTATAGCTGTTATTCTGACGGCCTCTGAGCGCACTAGTGTCTTTATCTCACCAGTCACACAAAGCAGTTTCTCTGTTTTTACCAAAAACAGGGTCCATGTCTTTAGGCAAGAGAGGATTATGACCAGAATCAGGGGATGAAAGCATTTTTAGACTCTTGTTCTGTTCTTAACCTCAGCAGAAATAAAATGCACACTGTGCTTGCAAACATGACATTTTATCAAAGCATGAATATTGCGAAAAAAGAGAGAATTTTTTGGACTTGGCATTTTTTATGCTTCAATAATCTGGGATATCTGTCAAACTCATCCCAAAATTGTTTCTGTTCGCAAGCTTTTAATCCATGCAAAACGCTTATTTCGAAAAATTTAGTGTCTGCGTGTTTTTAGTATTTATATACACCCGCGTGAACTGTTCTTCTATTCAGACACTAACTAATGAGATAAGTAAACTAAGCGGCAAATTACTGGGGACGTCAAGTTTGCTCCTCCACCCCCAAGTAAGGCAAGGCCAGATAAGCTCATGGCCAGATAAAGCACTGTAGTTTAGCCCCAGCTTCCTCTGGCTTTCAATCCATGTGTTCAAGATGGGAGATGTAGCAGACCCTTGGAACGATGTTCCAAAGTTGTCTTCTGTCCCAAGTTAATCCGATTCAGCACCTTTAAGCGACATAGTAAAATCTCCTTTCCCGTTAGTAGCGGTTTGTGGATGGATATGTTCTGGTGGAATCAGCCCTAAAGTACGAAATTTTTTACAAAAAAAATTTGTTTCAAATTATAGTTTAGTAAATGACAATTTCTTTCGGTAGAAAATTTATTTCACATAGCCTCCACTTGAATGAAAAACGACTCTAGGGTTGGGTGTCCTAATTTATAAATAGACCAATTCAAAGCTCTTTCGGTTTTTTTTTCCGCAAACCCTCCAATTTCCACAAAGCTCATATCATTTATCATCCTCACCAACCCAGAACCTTACCCAATGCTAAACTTACCGTCATTAGTCATAACACAATGACTCAACACTATCAACAAGCTGTGTGCAAGCTTGCACCTAAATTACGTAAATTGTTCAACCGATTGAGCACAATACCCAGTTCGGTGAAAACTCTGTCTCTTGGATTCTTTCGGGAAAAATTGTGATCTAAAGAAATATACTTACAGGTTTCTCATTTACGGGTTTGTCTTGATTTGCATCAAACTCTCCAGTTACCACGTCCATCAACCTTTCGAGAATCTTACCTTCAAGTCTGGCTGAAGTGCTCCCTGGTGGGAGTTGGAAAGCACCGAGTAGTGACCAGGAAATTGTGTCAGGAGAGAATCATAATAAAAAAATGCTTTTGGAAAAGTTCTAATGGTAACGAACTCATCGATTGACAACTGATATATAAATCTAAGTTGATTAACTTCCTCGAAATGTCTTCTTTGCAGCACCTACTTAATGGAAGATTAACAAGTGGCGACAATGTCATGGACAGGTAAGTTCTCTCTTCGTGTTCTTAAAAAAAACTGCTGTTTTGCGACGAACAACCCTTAATACTGAACAAAACAAGTGAGGTTCTAACCATGCCTCATCCGAGACATGAGGACTGGGTCTGTTTGGGAAAATCTCTTGCCACCCGCTAGTCAAGCCACGACAAACCATTAATTATTCGTTTCGCTATCTGTGCCAAAAACTACAATGAAGGTCAAAACTCCCAGGGACAGTTATTGAAAACATACCCTAAATCCAAATATATTGCAATAGGTCACTTTTACCAATTCAAAGCTGTACACAGAACTTCCCCTCACCCTCCCCTCTAACAATTTTTGTAAAATTAACTCATCATTGGGTCTTCGTAAAGTTTACAACGCACTCAAAATTCTGCAATGTTTGGGGTCCTGTGTGCGGTGGGTGTGGTGGGGGTGGAGAGGGGGAAGGATTTGAGTTTAGTCATATCGCGTTAGTTGTCCCAAAACTTTTAACCCTCGTTGTAAATTTGATTAACTGAAGTTTGGCCACATTGACTCGCCTTAAGTAATAAAATGAAGAAACACAGGCTTGGCGAATATCTTCCTTTGTTGGCGTAGAGTCACTTTATCGATCATCTATCAACCCTATCTATTAACTGACATCCACGGTAAATTTAGATTATTAGGGCCCACGCGCACTTGGCTGACAAAATTTGTTTTGCTCCACCAAAAGTCTCGACAAATTCCGGATGTCTCGGCCAAATTTTGAATTTGTCAATCGTGGGCACACTGAAAAACAGCGAAATAAATGTTAACCACCAAATATCAATCTTATGGATTTAAAAATTGAGCAGAACTTGGACCTGGGGATTCAGCTTAAACGCAAAATTGGGAGCCATAATCATTGTATTCTGAGTATCCCGGGTACCGCTCGTCCTACAGCATCCTGTGGTACAAATTTTCCATCTTCACTGCTTCACCGCGTAGACATATGATGAAAAAAAAAAAAAAAAAAAAAAAAAAGATTTGCGTAGTGCGCCCGGGCCTTGTGCCTTAGATTAATTTCCTCCTCTCGAATGTTGTTGAACCTCTAACTGTCTTAAATTAACTAAAATCGGTATCGAAACAAATAATTTCAAGCCATAGCCCACGAGTAGCCCACAGTGTTCCATAATGGCGCAGGAGGAAGACATAGGATTTGCAGAACTTTTAGAAAGCTAGACATTATTAGTAAAAACTCGGGTTATTTCAAGGTTTACTGTTGTATCAAAAGGCACATATTGATGCTGGTGTGATTTTGGAAATCAAATCTTAAGCAGTTCAGAATGAATTGTTTGTTGTTGTAATCAGTGTCAAAACAAACATCACCTCACATATCCACACCTTCTCACCGTGTCGTCGGAATAGCTGAAACCTACTCTACTTATACTTAGAAGCAAAAAGAATATGTTAATCAGTTTTCTCTCATCGTGAATTAATTTACCCCGACTTAAATTTGTTATGTGCATTTTGTAAACAAACGCCCAGGAAACGTGTGTCCGCAAACTAGGGGGGTAACTCCGTCATCTCTCTTACACACCAAAAAAAACCAGTTATATCAGGATTTAATGAATTTCTACGCAACATAAGCTTTAATTGTTTAATCCTTATCTTATCAGCACGATCAGCATAACATTACTTTGTCCGCTAATAGACATGACATGTACATTGAACTATTCTTAAACTTATTTCATATTAAAACAATTGTGGAAATATCTTTAATCTATATCAGACTGTCTATATTGCCGTTGTCGTTTGCAGAAGCCGTTCTCTCTAAATATGTCATTTTGGTTCAATAAAGCAACTGTCCTTTTATGTTACTGATTTCTACACTTCCAGAACACAGATAATACCGGTAGAGATACTATAAAGACAAATCTGCATTCACGATCTTCCACTGTTCCGACTTTCACGAAATAGATGATCACTGTTTTTCAAAAAATCTCGGATTACAGTTTTCATTATCTACAGTCTTAACGTTCAACGAAATGACGTCAAAATAAAGAGAAACCAATGGGAACAAGCTTTTCAGTTACTCTTTCGACTGCTGCACAAAAGCGCAGATTTCTCGACCCCTCTCACTGAAGGAGCACCACACAAACGTAATTTAGATAATTTGATTCTTCACAGGTTTGTGAAAAATGACTTTCGTTCTCTTCATAAAAATATACCCTCTCTCTGCCGCAGACATACCATATATAACGAAGTTAAGAGGCACTTCATCAGGTCTGAACTATATTGGTCAGGCTTTATTTTTGGTATTGAGCTGTATGTTTATGACTGGTGTCGATTAATATTCGGTCGCGAACGGATACCAATGACAAATTGCTGTGTGAATTCAATACTATTTGTTATAATAAGGCGCTACAGTGAATAGAAGAACGGATTACATTGTTAATTATCACACGGCATCCGCTATTCCATGACAATCTTTAGTTTATTTCAGTGAACTGAATATCACGTTACCCCCCTCTCTATGATTATAAATCAAGAGAACCTCAGAATATTAAAGCTGCTATTCTTTTACTGTATTTCAAACTGTGATGACTAAATTACATTATGTGCTGAATTAAATCGTATGTCCGCTGCTTCCCGACCCATTTCTACCATGCTCGGACTTCTTCTATACAAATAATCAGGGCAGGGCTATGGAAGCTTAGAGCTTGTTAGTTGGCTGAGTTAGTGGTTTAGGTAATGTGTAAGAATTGCCTTCGTGAATGTTGCTAAGATCAAAACTTGATCCTAAATAATCTGGCGCCATCCTCTTGGTGTTCATGTATATTAGCTGAAACATTTTAAGACATGAAGGAAAATGCTCTTTTGTCGAAGGTTTTTCGACCTAAAACGGCGGCATGACGGCTGGTAGAACTATCTAGATTGGATCGAGTTGTCTGACTAGAGTCAGTCTACAACAGCGATTATAAGGTCTCCCGGGCTCAAATAAGGTTTATCTTAATACTACCTTATAAACTGGGTAAAACTTTAAGATTTGAAATGCATTTGCGTTCTAATGTCAAATCGTCTAGTATCGTAATGACTAACAAAATTCCGAAGTTGTAATTCTCATCGTGCAGGTCTCTTTCATCATTTATCATGGACTCGCTGCGTTGTTCTTAATCAGAGCAGAGTCGCCGTAAAACCAAAATTATGGTAACAACAAGAAAATCCTTGCGAAGAATATGTAATCGTGACGTCTGCCTACTATCATAATATCCTATTTTTGTAATTAGATTTCGTTAATAAGCCTAGACAGAAGGTTCTAAAATAATATATCTGCATGGTTAGGCATGCCTATCGTTATATTTAGCCTAAAGTCAGCCTTCAGTCAGCACGAATTATCTTGGAATGTAAACAAGAAAATCAGCCCAATTAAGGTAAGTTCTTGTTTTTTGTAACTTTGGGGCTCGGTCACGGGGCAGGACTGCTGAAAGCTACAGGAGTTCAAAATCTTAGGTCTAACTAACATAAATTCCAGACCTTTCCTTTTTGTGGAACTCGGAATGCGATGAATAGGCAGCACTCATCTAAACCCTTTTCATACCGTGTACATCCCTTTTACTTATTTACACTTTGTCTTATCCGCTCAATCGAGAGCCTCGCACAGCTAGATGGTTCTCACCACACGCGCTCATCTTTTCTGTCCGGCTGAATTTCATGCTT